CATACACTCAGGATACAACAATATCCTGATACACCCTGATGACAGGTGGAAAGCCGCGTTCTCCACCTCATATGGGCTCTTCGAGCCCAAGGTAATGTTCTTTGGACTGTGCAACTCTCCCGCAACTTTCCAAGCTTACATGAACCAGACTTTTGCAGAAGAACTGAACGAAGGATGGCTAATCGTCTATATGGACGATATCCTAATCTTTTCAGATAACCTAGAAGAGCACCGACAATGAACGCGTCGTGTGCTGGAGAAACTCCGCAAGGAGTCCCTCTTCCTCAAACCCGAGAAATGCACCTTTGACTCCCAAGAAGTCGAATACCTCGGTATGATCATCCAACCAGGACAGGTCGCCATGGACCCCGCCAAACTGAAAGGTATCAGCGAATGGCAGCAACCCTCGTCTGTCAAGGACGTACGATCCTTCCTCGGGTTCTGCAATTTCTACCGGCACTTCATTCCCCACTACTCTGACATCACACGACCTCTTCTGGACCTCACCAAGAAGGAAGTCCCCTTCGCATGGTCAGACTCGACCGAAGCGTCCTTCCAGCATCTGAAGACGCTCTTTACCATGGAACCGGTTCTGTGGAACCCCGACTCTTCGCGTCAGTTTGCGCTTGCAACTGATGCGTCTCTCTTCACGACCGGAGCAGTATTGCTCCAGACGGATAGCAATGGGGATTACCACCCCTGTGGCTACCTTTCCCAGTCTCTGAATGCGGTGGAACGCAACTACGAGATCTATGATCGGGAACTCCTCGCCATCATTCGTGCCCTCCAAGCCTGGAGGCACTTCCTGGAAGGGAACGCCCACCCGGTCATTGTGTTCACGGATCACAAGAACCTGATCTACTTCCGCTCTGCTCAATGACTCACCCGACAACAGGCCCGGTGGCACCTTATGCTCACCAACTTCGACCTGGAACTTCATCATGTTCCTGGTACGAAGCTCGCTGCACCTGATGCCTTGTCCCGCCGACCAGACCATGACCAGTCTGGCCATGATAACGAAGACCGTGTCCTCCTTCCGGACACCCTCTTTACCCGACTCATTGACACAGAGCTCGCTGACGAATTCCAGCGGCTCTCTGACAACCCCTCCGACCAGACTGTGAAAACAGCTCTGGATGCTCTCTCCGGGGTGTGCGCACCCCCCATGAAATCTGCACTCTCTGATTGGAGGTTCACCGACGGTGTCCTCTTCTACAAAGACCGTGCTTACGTCCCTCCCGACCTCCGGCATCGTGTGCTCGCGCTGCACCACGATCATCCTACCTCGGGTCACCCTGGCCGTTCTGTTACCAAATGGAACGTCAAGAAAGCTTACTGGTGGCCTGGAATGGGCTCCTTTATCCGAAAATACGTGGACGGCTGCGCCATGTGCCAGCAAATGAAGGTTAACACCCACCCGACGACCCCTCCCCTGACCCCCATACCCTCGACTTCCCTCCGGCCCTTCTCTCAGGTCTCTGTCGACCTGATTACTGATTTCCCGGAGAGCGCCGGCTACGATTCTGTCATGGTCGTGGTAGACCATGGGCTTACAAAGGGGGTAATTCTCTGCCCTTGCAGAAAAACCATCACTGCTGAAGGCGTAGCTGAACTTTTCTTCAAGAAAGTGTTCATGCGCTTCGGACTCTACGACAAGATCATCTCGGACCGAGGCCCCCAATTCGCCTCGAAGCTAGCAAGAGAGCTAGGACGACTCCTCAACTACCAAGTCGCACTTTCCACCGCCTATCACCCTCAGACGGATGGCCAGACTGAACAGCTCAACCAGGAGCTAGAAACCTACCTCCGGATCTACTGCTGGACGACTCCCTCCGAATGGGCGAAGCACTTACCCATGGCCAAGTTTGTCCACAACTCCCGAAGGCACTCTGCCAGGAATGCCTCCCCTTTCTTCCTGATGATGGGATACGAGCCACGAGGCATCCCCCATCTCTTCCCCGACTCTACCTTACCGACGGCTGAAGAACGTGTCAAATCCCTCGCCAAGATCCGTGAGGAAGCCCTCGCATGCCACAGCTTTGCACAGCAGCGCATGGCTGATTGTTCCTTTGGCCAGTGTTACAAGCCATGGAACGTTGGTGATGAAGTTTGGCTATCTGCCACGAATCTGATCACCGGGTTCCCTTCTCGGAAACTCGCCCTGAAACGCTATGGACCCTTCCCAATCCAGAAGGTCCTCTCCCCCATCACGTTCCAGCTCAAGTTGCCTGACAGCTGGCGTATCCACCCCACGTTCCATGCCTCGGAACTTTCCTCCTATCAGGAGACGGACGTGCATGGCCCGAATTTCACCTGAACCTCCCCCTGACCTGATCGACGGGGAGGAACACTACGAAGTGGAAGCTATCCTCCAACACAAGGGTACCGGTGCGCGCCGCCGATACCTCGTGTCATGGGTAGGCTACCCACCCTCCGAATGAATGTGGCTCCCCAAAAAGGAGTTGAAGTCCACAGCAGAGCTGCTGAAGGCCTATAAAAAGCGACTCAAGATCGCTTCAATCGCCATCAACTGTTGATCTGCTACCACCATAGCTCCTCTACAAGAACAACACCGCAACCATAGAACCAAATGATTCCACACCAGAGCTCATTATTCCACCTCCCCTCGCGACAAACCCTTGCCTCAGACCCTCGAATATTTCCATCAACAACAGATCTGGAACCGACACCGTTCCACCAAACCTCTTGACAAGCACCGACCAGTCACCCAAGAATTTACCTATGCCAACACCCAAGGAAAGCCCCTCAAATATGTCGGCTTCAGCATCGTCGCTTTCCTCTCCCCTTTCCGCTTCCTCTCCTGCCTCTGTATACGGCCCGACCCAGACACCCCGACAACCGCCTGGCCTTGAAAGGCCCGCCTTCACCCCATACTGACGACCCTCCTTGCGCTCTGTCTGAGAAGACAGGACGCGTGCCTACTGGGAAGCAGTAATCTGCGACCCTCAGTTTGCTCTGCGCATCGACAACTACCTCGCACGCACCAACGATGATGTCACCTACAATATCATCAACGCCTTTTGAAGTGCGGATGCACTTACTGGCAATATCGCCAGGATCGACCTTCAGAGGGATACCACCCTCTCCACCATCTCTACCTGCTACAACCAGGGTAAAATCAAGCAGGCATTACTAAACCTGCTCGAACTTAGGAACTTCCAGTCTGTTGTACTGGCCAGTCGAGGAGGAGCAGGCATTCAATCCCCCTCCTGACCCTCTCACCGTCGTCGAGCATGCTGTCAGTGACAGAGCTCCGACCCCCTTCCACCCGCAACCAGACATCGAATCTGACGATGAACATGTCCCCAACGTCACTCAGTTGACAAACCCAGAAATCGACCACCTCTACGAAGAATACGAACGTGAGTGTTATGCGCCACAGTAACCCCACCCCCTGAGGCAGACACTATTGTCTTCCTCAGCGTACACAACTCCCCCGTCACTATCCCTGAAGCAGACGAATCTCACCCTGCTCCCACCATCGCCCCAAACGACTTCGTGCCCACTCGGGACGTACCCCCTTTGACCATTGGTTCTCCAGTTGAGAACCCAAACCCCCTTCCTACCCCACTGACGTCGTGGACGACGCGCACGTGCACAATCCTGTGCTCGCCCTTGGACTCCCCCTCTCCCATGCACACCGCCCACGCACCCAGAACTTTATGAGGCACTACACCCATGAAGACGCTCAGGGCGACGCTCTGAACCGAGCCCGCATTGAGGCCACCGAGACCACCCAGATCTACCGTTCCAACGTGATCTGTCGCCAATGCCATGTATACGGCCATAAACAGAAGCACTGCACTCAGCACTTCTGCCGCATCTGTGGGCAATTTGCCCCAAAACACCTCACCCCCTTCTGTCCACAACTCGATGGACGGAAACTGCTGCACCGGGGACCCTCCTCGGACAGATTCTATTCTGATATGCGCAAGCTCGAAGCAGCGTATGATCAGGAAGCCGCCCATGTCGAACAAGAACGCGAGGAGAACGCACTCGAGGCCGCCGAATGGCTTGCCGACCTCGACTTCGATCCCAGCTGGTACGACAACCAGGATGATTAAAGCTCGTTGAGCTTGAGCCTTGAAACGGGGGTAATGTTACAAGTAACATCGGTCATGTGGCCCCCCTATCATTTTCCCTTCATCCTCGCCCTCACCATCTACCGGCTCGTCCTCCTTTACCGACTTTCCGTTGACTGGATCCTCGGGACCATTCCCATCCCTCGCATCGCCCACCTCTATGCACATGCATGCACGTTCCTCCCCTGATTCAACCACCAATGTGGTCCCGCACCTATGACTCGGTCTGACTCGTGCCACCAATGTGGCTTTCCTCTTTCTGTTCCTTCTGACTGCGGATTCCTGCACGTTGTATTCTTACCGTTGGTCCGTTCCAACGTTTCTCGGTCTCATTCTGCATTCGACCACCCATCACTAATTCGGCTCTGTTGCCAACGCACCTATACCATTCTTGTTTCCCCTTTACCCTTACCTACTGTGCGGTAGCCTTGCCCTTAACCCTCTCCACTTAGTATAAGTAGTCGGTCACCCTGTACTAGATTCTCTAACTTGAATCTACTCAATCTTCCCTGGAACATACTTCTCTCTGAACGCCCCTTTGGCTTCAGTCTCTAGTATCTCTTCTTAGTTGCTCATCGTGACTAAGTCTACTTCGATCGACCTCATCGTTAGGACAAGACAGTCCTGACCTTGAGCGACTCCATAGACATCCGTCTACGAAGTCACGTGACACGCGCGTACTGTGATCGCTGCCGACTTATCGTCGCCAGCCTCACTTGCTATACCGGACCCTTCCAGTTATGTCATGAACGTTAGCGGACGACACCCCTCTTAGGGCTCCGCCTAACAGATCTATTTGAGTGCATAACAAGAACAAGAAGAAGACTCAAATGTTGCTGTACGAAAATAGCGGAGAGCAGCCTTCCAGCAGAGATAAGGGCAAAATCCATGCCATCATTGCATGTGAGGTCTTCATGGAGGATGCCACCTATGGCAGCTTGTATGATCAGCATTGAGAAAAGTTTGCAATTGCCGTCACGAACCGTCTTACATTGTGAGTGTTATTTTATTTTTGTTTGCCTTTCCTGCACTGATTTACTTAGCCTTAAGAAAAAATATCAAGCACAGCGGGCAAGATTTAACCAGACTGGTGGTGGGGTTGACCCCACCGATCCTGACACAGCCTCCAATTTACACCATGAGTTTTTTCTTCAATAATAAACAGTTGAAGTTGATAAATTTGCAGAGGATGTGTTAAAGCAATTCCCGTTCTACGATGACCTTGATGAGTTATGGCGCGATAACCCATCATATGCCCCTAAAGCATTCTCATCGGATCCCAAAGCCAATCACTCTGACTGCCTGCAGTTGATGGTGCATACAAAAAGTGCTCCAGCTTCCACATCTGTGGGCAGTAGCTGCCCACCTGCTGACAACAAAAATCTTTATGCCAATACCAACACTGTCAATGACCCAGAGCCCTCACGATGTCTCCCTCCTGCTTATACCAATCCTCCCCAGCAGCTCCCGCAACCTCCGTCATTTAACTCGAACGATGACGAATTTGATTACAACATGGTGGACAACATGGTGGACAACAATCATATATATCCGGACGACACGGGTGATGGTGAGATGGATCCGGGTGATGGCAAGATGGATGCAGACTATGGCGAGATGGACATGGGCAATGGCCTTGAGGGTGATTATGAGATGGAGGCATTGGAAACTGAAACTGCTGGCAGGAATCGCGCTGACAAGCGCCCACGCCCATTTTCTCCTTCACCACCACCTCAAGCTAATATTTCACAACTTGCGACACCACACACCCCACTGTATGACACGCAAGCATCGTTCACTACCCATGCGGACCGTGCAGTAAATCGCACGCCTCTTTCCAAGTCACATTGCCCCTCCCCTTCTGTTGCACCTTCAATCGTCAGTTCATCTACACGATCCTGCTCGTCATCTGGACAGTCTGGATCTGTTCAAATGCGCACACCGTCATCGAATACATCATTCTCTACCAAGGCAAAGGGTGTCAAACATGTGCGATCCGATATCACAGATGTTCGCAACAAGGTAAAGTTACTTGCCCAAGGGGTGGTAGCTGAGCACTACAGTGCAAAATCGTCTGAGAAGATGATGAAGCTGCAAATCCATCAAAAGGAACGCGACCAGATGTTTGCTTTTGGGGATCAATTGATGCAACAGTCAAACAGTTCACTTGATCATCAGCGCACGCTAGAATCGAAGAATGCCGATATCTGTCTCGAGCAAGCAAAAGCTCAAACCCATACTTTGGAGATGGAATTCATTCGCCTCAAGCTCCAGCTGGGGGAGCAGCAGCTAAAGCTCCAGCAGCAGCAGCTCAAGCTCGCTGCCGGATCGTCGTCATTGCATGCTTCATAATTGTTGTTCTTGTCGCCATCATTTACTTTCTGTTGTCACTGTCGTACGTCGTGCTTACTATCTGCCATCATATGCTGTTGTGTTTTGTTTTCTGCCACTCATGATATACATATCCCTGTCCTATATGCTCACATGCTCTTATGCGCGTTCACTATGCCCTTTGTAGATCCTGTTGTATTCGTGTACTACTACAGGCTTGTTTTGACTCGAAATATCTACCTGCGTACTGCATCAGGACGGTCTGGACTGTCCAGTAAGAGATCCATCAGCTGTGCCCGACGCAGTTAACCGGGAGTACCATCATTAAGGTTATCACCTGCTATACCATCCCCCAGTCCAGCTATGAACTGTTCCCCTTTGCGACGAGCCCACTCAAATGTGTCGTTACTCTGCTGCCTTTCCTTAAATTGAACAATCATATTGTGGAGGATAAAGCAGCATAAAAGCCAATAGCTGGAATAGCGAAGGTCATTTTCGACAGTGATAGTGCGGTGGAGCTCCCAAAGAGACTGGAAACGACCTTTGAGAGCTGCGAAGGCATGTTCGACTTGAACCCGAACCTACACGATCTAAAATTAATGAAAAAATTAAGAAATACAGTATACGACGCACCCAGGAAAGATAAAAATTAAATGTACGTTGATTTGGCACCAATGCTCCATTCTGTGGTTTCTTGAATGGCGGGATGCACCACGTGTCTACTGGGTATGCGCTGTCAGCCCATACCCAATGGTCGTCAGCGAGAAGGTCTGCATGCTGCCGATAAAGGTGAGTTGACTGGAATGCAAAGGCATCGTGTGCGCTTCCAGCATGGCCAACAGAATAGTTGGCTATCAGGAGATTGTGCGGCATGATTAGCAACTACAATGAAAAAAAAATCAAATTAGTAAACACGAGGGAATTGTGGAGAGAGACACAACCTGGCAGTTAAGAGCATAGTCACTTTTTCTGTTGTAAAATACCTCGCCATGAAGGCCAGGCTTATTCATCAGGTTGACTGGAGATCCGTCAAGGGCAAATATGCCATTTCGCCACTCTCGGCAAGTTGTCTCCTCTACCCACTGGCGAGCCTTCTCCGCATCGTCCAAATCAGCAGTTGGAAAGGACATAAACTTGTTGTGGCAATCTAACAGTGCAATCATCACCCGGTTCATGCAATTGGTGACTGATCCAACACCAATTCCCGCCCATTGGGAAATATTCTTGTTTGATGTGGTGTTTCCATAGTGCCCCACATGATTAAGGAAGACTGCAAGCTGTAGGGCGATAGGGAGTTGACGGTTATTTGAATTATTCTGGAAGATTGGGTGATTGCTGATCTCGTCCAAAATGGCATCAAAAATTTCGGGATAGACATGCAGCTTCTGGCGAAACAAATCGGGGCGATCCTCTGCAAAGTGAGATAAGAGCTGAATTTGTGGAGCGCGATGTAGCACTCGGATCGACATTGGGCTCATATCCTGCCAAATTCCTTAGGTATCCCACACACATATTCCTCGACACTCCATTTACCTTCCGAGAGTTCCGCGTGTTCGTCCAAGTCGTCCGAAGGTCATCCGTCCATTTCCGAGGCCTGTATACAGTTCTGATCCTCCATACCATGTCCTGTCCGTGTCCGTTTGACTTCGCTGGTGCATTCTTCACTTGGTTATCTGTTATTGATTATGTCTAGGGGCACATATATCGTCGGCCCGTCGGTTATACACGCCTTGTGCCTTATTACATGCATATCTCTGTGGCGGCTCACCTCGAGTCTTATTACATTTCGGATGTCTTATCTTGCTACTAGTTTTGCCTATGCAGTTTCCAGACTTTCACGCTATAGGATATAATCTGCCTTGCTAGATACTCGCACTTCACTTCACTTTCCCTGCTATGAGTCATAGTTAGTAGAGTCACTTTCAGATAGTTGTACTTCGCGCAATCAATCTTTGTTCATTCGGAACAATTGTTTTGGCCTGACCGCTGCCATTTCGCTTCTCGCTGTCTCTAAGTTCTCCCGATAGACTTTGCCTAGTTATACTTCGCGAGTCTTATACTTCGATACACACACCGTACTTCTCTCAGAACCTTCGCTGTTCATCGGAAGCTCTTCGGATGCTTCGCGCAACCTTGGACCTTCGTTTCTTGATATCGGACCATCTTCAGACCATCTTCGGACCACTTCGGATGCATCCTCGGAACATCGAGCGTGCTCTTGGTAACTTTCCTTTCTCTCATCCTCGATCTTAACAAGATATCCCTTGCATTATATCAAGGAGTATTTCTATAGGCAGTCTCTTTGGGACGAGCATATCACTTGCACACTGAGTTCTTAAGATAACACTTTGTAGAGCCCACTCAGAATCTACTCTTTACAGCAAGGAATAGGGCAATTGGGTGGATTGTAGATATCTGCAGCCTCAACTTCATCACGAAGAGCGTTGATTGCACCCAGGAGGCGAGCGTAGTATGTGATGACATCGCTAGAGTCACTAGAGTTGGCAGTACTAGATGTGTCAGTGTCAGAGACATATGGGGACATTGGAGAGGGTGGGGAGAGGTTCATAATGATATCCGAGTCAGAATCAGAGTCATCTTGCATGATATGATTATACAGGGCTGTTACTACCTCGAGAGTGGTAGTATCAATCTCATCGAGTAGCTGATTGTGAAGGGACCGACGAGGGGGCATGGTGCTCACATATCTTATCAATCACACATGCACTGTGCATCTATGTGATTTCAAGCGGAGCTTAAATTTGCCGTGTTGGAGACAGCATGCCCATCGAGTGCAACACTGAGCTCCGTGTCTGTAGAGCAAACAACAACATGATGGAACATGTACCACTGGCAAGTACTTGATTCTCCAGCCCTTTCTGATGCTTTCAAGTGTCCACAGTATCCACAGAGTATGATTGCAACAAAGCAGAATCTAGGAGCTGCTGCAGGTCACCTTGACCGTGTCACCTTCATTCACAATGACCCATCTTATCTGGTCTCGTCGGATCCCCAAGCCTATGGTGAGCCATTGAATTCATCCTCAAGCTACATGAACCTGCTGGCATCCGATCCCAAAGTTGATCATGCAATCCACCTTCTGTCCATCATACAAGCTGATAGCGAGGCTCCCGCTCTTGTTTACCCAGGGATGCGCCTGGCACGCATGGTACTTCATAGTACACATCTTGTGGGGTTCGTGCTCACTTTTTCACCCAGGAACATGCCTCGTGCACCGGTACTGCATCTGGATAGTACACTAAAAGTTCCTCGCACAGTGGTACTCCATCCCCACATTTTTCTTGCTCATAGATATACCTTGCATGTAGTTTGGGTCGTTGGGCACTGTACTGTACAGATATTCACAAGGCATTATTTTTCTTAGCGGTGTCCTTTTGTGTAGACTACAAATTGAAACTTTGCACCAAGTATTGGCAATCAACCCTAACCCTACCCATAAGACTTGTAATATTCTACTACCTTCGGTTGGGCTGCTCAAATGGAGCTTAAATTTTGCAAATTTCAAGTGAACATCCTGAGTTGTCATGATCCATCTTGATCGTTCAGGATGTGTTCTTAATCCTACTCTGAATGATCCTAATGAGAGGCTACTTTTCATCGAGCATTTTGAGTGTACATCCAATTTGAGTTTCGATCGGGCAACTAAAAGACCAATTGGTCATGTAACGGATGGTGGCTCGGCGCTGTGTACCACGGCATCAAGCAAAATTCTACCAAAGTAGTTAGACAAGCGAGGCAAAAACAAACATAAGTGAAAGTGAAGAATTGTGTGGTTGATTGTGAGAGATCCTGTATGAATAGTGAGATTGCCAATAGTTTTACTTACATGGACGTTGTCGGGACGCCTAAATAAGGTTCGCAAACGGTCGAGATAAATCCTATATGAAAGACAAGCAACATTAATATTTATTTGAATCCACAGGTAGCCTACGCACCGACATCAGCAAAAGTGCCCAAATCTAACTAGGTCTGGCAAGGTCCAGAGAGTCTCCCACGGCCACATGATGCGTTCTGAGGCTTGATTGTATTTGTTCGTCATCACGCAAGGTACGCATACTCGTCTCATAAGGCCTTACTAGACTGTTTCAACCTCGCGGCAGCCTCGCGAGGCATTTCAAGATCGGCGCTGTCTTGCACAGGATTGTGAGGGAAACCTCATTTCTAGTAACGGTTCGTGTTTCAAAGGTACGGTCCGAGTCCTATTTCGGGTTCGGTTCATGCCTTTGAAACACATTCCTTCGGACCGTTCTCATATGAGTATTTAAGCCTTATCAATTATACTAATCGTTGCTTGAACAGCTCTCCAGCAGCCTCTCTTGATGCTGCTCTACTCAGTCTCATTATTTTTGTTCGCTGTTCTCACTATGGTCAACTGTCCAAACTGCGATGTCGAAGTTTGTGACCGTGGACTTTCCATGCACCTCAGCAGGTACTGCCGCATGCGTGATATAGCTACAACATCTGCGCTTACTGAGTGGCTGGAGCACCAACAAGCAATTGCCCAAGCGGCCCGTGTAGAGGAAGAACGGAAACAGCAAGAAGAACGTGAGGTAGTACAGCATCGTCAACAACAACAGCAGCAGCCTCGTGTTGAGGAAGTGAGTATTATTTTTAAAACATAAACTTGATATTCATATATGAACAGGTACCAGATATTGAAATGGACTCGCGACCATCTGGGCGTCCCAATCGCCAGATACGTCTCCCCAAACGTTACCGTGACAAAGTTCCAGTCCTGCCAATTCCTGCCCCACCTCCAGTAGAGCCGGATGAGCTAGCACCAGTGCCTGATGACCCCAACGACATTGCCATGGACTTTGATGACAGACCATCATCGGAGCATGCCCCCCCTACAGAGCAACATCGTATGGACGCTGATACATTCGACCTTTTTCGTGAATACCCTCATTCATTTCCAACATACGACCCCTAACATTCAGCCTACTTCGATGCACTTTGTGACTCCTCAACATTCTAGCATGTTGATGGGGATGCTGATCATGAATGGCCGTGGTATGCTGGCTTCGGACAATCACTTGAGGCAGTCCACCATGACTACTTTGCACCATTCCTTAATGCCACTGTTTTTCGGCTCATGACATGGTTTTACAACTCATTGATCTCAAAATCACTGCAAGATCTCAATCGTCTAGTCAACGATGTCATTTTAGCGGAGGATTTCTGCCGAGAGGATTTGTTAGATTTCAATGCGTCTAGGGAGGCCTCGTGTCTCGAGAAGGCCCAACATGACCCTGCCTCGTCCATATTTCCTTCTGATGGATGGCACGAGACCTCAGTGAAAATACAACTTCCGTGCGAAAAAGAGAAGTTCTCTTCTGAAGATTGCGCACCTGAATTTAAAGTTAACGGGCTTTATTACCGCAAGCCATTGGAAGTCCTCAAATCTGCATACCAGGAGGTTGCAGTGAAGACGTTTCACACAAAGCCATACAAACTATTCTGGCAGCCTGACAACAACGAACCTCCAGAGAGGATCATTACTGAGTTGTATATGTCTGATGCCATGCTTCAAGAGCATGAGAAGCTTAACTCGCAGCCAAGTGAACCAGGCTGTAACTTGGAAACTGTCATTGGTGCGATTATGCTCTGGTCCGACTCTACTCATCTAGCAAGTTTCGGAAATGCTTCTCTGTGGCCAATATACTTGTTTATAGGCAATCAGTCAAAGTATATTCGTGGCAAGCCAACATCGTTTGCAGCACATCATCTCGCATATATTCCAAAGGTCTGTCTTTAATATTTGAACTTGAGACACAAACTAATTATGTGTATAGCTATCAGATACTATCCAAGACTTCTACAAGAAGACTTTTGGTTGTAGTGCCACAGGCGCAGTGCTCACACATTGCAAACATGAATTAATGCAGGCCGTTTGGCACTTCCTACTCGATGCTGAATTTATAGATGCATATGAACATGGCTTCGTTGTCAAGTTCCCTGATGGAGTCTCTTGTCGTGTGTTTCCTCGTTTTTTCACCTATTCTGCTGATTATCCAGAGAAGTCTGTTTCACATCTTACTTGATCACATCATATTAATCTCCCTGATGTCAGGGTTCTACTTGCATGCATGAAATTCCTCGGGAGGTGTCCATGCCTGCGGTGTCTTGTTAGCAAAGACAACATTTTCAAATTAGGGACAAAGTTCGATCAACGGCAGTGCACCAGAAATTCTCGAGTCGACAATCATCCACAGCGTAGTCTCATTGAACGAGCCTGTGAACTCATATTTGTTCGAGGCTATAGTGTAGTCAGCTCTGCAATTGAGAGAATTGTCAGTACCACCTCTGTGGCACCTATTCATGTATGTATGATTTGAATCAATCTCTCAACTTGAAAGTTTACTAACTGTGAGCATCAGAATGCCTTTTCAGAGAAGCTTGCCAAGTTCGGTTTTGATTTCCACTCAATGCTCGTGCCCGACTTTATGCATGAGTTTGAGTTGGGAGTATGGAAGGCAACCCTTACACATCTTCTCTGGATTTTGTATTTATATGGAGGTACTGCTGTGCAAGATCTCAATGAGCGGTAAGTCATTTTTTCTCATATATTTGCGTGTCCATCGTGATGATCCAGGTATCGTCTTGTGCCAACATTTGGACATGACACTATCCGCAAGTTTAGTGACAATGTGTCAGGTCTTACAAAACTCGCAGCGCGTGATTTCGAAGACCTGCTTCAGGTAGGAATATAAGTAATACAGCTGCTGTCATGCTGATCAATGCTGGCAGTGTGCGATGCCAGTATTTGATGGTCTTCTACCAGAACCATTCAACAACTCAATCCTCAACCTTCTGTTTGAGCTGGCCACCTGGCATGCATTCAGGAAGCTTCGTATGCACATGGAGATGACACTCTACCATTTCGATAATTGTACGACACGGCTAGGAAAGGCTCTCCGACGATTCCGTGACAACACATGCAAAAAATTTGCTACTCATGACTTGCCATGTGAAACGGCTGCTCGTGCATGGTGTCGGCATCTGAAAGTGTCTAAAGGCAAGAAAGCAGGGTCAGAAAGGACGAATATTGATGTTGAAGGTGATGGCCCCTCGAAGCAACACATTTTCAACCTCTCGACTTATAAACTTCATGCTCTTGGAGACTATGTCAGGTCAATCTGGCTATATGGAACCACGGACAATTACTCTACACAAGTTGCAAGTATTAGAATCTATCACCTACCATTCACCTACTAATGTTGGAATTAGGGTGAACTTGAGCATCGACGAGTGAAGCGATTTTATGCATGGACCAACAAGAACAAGTTCACATGAGGAATTGCAAGACTTCAGTGTCGCGAGCGCATTTTGCAGAGGATGAAAGAGGTGAACCGTGAAAGGGCAGCTGCACAAGAGAATCACGCACAGCCTGAGACTGAAGATCTCCGTCCATCTCTTCATTTCATTGACCAGGACCCACTGCCGCATTGCTCACCAGAGATCCACTACCAAATGTCCTCATTACAGAAACATTACTGGGATATTTCTTCCTGGCTGGGAAAGAACAGAAATGACCAGGCCACAAAGGTAGGTCTCCGAAACTCATAAAATGACAAATGTATTTGCTCACTGGATGTAATTAGAATTTTCTTCCATGTCTCAAAGATCACCTGCTGGGTCGCTTGTCAGGACTGGACTATGACTGGGATGAGACTTCATTTAGTGCAGCACAACAAAACTCTGTTGCAATTATCAACAATCGAATTTATTGTCACAAAGTGCTTCGTGTCAACTACACTACCTATGACTTGCGGCGTGCTCAGGACTCCCTCAATCCCCGCACGCATGCAGACATCATGGTTCTTGCCCATGATCAGGAAGACTCCCATCCATACTGGTATGCCCAGGTTATTGGCATCTTTCATGCCAATATCCGCTACATGAGACAAGGTGCATGTCCCACTATAAAGCATGTCGACTTTTTGTGGGTCCGCTGGTTCGCTCGTGACATCACTGCACCAACAGGTTGGGCAGCAAAACGGCTGCCACGAGTTGGGTTTTACGACGGAAACGATGAATCAGCCTTTGGGTTCCTCGATCCTGACCTTGTCGTTCGTGGCATTCAACTTATCCCAGCCTTTCGACATCTACGTACGACGGCACTGTTGGGACCATCCATTGCCCGTCAAGCAGCTGACAATAATGAGGATTGGGACTGGTACTGCGTCAACATGTCAGTTATTTCCCACTAACAACATGAATCAAATCTGATAAATTACCAGGTTCGTCGACCGAGACATGTTCATGCGCTTCCGTGGAGGAAGCGTGGGGCACAAATTCACACAAAGAGAGACGTCATGCCTGCTTGATGATCATGATGAGTTGGATAGGATCCCCTTCCAAAGAGAGAAAGAGCGCCATGGATCAGAATTCGATGAGGGCTCTGAAGGAGATGAGGATATGGAGGAGGATGGAGATGATGGGAGTGGCGATGATAGCGAGGAGACAGACAGCACGGACGACGAGGACGGGGATGAAGTTCCAGCTCCCTTTGAAGCGATGGTAGACGACACTGTTGCCGACGAGATGGATGAATATGGATACTCCAGCCTTGATCAAGTCCTTGATGAGGATGGTGCAGATGAAGAAACTAATGAGATTGATGACTTCAGTCCAGAAGATGGGGAGGATGTGATGAACAAGTTCGAGGAGGATAGCTTTGCAGACTTGTAATTGACGACGGTGCATGACAAGATAGCTCAGAAATTAGCTCTGTTATTTTTAAAGTAATTTACATGTGGCCTAAATCACAGGATGGATTGGGTCGTAGTCGAATGAGTACAATCAGGTAAAGGTGGAATTAAAACGCTCATTGAAATGCGCAAGGATTAATGATCGTCGACAGTCAGCCTCGTTGCAGCAATACTGGGCCACCACTGAGAGATCTTCCAGTTGTCACTTTTTCTCCTCTGGAGTCCAAGCTGGTCCTTTATCGTTGCGGTTGCTATTGATCAACTGATGTCGTGACACAGTGTCCCTGTGTTTATGTCCCTGTGTTCATAATCTGGAAGAGTATGATACATTAGGCAGCATAGGATAATCACCATTGAAGTCACTTACAAAGAGTGCAGTCTGCCAGATCGCCATTGCGTCCAGTTTCCTGGTAATACCTGAGACAGTAAGCAACTTCTCAATGAAGTGTACTTGTAGACTTGTGATGTACCCATCCATCGACTTCGGCAATGTTGAGTGGATTATGAAGCGCACAAAGGCCGGAGTGAACAAACACAACTTTACCATCCGGTTTGTCGATTCCCATCCCAAACGTGATCTAAGAAAATGTTAGAACTCAATGGCGCTGCGCTCCTGTGAGTCCATACCGGCACGGTAATGTTTGGCAGATAAGCCATAGTCGTTTCGCAGTTGTTCAGCGATCATAACAACCCTCGCTTTATGAACAATATTTCTGTGGGTGATGGAGTAACTTCCATCAGCGCTTTATCTGGCACTTAGTAGCAATGTACTCACCTTTAGCCACATCGCGTGGCTACAATAGAAATGTCTGACGCGGATTGTCTAGGTTCCAGGTATTCTTGAACCTCTGGCCAGTAAGGATTGAATGTCATAGTGCAGGAGAACGTCGGCTTGCCAAGTTCTGTATGAGTCCGACATAAGTGCGGGAGCAGTCATGAGTGCGATCACCCACCTCGTTAGTGGGTTCAGAGGCTGATATGCGAAGGTGGGTGAAGATGTGAGGCGGGTGAAGATGCGAGGTTGGGTGAAGATGCGAGGGCGGGTGAGACAAATAGCCTAGTACAAGAAACGAAGTCAGTACACATAGTAGGTAGTAGGAATCAATATGATAAAGGTTAGAAGCTGTCAGGCTTAAGTGCTCGGAGTCACCTCCTAGAGGCGTATCCTCGCAGCCTGACAGCCTCTGGTCCAAGTCGCCTCCTAGAGGCGTGTTGGACCAGGAAGTGAAGTGCAAATAAAAATAAAATAAAAAAACTCACCAGAAGGAAACCCACCATCTTTGCCGCTTTAGCTGCATTCTGAGAAGATGTAGCGCTTGACGAAGTAGTCGGATAGAGAGATGTCCAGAATTGCCTGAGGAACTCATTTGCAGCCATTTGGCATGTCGTGAGTTGGCGGAAGAGCGTTGGTGGGATGTGTGAGGTTGAGAAACAGCTCCAGGATGAGAGTCTGCTCTAGGAGGCAGGGAAGCATATGCCATGGAGAGGTTTGAGTGTAGAATCATCACTGCACTGTCTAAAGAATGACCTAATATCACGTCAACATAACCAAACATTTGGAACTTAATCATATCGGTCCCATGCCCTAACCCTTAAGTCTAACCACCATCATGTCTTCACGTCGTCATCCCGGCGCATCGTCAAGCTCCTCTGATCCTCCTTACTCGAATTCTTCCATCAGATCCTCTCCACCTGTCAAACTTGGAAAACGGAAGAATAAGTGGTCAGATTCGCCAGAACCTTCAAGGCCAAGCAAACAGAAGCACGATCATTCTTCCAGTGACACGAGTATCAGTGACCTTGTCAATTCCATTTCTTCAGGCTCTCGCAAGAAGACTACAAGGTATTGTATTTTCAACTGTATGATCAAATTTTGACCTTTGGCAGCAGGAAACATGAAGATTCAAACATGGATGATGCAGAACTGTACCAAAACGCGGGAAGGAAGGCTTCGAGCCTTCTTGATACATTTGGGGTACCCGCCGCAGCTTTCAAGACTGGTCTTACATTTGACCAAGGTGGTAAACGCGACCCAAAACAGTATGTGTATCATCTCTATCTCACATCATGGCTAACTTGCTGCTACAGACCTCAAGATGTTTCCGAGCGTCATCTACTACTATACAATGCTATAATAGACTTCATTCCTGGTTTCGACAGCGAGCTCGACAACATCACCAGCAAAGAATTGAATGTGGTCATAGCGATGGTGACTATGCGCATATATGCACCTATATATGCTTATATGCGCCTGTTTTTTCCCTTGAACCTGACCTAATACTAACTGATCTTCTGCATGATAGGTAGCGAAGGGTATGAGCGAGGGCAGATCTGCAGATCTAAACTCTGTGAAGCACAAGGGGCTCCAATATATTCCCCTCAACATGTATAGCAAGGAGCATGCACTCGATCCTCCGATTCCAGAAGTTGAGGATAAGTCGATGTGTGGGTTGAACCACCCCCAGTTGGCTCGTTTGCTTTGCCCCCGCAAAAAACTTGAGTGGTTTGACGAGGACCCTGATTCGTTTGCTTATTTTTCTTTCTTTGATTCTTCGTACTGATGCATATTTAGCGCTATGGCCGCCATGCAAGCTGGAGAGATAACCATGACAGCACACAACTGGCCGATGTTCTTCTATGAAGACAGCATTTACGATGCTGCCGACAAGACAAAAGGTCTCTTTCGAAACCATACTGCCATACGAGTACATCATCATCTTCCACATTATCTTTAATTTATAGCGCCTTTAGTTTTACAAGCATCTGTTCATCGGACCATCATCCGTCGCCAACGACTCATCAAATGTTTGCAACTCTGCCAAACCATCTAAAAACCGTGCGTGGGGTTTGACGGCAGTCAACAGATACATCATTGCATACGTGCATGTCATTGTAAGTCTAACCTTTCCATGCACGAGTATTGCAATAATCCTCCCATGAACCCATAGGCATACTTTACTATAAGCAGTACTCAGCACTGGATGCGGTATATTGGTGATATGGACCTGGAGGAGCTCCTCTGGGCTATCATCGAAATGCTAGATGACGACAGCGATCCGTGGGTCGAAGATACCCTCATGTGGTGGAACAGGTACGTTTTTGTGTGTGGTCAGTTCAGTGCTAATTGTTTGCAGTCACCTCAAACCGACCAAGGACAACTTGCACTCTACCAAGCTCACACGCAAGAAAGGTGAGGACGATATCACTCAAATTCGTGCTCAGCGAGCTGCGCGCCATTCTGCATTAGATAATTCCAATGGTAATGTTTGAATTTATATACAATGCTGCTACTGATACTTGATCCGCAGTGCCGTCACATGTGGTCAACCCTAACAGGCTTTGAGAGCCCTCAACCAGCAAACGAGCCCACCCCATAGAACACGACGATGACAGGGATATGCTACATGCACCCAAACGACTTCGGAGATCAGGCGATGACCTTCCCTCACCACGCCACGCCAAGTCCAATGCTCAGCGTCATGCCTCAGTTTATGACAACGACGAAGAGGTTGCAGGACTGCAACAACCAACCCACCCTCGACTGCATGGGCGACAGCACCCACTACCTCTCAAGTCCCAACTATGGCACCATGTTGTTATTTCAGATGACGATGAAAATGACGATGGCGACGAGGTGGAAGTGGTAGCACAACCCAAACAGCCTCGATCCGACCCCCACATGCCATTGCCCCCTAGATTCAATAAATCTCAATACTCCACATCTGATCATGGTGAGGCTCCACCTTTGACGCTGAAGGTACAACAATTCAGATGGTGAGTCTGAACAATGTTGGGTCTTGCAGAACCTAGCTGCTATTCGACCCTAAAGGGTTTCTGGACCAGGCTCAAGGCTCAGAGAAGAGGAAATATCATGAAAACTTGCTGAATACTCAGACTCATAGTAGAACTGGTGAAAAGGTAACTTGATTATGTAAGCTACAAAAGTGCAAACATAACACTAAGGTAAAAACAGTCTCTGCAAGCCCAGCCAGAAATGAATCCCTACAACGCGACCTGCCCGTGGAGCTACAGGTTCTGATGGAGAGGAACACCAACCTCGGCTAAGCAAGCCTCAGCATCCTGCAAGTGCCTCTGTCCACTATGATGACGAGGATCAGCCTCCACGTCCTAAGCCCAAGCCCAAGCTGAAACCTCGACGCCCTGCTGCTCGCGACAAGCACGAGGATTCACTAAGTGCGCATGTGACTGAACAGTCATTGAATGTGATTTGGGTATGCAGCTAGTAGTGCTGCCGCGGTCCAGTCCAGAACCACGGTTCGAACCGGACTTTTGGTCCGGTTCTCTGTGGTTTGGTCCATGGTTCCCTCACCAGCCAGAACCGGACCAGAAAGTGGTTCTGGGTTCTGGACCTTCACTAGTGGTCCGGTTCTGGTTCGACTTTCCCGAACCTTCCCGAACCGTTCCTTGACCTTCGAATTCCCTCGACTTCGACACCAACCACGACGATGTCGGTGTCCATGTCGACATCAAAACACTGTCTTCGAGATTTGCATTATTTGTTAATCAGGCTACTGTTAGCCTTTTTGAAGGTAAGTACTAATCAATTTATTCTCAAGACTCTGACATATGTTTATCCTATATCACAGATATCTACTTGTTCTAGTCTATATGCTTCCTGGATAGTCATGATCCTCCACCGGTTCTCAACTCTAACAGATCTCCTTGGATATTGTCGCTCTGTCTAGGTGAGTATCTTTTTTTTTGCTTAAGTCCATGTCTCATTTTGTTACAGTTCTTGACCCTAACTATAAGTTAGCATACGTCGAACAGCGATGGACTGTGACGAAGGTCGCAAATGGGAGGGCTCGTCTTGAGGCAGTGGTGAGTACTATTCAAACTTAAGTACCCTACCAGTCTCTAACTCCAGATGTATTCTTAGTTTGACAAATATTATAAAGCGCCTCCAGCCCCAGGACCACATCCCAAGGAGCCAGAGGCCACGTATCAACAACGAAAGCTTCGATCTTTCTCCAGCGCGGGCATCACATCAACTCTGCGCCGCAACGCACTCGCATCATCCACTTTCTCCGCACTACAATTGATGAAGGCAGCCTATAAGAATGGACATGTGTCAGCAGCAGTAGAGGCAGAAGAATATGCAGTTGGTATGCAGTTAGACTAGCTACCCAATGTCATGTAGATGTCTTGTGAATGTTTTTTCCGTTGCTTGAAAAATTTTCGGTTCGGTTCGCGTTCGGACCAGACAAGAACCGGACTGGACCATTGAGAACCGTTCTCAATGGTCTGGTTCTGGGTTCGACAATTTTAAAGAACCGAACCATGGTTCGGTTCTTGGTTCTCATCAAGGACCCTCTGAACCGGACCGAACCGGACCACGGCAGCACTAGCAGCTAGAACCATTTTTTTCGTTATATTGATATTATGATTAGCAGTCGTCTCCACCTCGACGCCCCTCACCCCCACTGTCAGATCTGACTGACGATGACAACAACTTCTCCCCGCCAACTCCAACAGCTCCTGTTCCCACAAAGAAGAGAGGGAGGAAGAAAATCACCGATCCCGATGCTCCTCGAAGAACCTCTGTACGAAAGAGGGCTAATGGCTATTAGGACTGCGTTTCCGAGGCTCTCTCATTGCACTTTCATTCTCTGTTTCTCGCTTTACTGCTTGTGCTGACGCAGACTTAATGCCCGCTTTGAACTTTACCATATGGACTTCGTGCAATTCATGTATTTTAGCTACCAGTGTTACTACTATGCTAATGCAATGCCTCTTGGGGCCTTCTAATGTACACAAGTCTCGAGTGATCTAGCAAGGCCTGGTATACCCTTGCAAGCTTCGACAGCCTTAGCAGCCTCGCAAGGTCAACCTACCTAGCATACCCTCGAAAAGCCATCCTAGACGTGCTCTCAGAAGGCCATCCAAGATGGGGCTATTTCCTCGCGAGGCATCACAGGCCTTCCAATGTTCGCAAGGTCGTGTATGGTCTTGTTAGGCCTTCCAAGGCCTCGTTAGGTTTGGACACTTTGCTGATGGAACGTGGCAATAACCCCATATCCTCACTCCTCCAGATTCCGCTAGTATGGTGAGTATCAATATGGCTGCGCAGCCGCCAGTTATGTAGCCCAAGCGCTTTGATAGACCCCAACTCGTGAAACTCCCTATCGTCTTCCGCTTCCGTGGCTTTTTTCAGCTCATCTTGTCGTTCCTAGCTGTCATCATGAGCACGTACATTAGCCGTGTGCCCGTATCTGTCGCGTTTGACCTTGAATCGTGATGTTCTTTGGAGTCACTCGAGTTCACAAGACACTGCGCATGCAAGTTCGTGAGTTGTTGAGGGGGAAATACTGTAGCCTACCAAGTTACATAATTTGTTACTCGATTGAACCATCAAGTCATTTGAGTGAAAAAGCACGAGCTGTGGTCTCATGTACGTTTTTTCCCGAGCGGGTACCCCTTGAGGTCACATGCAATGATCCTTACCCATGAGAACACGCGGTACTTGGCCACTTACTCGCACGACGTTGACTGGATTGCACGCAACAGTGAGTGATAGTGAGCAATAATTTTTCTCAAAATTGAGCACCTCGTGTTGAACTAGCTAGGTCCAGGCCATGGTGCACGAGGCCATAGTCCTATTTCCAAAGTTCAAACGTACACGCCTGATGCGTATACTTCCTTTCTTGCAGCTGGGCTTCGCTGCTCAGGTGCCATTATATTCCAGTTCCATTCCACCAGCTTCTGCCCCACAAATTCCTCAGATGGCTACAGATTTTACCCTTAGCGAAGGTGCAAATGCACTCTCCCCGCAAGATATGCTCACCCTCCCTCGGCCTGGTGCGCCTCTGCCAAACGACATTGGTGATCTTGCTATCGTACCCATCAGCACTTACTCTTTTCAGGACCGCAAGTATGCTCCTCTTTCTTTTATTTGTTCTTATAGTCGTAATATTAATGTTCACTACCTGGCCCTTAGGTCCCACAAGTCACTCTCCGTCATCACTCTTGGCGATGGCGATGCCTACGACATTCCTTTGCCCGATGGCGGCGATGCCTTCTGGCTTGATTCTCGCACCATCGCACACGTCGTGACAAAAGATGACACACAGAGCCTCTACACCATCCCCATCAGCACTTCTCCTCTCTCCTCCGATCTCTCCTCCCATATAGGATCCTTTCCCATCACCACTGCAAGCGCGTTCCGTTACAGCCCCAGCGCTCAGCGCCTCGTGTTCTCTGCATACGTTTATCCTGATGGCCTTGTCGAGACCGTAAAGGAGCAGGACACAGCCTATGAGAATCGGGGTAACTCTGGTCTGGTGTATGATGAGACGTTTGAGCGTCAATGGGATACGTGGGTTGGTCCCAAGAGCAAGGCTCTCATTGGGGTCAGTTTGACAAAAGTAGGTGCGAAGTGGGTACTGGGAGAAACCTATGTGAACGTGCTAAAGGGGACGGGACTCGTGAGTACTTGTTTCTACTTTCCGGGAAGGCGGTGAAACTGATTTGAGCTAGTCTTCCCCTGTAGAACCGTTCGGTGAGGCGGATGACTATGACATATCCCAAACGCATGTCATCTTCACTGCCAAGGACCCACAACTCCCCAAGGCCGTGCACACCAGGCAGAATGTTCGTGCACTTCGTGTCTTGCTCTTTCTATGCTAACATAGTACTGCCGCGTAGATCTACCTCGTTGCACATGATGGAAAAGACCTCAGACAACTCACCTCGGGCATTCAAGGTGCGACGCACTCTCCCGTGTTCAGCCCTTCTGGCGATAAAGTCGCCTGGCTGGAATTGGCTCTTGATGGGCACGAGAGTGATCGGTGGGTTATGTGACCTATTCATATACCATTTTGACCTTATTTCAATGCATGCACCTCTCACTCGCCCATATCACTTCCCACGTTGTCAACTCACGTGTACAGCGCGAAAGTGGTGATTTACGATCTCAAGAAAGACGTCCGGTTCACTATTACGGAGGACTGGGACCGCTCCCCTGATTCTATCATTGTGAGTTCATGCTTATTCAATCGCCCTTACTTCCTTCATTCCTATCTTCTAAATTGCGATACTTGTCATCTCCTTATGGGTTTACTCATCCCTCCCATACATCTGTCGTCATACCAGCCAGCTAACCCGAACCCAGTTCTCTCCTTCCTCTGCTCTCATTTACGCCACCACCGGCGATCATGCCCGCATCAAGATCTTTGCGCTGGCTGTCCCGCTTACACCTCCCTCCAACGCCACACAGACCACTCAACCTACAGCCCTCACCTCCAGCGGTTCTATATCAGGCTTCACGCCAATCCCAGGTGGCAGGGCCACCTTTGCGCTTTCGAGTCTGACGTCTCCAAACGAGGTGTATGAGCTTAGTGGGCTTGACGCCGTTGAGCAAGATCTCTTAGCAGGAACAAACGCGGATGTGAAAGCGACAACGCTTACGCGCATTACTTCGTTCTCTTCTACCGGGCTACAAGGCAAAGATCTTTCTCCTGGCAAGGATTTTTGGTTCAAAGGTACAGCTGAGGGACAGGACACACACGGTTATGTGATTACCCCACCTGGATTCGAATGTGGCGTTAATGGGAAGTGGCCTGCGGTGATGCTTATCCATGGAGGTCCGGAGAGCGCTTGGTTTGATCAGTGGTCGACGCGATGGAATCCTAATGGTACACAATTTCCTTTTGCTGGGTTACAAAGGTTGGGCTGATTTTGGGCTACGTGCGCTCTAGTCTTCGCGAGCCAGGGATATGTGGTCGTTGCTATCAATCCAACGGGATCCACTTCATTCGGACAGAGTGAGTTACCCTCTTCTCTTGTCTGTTCTTGTGCTCAACGCAATATGTTAGAATTCACAGATGGGATCAATCAAAACTGGGGAGGCCGGCCCATCCAAGACTTGTTGCTGGGGTGGAAGTATATCCTTCAAGAATACCCAGAGGTGCGGTCTTACACCTTGTGTTCCTCCCACTCGACACATCCTGACCTCGATCTCTGCACATAGATAGACCAAAACCGCACAGCAGCTGCTGGTGCTAGTTATGGCGGATATGCAATCAAGTGCGTGTCATCTCCTTTTCGCCCTTGATATCTTGTGTCCTGATTCTCGCTCTTCGCAGCTGGATCCAAGGCAATCCCGAGCTCGGATTTGGGTTCAAGGCATTGGTCTGCCACGACGGTGTGCGTTTTCCCTCGTTGCATGAAGGAGTGAATGAAGACACTGATCCATTTACATAAAATAGGTATTTGACACAACCTATAACGGCTATGCCACAGACGAACTATTCTTCGTGCGTCTCCCATCCCTCCCTTACAACACTAAACACTAATACACTACAGTTCAATCACGAATGGGGAGGACGTCCATGGGATCCTGCTGCATTCGAAGCCTCGCGCAAATACAGCCCCGCGTATACCGTTGCAAAGTGGTCAACCCCGCAGCTGACAATTCACAGCAGCAAGGATTACAGGCTTCCAGAGGGAGATGGGATTGCGGTGTTCCATGCGTTGCAGCAGTGCGTTTTTCTTTTCTTTTTCGTTCTGGTTCTTCGTGTATCGTTCTCTTGCACCTATCGTTTCTTTTCAATCCGCCGTTCCTCTTTTCCTCTTTTATCTTGGCTCCTACCAGGTGATCCATATTAATCGACACGCATATAGGTTGGGTGTCCCAAGCCGCCTTTTGATCTTCCCAGACGAGAACCATTGGGTGATCAACGCTGGGAATAGGTATGTATGCAGTTCTACACGCCAGTCATGAGCTGATGCTTTGACTGGAATAGTTTGAAATGGCACTACGAAGTGTTTAGGTGGTTGGATCAGTTCATCGCGCTTTCTTAGACACGAACGCATCACTAGGAGAGGATCTCTTTTTGAAAATGGTAGAACTAAAGGATACGTTTTGGAGGGGCAAATTGGCCGTTTGTAACATAACACACTTGACTGTACTTGGATGGGTAGAACTTCTACGATTTATGATTTGCGTGCTGAATCAAGACCAGGCCTGTGTGATATGTGCACAAACTAAGGGCGTCTTCAGCATACTGGAAGTTCGTCGCAGTTGGAATGTGTCTGGAGTCTGGACTCAACCCAATAATAGTAGAGTCAATGAAGTTACAGCTCGATGGAATTGTCGGATGTCTCTCCAACGTTCCCTCCTAATAGACTTTGCGAGGTACAAGGTATAGTTAGTAATGTGACTCAACGTGACCATATTTTGCATCAGACCCTGAATTTTCTCGGCTTTCATCCGACACCACACCGCAACATCCTAAAAATGAGCAAAAATCATATATATATACAGGCGGTACGAATATACAATACTCCAAATTTGTGGAAAACAATATGAAGTAGTTGACGAGCTACATCGGTTTATACAAAAGAACGTCGCGAATTACTAATAGATCTGACCTGAGCCCAAGCTTCAATTTCATAAGCAAAGGTGTATTTGGGTGATGTCACAGTACGGTCACCTGCCCAGACAAACCCGGAGACTTCACCCACATATACACCATCTCTATTCACCTGATGCATGATGTCCTGTTTCTTCGCAAGGCTTTCCCTAGCTTTTCGCATTACACTTACTCTGTAGTTTCGAGCCTCTGAGGCACTCGAGTAAACTACTCAACTCCCTCACCAGGTCCTCGATCTCATCATTTCCTCAACCTCCTCACCACTTTCACCAATGCGCGCCACCTTGTCGAATCGCGCCCCAAACCTGCCCGTCATCTTGTTCGCAACCCTCACCAACGCACGCTTCGTCTCGCTGTCTGGCCAATCCTTCAAATCAAAGTACAAGCGCGCGTACTCGAGGAGCCTGTCCGAGTCGGAGCGTCAATGTACAAATTTGCATCAGCATGTCAATTTACAGTGCTAAGAAGCGTACGTACCATGCTGGCTGGACACCCGTGACGGTCCGTATATACGGTCTGTTCGTGACCACGAACTCGTTGAAAATTACCCACTCCGGCTGTGTATCCAGTCTGCACGATGGATGCAGCACTACAGGCTACCACCAAGAACATTTTCATCAGCACGTCAACCGCAACTCAAAGCCAAGATAATATACCTGATTGTTCACGGTCATATAATTCCTCTTCCCTCCCACCTTGTGTGCAACTTGCATGAAAAAGCCACAGCACAGCGCCTGCTTGATTGCCAGAGACATCCCGATCTGATCTTGCGCGCTTACGATGTCCACCTCAAACCGCCCCATCGTCCGTTCCAGCTGCTCGCGCACGTTAACTGCTTGCAGCAGCGCTGGAGCGGAGAGGTAGTGGTTATATGTCCAGTCTTTGTCGTGTTGGTCTGGGGTGGTTGGTTGCGGGTGAGGACGTAGGTGTTTGTAGGAAGTGGAGACTTACTTCGAATGTACTCGTTGTACACGTTAAGAAGCATTAGGTGGTCGCCACCGGGGACGGTAAGCAGCGCCTTTGCAGCATCCGCCTCTTCTCGCTTGTTACTTGGCCGTAGCCATACATTTGGCACTGCAAGAACGTCAGATGAGTGCAAATCTCCAAGATGAGTGCGCACCTGACAGCATCGAAGTGATCGTCAATATTTCATTGCTACACTTAAACTCTGGGCTGATGATTAGCATCTTTGAGAGCTGGGGGTATGCATCAGAACCGTCAGGTCCAAACGCGCCACCAGGACAGTCGCCTACCTGTGGATCCAGAGGGAATTCAGCCATGATACTCCCAAGCGCCGTGAGGTTTCCATCATCATCCACTGCTGCGAGATAATTCAATACCTCCAACGCCTTCGACAATGACTCTGGTGCTGGCTCATCCAAATAATCAAATTTGTCAAGATCCTACACAAGCATCAGCTCAACAACGTCACCCCCACATCGAACTCACCTTGATCCCTGCCTTGACAAGCATCAGCACCGTGCTCACTAAATTACTTCTCAAAATTTCTGGTTCCGTCTGCTCCTCGAGCTCCGACATCTCGTTCTCCGTGTACAACCTGAAGCATTTGCCCGGCCTCGTTTGCCCGGCACGGCCCGCACGCTGCTGTGCCGACTCCTTGGAGATCAGACTCACAAGTAAGCTCTCCACACGGGTGCTCGGGTTGTACACCTTCTGCTTCGAAAACCCCGGGTCCACGACGTACACAATCCCATCGATCGTCAGCGACGACTCTGCAATATTCGTGCTCACGACGACCTTGCGTCCTGGTGGGCCATCCGGACTACCCGCTGTGGGTGGCGGGTCGAAGATGCGTTGCTGTTGTTGAGGCGGTAACCAGGAGTACAACGGGATGCACTCGAGAGGGCCTACGGTCTCAGGGTAGCGGTCGATGAGGTTTTTCACCTCGCGCTTGATCTTATGACAGGTATCCTCTATCTCCTCCTCACCCGTCATGAATAGCAAGATGTCTCCTGGTTTCTCTTTGCGATGGATCTTGAGCACACGATGGATGGCAGCCTTGACGTAGTCTGACACCGGCTCCTCGGTGTAGGACACTGTAACGGGGTGAGTGCGACCGGGAACCTTGAAGAGCGGAGGAAGGGCGTCGCTGGAGACAGCAAAGTATTTCTGGAACTTGAGAGCGTCCAGGGTGGCGGACATGATGATGAGCTTGAGGTCGGGGCGACGGCGAGCGAGGGTCTTGAGAACCCCCATGAGGATGTCAGTGGCAAGCGTGCGTTCGTGAGCATCATCGACGATGATTGTGGAGTAGCGGCTGAGATCAGGATCATGCATGGCTTCGCGGAGGAGTATACCATCGGTCATGTATTTGAGGAAGGTGGTACCGGGCTCGGTCATGTCTTCGAAACGTATCGAGTAACCGACTTGTTGGCCGAGTTGGACTAGGTAATGAAGTGAGCTCGGAGTGGGATCAGAGTAGTGTCACAAACTAACCATCCATCTCATCTGCCACGCGTTCCGCTACAGCTGTGGTAGCGACTCTGCGGGTCTGAGTGCATGCCACAATCTTGTACTTCGTATGCGGAAGATCTGAATAGGCGACGAACTGGGGTATTCTATCAGCGATAAAAGAGTCTATGATAAGTGACTGTCCAAGAAGACAAAGGAGTATGTGCCAGGTGATGACAACTCACTGCGTGGTCTTGCCTGAGCCAGTCTCGCCGACCATAATGATGATTTGGTGTTTGTTGAACTGCGTACGTCAGGGTGAATGGAGTGAGGTATGCATAAAACTAACTATCTTATAGAACTCAGCCATATGTGCAAACACGGGGAGCGTTTTGCGCGATTCAAGGATCTTTTTGTATTGCGCAGTATGTGGCTGGTTCGTGAACGGGTTTATGTCGTGTTCCTAAGCGAATTCAAACGAGTCAGCCAGACCCGACGTAGTTCTGTTGTTGAGGACATACCAATGCGAGGTGCACTTGATCAGCGGTGACTTCTCTGGGAAGATAACCGAAGTTCTTCGAGGCGCTGGCACCATCGAGAGTGCTTGAAGCAGCTCGTTCTCGATCGGCGGCAACCTCTCGCAGAACGACGTTATATAGAGGCTCTCTAGCTCTAGGGATTTCATCCGTACTCCTGGTCCTTCAAAAGACCTCAGGATTACAGTTAAAATCGTTTATGAATCTTTTACCATCCCGGTATGAAATCCCATAGTTTCTTGATCAGTTCTGTCATAAGATATCGGTCTTGTTATAGGCACTGTAATACTTGGTGAGACGAGTAAGGGCAGTACAATGTGATGATGGAAACGTTTATCTCATCCAAGGATTCGTGGGCATTCATGCATTGGTATCTTGTAAGCGCTTTAGATTGGAGTCATCATAATCATACAAAACGAGGCATGAACTCGCACGAGCATTGTAGATAGCGCTAATGTCATATATAGAGATTCCGCAGCTAGAAGAACAAAGGGTGTGTTGCAAAGAATGAGAAGCATAAGTCACGTGGATATCACAAACGTAAGTAAGACAAACCCTCCCGTACACCAGGGGCTTTCATCCGCGCGCATTCTTTGCAGGAGGCTTCTTCCCGCTACCCGTTATTACGGCGGTCGTATTTGAAATTAACTTCCTCTTTTTCGCCGGCGCCTGCGACACGGCTTTCATACTGCTCGTAGCTGCGATGCGCTTGGTGCCGTAAACTTCGCGGCGATTTTCCTAGCGGGCGCGGGCGTCAGCATGCTGAACCAAATGTTCATGAAAGAAGGAGTGTACCTCAGCGCCCAGCGTGAGCTCGTCTTCTTCCTCTTCTGAAGAATCAACTTCGTCTTCGGCAGTCGCGTCACTACCTGACTTGGACTGCTCTGATATCTTATTTTCTCTATCCTCGTCTTCATCGATCTCAATATACTGTCGTTTAGTGCTTATTTTTCGGGCGGGACGGGACGAGGAGGAAGGTATGCTGGTAGAGGGATTGGATGGTGGTTTATTACCAGCCCCGGAGAGTGTGGGTTTACTAGGTCTTGCTGCAGATTTCGACGGTGGTGGTGCGGATTTGGTGGATGCAGCCGATGTAGGTTTGTTGTTCAGTGACGCAGATTTGCTGGTGATTGAGAAAACTTTGTTGGTACCCTGTCCAGCTTTACTAGGGGCGCTGGTGGGTTTACTGGGTTTCGGTATGGTTTTGCTCGAGATGGCTGAATTTAGTTTACTAGACCCTGGTACTGTGGATGTTAAACCCGATCTTGATGATGCAGAAGAACTTGATGCAGACGGTGCTTCATCGGAAATAGTGTCCTCCACGCTCTCCTCTTTTACGGGTACCTCGATGACAGCCTGAACGCGTCGGATGAGGTATTGTTTTGACTTGTCTCCGGAGGCTCTGCGATTGGCGGAAATGGGAGTGGGGAGCTGTTGTGTAGATATGGGTTTGGGTGCTCTGGATGACGATGCAGATATGGATTCGTCAGGAAGTTCGGAAGTGTAGGGAGGGAAACGGTGGCGTGTGGATGCGGATGGGTCGCTAATGCTTGTGCTTGCTGTTGTATTGGGGTAACGGAGCATTGTCTTGAATGGAGTGATAGACGCATGTGTCTGGACAGTATGCTGTTGTGTAAACGTTAGATTCAAAATTCAAGAAACGAGAGTAGACCGCACAGAAAGCTGCTCTTCAATAAGCTCATCCACACGCGTTGCGAGCTTATAGCGCTCTTGCTCAACGCGTAGAAACTGTTCTTTCCAGCTGGTGGCTTCCTGACGCGACGTGTCTTCGAGACGGAGACATTGTTGTTTCCACTGCTCGGACTCGTAGCGAAGTTGAGCGATCGTCTCGGCATGATGTTTTATCTGCACGCAAATTTCAGTATATCTACGCTATCAAATCAATGAGCGTACAGTCAACTCGGCTTGCTCAACCTTGTCAGGGGGCAAGGTTAGATATGATGAATGTGCAAACACCGAGTGGGGACATACAGCAGACTGTCGGACACCAGCCTCTTGCTTCCACGCCTGCTCCTCGAGCCTAAGCTCATGGAGAGCCTTAATGGCTTCATCCCGCTCGCGACGCGCTTCTCGTGCTTCAGTAGATGCTTGTGTGACTTCTTGACGTGTTTGATCCTGTATGTTCGTAAACTACACAGGTCAATGAATCACGAAGAGCATCAAAGAAGACGATGAACCTACTGCAATGTTTACTGCTTTATTCAGAGACGCGAGTGCATCCGTAAGTATGACAGACGGCGGGGAGTTTGTTGACATCTGGTTGCAAATCTAGTGAGAGCAAGACGCCTTTGGCAGTTCCCGATTCAATTAATTTGAAACTTAACACGTGCCACAGCGCACCTCAACGAAACAACTTGAAGAAATTCAAAAGCCAGCCGGTTTTCAACTCCACTTCAACTATTTATGCCTTGTAATGCCACGCAGAGACTGCAACCTGTTGTCTTTGTGTTTCCCGCAGGTGGTGTCAATCGTATCTCCCGAGTCTTATCGAATTCCATCAGAACTCTCATTTTGCCGTGGGATGACATGCTTGCTACTATGTCGCCTACTCAGCAGCACTTCCTCCCAAGTACCCATCTTTGTATACACACCGTAACACATCGCCTCTTAATCAGTTAATTCACCTTGCATTCACGTCCCCTTTTCCTGGTCCTTTTTACTTCATTTCCTGCTGGACGCCCCCAGGTGCCTTGGTTACTCCATTTTCAGCGGAGCATGACCAGTCATCGTGGAACATCTATCCGTATGAAGGTTACGTTAAAAGCACCATGAGGAGAGGTCGGAAGTTGGAACAAGCCGTCACCCAAAATGTCCGGTGGCATTCCTCGAACGCTGCATAGATTCTGAGCCGGGTATGTTACTTGTGTTTATCTTTACACGGGGATATATTCCTGCGGTAGACAACATGCATGGCACTCAGTGACTAACTGGGTCGCCGTACATTTTGTCTACCGTACTAATCATGATATAATGTCTTAGTTCTGCTTCAAGATGTATCATGGTCATGCTTATCTGAGTACCACTAAAAATCAAGGTCGCCAGTCTTTTGTCACACGGAGCATATTAGTTAACCCTTCATTAGGAGGAATGACTCCCTCAGGTTTTTCTCGGGGAGACTAGTTGACCTGAAGTTGCCCCTCAGTGACTACTGGCTACGAATTCAGTGCGCGCACCCTTAACTATTGTGAGGGTGGTCTATACCGATTTGGGAGTCCCGACATGGAAATATCATCAGTAGGGACTTCTTTCATCATCGTCCGCTGTTCATTGAACTTTGTCTTGCAGTTTTTAGACGACCCTTCCCTACAGAAAGTGTCCTTCCTTTTCAAGAGTTTGGTCATCTTGACATTCGCTATTGATCTGTCTCTTGGCCATGTCTTGGTTCCATTTTCGCCGCACCGGCCAGTCTTGCGCATGGCCACCCTAGCGCTGAGGGTAATGAGAATACTACATGTGGCCATGTACGCTACTTTCAGCGGTATGTACTTGATGTCTTGGTAATCAAGGAAGGTCAACCATCGGTGACCTGCTGCCGACAACTTGCCTATGCATGTGCTTCGAGTGGAGCTCGCTCTGACGTCTAACCCTTTTCCTCGACGTATAAAAGCGAGTGGAAATTCTTGAAATTCTGCATCTCAAATTACTGCACGACATTCTCATCAAACTCTAACACACGATGAAATTTACACTTGCTGCTGCTCTTATCTCTGCTCTTGCCCTCCCAGCGTTTTCAGCGCCCGCGGACGTCACATACGACACTGCGTACACCAATCCCAACTCGTCCCTTAGCAATGTCGCATGTTCTAACGGCGCGAACGGTCTTTTGACCAAGGGATATACCACCTTCGGCTCCATCCCTTCATTCCCCAACATCGGAGGTGTTCCAGGCGCCACCTGGAACTCCACGTTGTGCGGCACCTGCTGGAGCCTCCAATACACCACGCCCAGCGGCGTCCAAACTACCATCAACATCACCGCCGTCGATGCTGCTTACACATTCAACATCTCCCCGCAGGTGTTCAATAAGTTGAATAATGGCACCGGCTTAGAGCCCGGCAAGATTGTGGCTAACGTCACTCAGGTCACCGCGAGCAGCTGTGGCATGTAGTGGCATGTATGTTCATCTTTGACGTTCTGCGAGACTCAAGTTCTGATTCAACGTGCGTCTAGGCCATTACGTTGGAGAGTTTTCTGGTGTGCTGGAAACGGTTGAAAGTATCGCAGAAAGAGGTTCTTGAGTCTTTGTTTCGTGAGCGGGGCAACTTGTATGTTGTAGCTTGTACATTGTTGCTTGTACGTTGTGGTTCGTTATTACGCGATGCGATGTTTTTGGGAAAGTATTGGTTACTCGACGAGCAGCTTGCCTCAGCTTTCCCTTATGCCCAACGGCATCCAAACTACCATCTTCATCACAGCTGTCGATGCAGTGCTCACACATTCAACATACTAGACCCTAATCCTGACATTGTTAACAGTGTCGACACCACAGATGTATCTATGTATGGTACTAATGTCTAGGCTGAGCAATTTTTGTTCAGCAAGCAGATTCAGAAATTTTGATGACCTCGAGCTGCAAATTGAAAATAAGCTCAGACTTCTTTGAAATGTGGAAGAACCTACACTTTCATGAAGCACATAAATTCTATCATCATCCATCCAAAAAAAGGTTGTATCATCACTAGTGGTGGACTTTGTGCTTGACACAACCTCAACACAAGGCAAAGATGATGTCACCAATTGTCCATCTAGGTCTATGGTGGATGGCTCTCGCACCACTCGTCCTAAGCTCTTCTGATGCACAACAGCTAATGGACTGAAGTCCATCATACTATGCAATCTATACTCCACAGGAAGGTCATCATTTGAGTCCATCATATGTGCTGTGGGGAATGCCTTCAAGACTCGACTCCCACTAATACTGATCATGAAGTTGCAGTCCAAGTCCTGCCACTCAAAAACATGAGTATTTGAAAGGCCCCAATGCTTCCAAGGTATGACTGTTGCCATTCCTTCAAGCTTGAAGAAAGTCCTAGTAGAGATGACAAAAAGGGCAAAAGGAGGAGCTGTTATGAGGGATAGTACTTGATGAGTAGGGTCTGAGGTCCACATTGTGTGTTGCATCCCTGACTGTGAAGTATGTGTGATATTCATCAGGAAAACATTACATCAGCAAAACCCTGAGTGGCTGTATGGCACTGTGCAGTGCCGCACAGTGCCGTACAGCCACTCAGGGTTCACAGCGAAGTCCCCCCATGCACAGCCAAGTCACAATGCTACACAGTGTGTGTGTCACGCTGCGTGACTGGACCCAGTTACCCAATATGGCACAGCGCTAGGCAGCTGCACAGCACGACCATGCTGTACAATGTTATATAGCAATGTATGGGTTCAAGTACACTATCTCACATGATAGAATACTATCACCACTGACTCAATCAAACTTGGACTGTACTAGTGAGAAACAAACACAATTGAATTAGACATGGACACTGCAAAAATGGTAGTAGTACTACTATGTGAAGTAAAGTGAAAAGCAAGGCTAAAGATAATAGTAGTACAACTAATCAAGATCAACCTCCCATTCAGAACTGCCATCACTGTCTTCATCGCTCATAGTGACATCGTTCCTATGTGATGATCAATAATAGTACTAGTACTAGTAAGACAAATAAAACAGACTTACATGCCTGTCTGTGCTCAAGACTGAAGCATCTTGTGGAGCTTCGGACCATGATACTCGTCATCACTAACACGTTTGAATAGGCCAGCAATTTTCTTGTAGATGATCTCCGAATCTATAATGTTTGTTTGCTTTGTGTTTGCTTGACCATGCCTGGAATAGATGTCGAGAACGTTTCGAACCTTGGGGAAAATCAGTTGATTACTGTGAGCATACTAGTACTACCTGTATATTCACAATTGTTGCAATCAGGATGATAGCGTTGTCCGGAATAGTCTTTCGAAAGGCAGGGAATTGACACAAAGACTTCGAGCCACTATCATAGAAAACTCGAAGGCAAATAGAGCGGAGCGCGTTATGCGCGAAGTTAGATGAATGACCCTGCCACTTGGTTAGCATAGAATACTATTGATGACGACAATGAGCGCACCTGAGCATCGGCTACTCCACATAAAAACAATGAGTGGTGAATAAGACCAGATGCCTTGCTTTTGATAGTTGCAATGGAACTCCCTTGTGAGATAAGTTCGTATTCCAGGGGAACCACAGCGAGAGCAACATGTTTGATCTTGCTTCGAAAAGTTGCAGCATCATTAAAAATCTGCATCAATACAATTTGAGATATAGTAGAACATTAAAGTTAGTACTAGCACGTACCACAATAGCCATCTCTGCTTTGAAGTTTGGGTAGTAGCCTCAATAGACATGTCAGTGGGCTACTAATAGTTGATGTGAGATAGACAAACCTTTCTCTAGTTGGTGCTTCTGCTCTTGCCAATACACGATGGCTTCCACAATCATTTCCCGCATACTCCACCATCATCAATGGCTGATTCACGTTGGGGGAATGGGGCCACAATGGTGAGGTGTTGCCTGAAATTGGCCTTTGCAAAGTCAAGCAGTTTGACCCAAAGAGGAGGGAAGAATCCGAGGGTGGTTGGGTTGGCGGTGCCCTTCCCATTCTTATTCTTCTTGGTGGTGTGGCTATGAACGCCAGAGTCACAATCAAATTTGACCTTGTCATCATCACAGTCCAAACCTTGCAAGTGATTAGCAGGCGAGGGTTTGTTTGTGCGAGGGCACTTAGACTTTGGATGCGGATTATTGTGTTGCCCATGGACACCAATCAGATATGAGGGTGATGGGGAATGTGGCCTATGGTTATTTGAATGGTGACGCTGGAGGAGATCATAGTTGATATTAGGCTGAAATATAATGATCAGCACAGAATATATAAGCCAATAAGTACTCACTACTTCTGTGGCACATGAGAAAGCTTGCTTGCCATTGGTCTGCGGTTGGCCAGCTGGCTTTCGTCCTTCATTGTTGATGTGTTTTCTGCTTGTCTCGGGCAACAGTCACGGTTGATACAATCCTGTGGATTATGGTACCCGGGAGCCATTACCATACATAAGTTGTCGTTACCATCCTCTTGCTCTTCCCCACTAATAGCGACGTCGATGTCATCTTCCTCAAAGTTAGCATCTTCCTCATGGCTATCTTCCTCGAAACTGGCATCCAGAGTCTCCTCGACATCAAAATCTTCCTCAACAACCATTTCCCCATCTGTCTGAGTCTGTTCGGTTTCATCGTCACTTCCATCCACAATGGAATTTGGGTGAACAGATGAAGCAGAACCACCTGGAAGGACTTGCCATGTTGATGGCTCCTGTTGACTGTGAGAGTTGATGTTGGGAGTGAATGACCTTGAGCGAGAATGACCAAAATCGGTATGGGCACCTGGGCGCTCAACAGGATGAGCAGAGGGCTCCGCAGGACGAGCAGAGGGCTTGACGGGACGAGCAGAGGGCTTGACAGGGTGAGTAGTAGAAGGCTTGACAGGGCGAGCAGAAGGCTTGATAAGATGAGCAGAGGGTTGGACAGCACACACTCTTACATCAGACTGAGGAGCCTGGACAGCAGGACTAACAAAAGTACGAGCACTGACAAGGGACTCAACATGAGGTGTTGAATCAAGCTGAGGAGGATTGTGTGGTCCACAAGCTGTTTGGTCAGTTTGCAACAGCTTTGAGCCAACATACACTGAGGGAAGTGGATAATCTTGCAATCCGAACCTTCCATGTTCTGTGACATGTAAAACAGGTGTGGGACCTACAGCAGTTGGGCCTGAGGTCTCCTGTCAAATTTTGGATGTTAATAGTATTCAGCGTTAGATCAGAAAAAAAAATCACTCACTGTGACTACTAGTTTGCTCTGACGAGTTCCTTTCTTCCTCTTCTTCAAGTTTGATGGAGCCATCGCATTTTCAATCTCATCAGGAGGGACAATGATGTTTGGTGCATTTGGCTTGAGCATGGCTTTGACTGGACTCTCAATGGCGTTTCCGACCCTCCTTAACTGAGAAATCGCTCCACCAGCACCAGCGTTAGCCCGACCTGAACAATGGGGAGGCTCAACATTGGCCTGAGTCGACAACTTGAGTTGACTTTTTCTGCTGACCCATGGGAGAACAAGTCTTGGCAACTTGGTACTGGCAGAGAGAGAAGCGAACTTGAATGTTGCATGTTTGAAGCGAGTCGGAAGTTCCAGGATGAGTGCTGTACGTAGTAGTAGTAGTATTATTAGTAACAGTGATAGTACTAAATAGTAGTTTGCCGTGCTATCATGTATGTAATACTACTGCACACCAGCAGCACACGACTCGCCTCACTTGCGAGTCAAATCAACTTACTAGTAAAGTCTTGCTGTGACTCTGAGTTACCTGTTGTCATTTGTGCCTACCAAGATGCCAACTAACTGTCCTAATTGTTTGAAATTGTTTGGGAGTGCCCTGGCTGTTACACGACACCTCAGTCAACCTCTTACATCCTGTCTACAACGAATTGATGAGCTCCAAAGTGCATCACACATTTCACTCGAGTTGGGCCAGCACATGACTGGTACTACCACTAGAACACCAAGCCCTGTTTATCATGATGATTTCCTGATGGAATTTGAGTAGAACTGGTGCTGCCGCTGGCGCAAGGGCAGGATGACTTGGACTTCTATGAGGGTGTCACAGTGGACTTGGAGAATGCCCGGGCCTTCCTGTGTCCATTGAAGAGTCCTGGGGTGACCGAGTGTTGGGGAAGCCTTATGTTGAGCGCTTTGAAGGTGCCGCAAAGGTCTTTCGGTCCAGCCAGACCTTTCAGGATAGGTTTAACATGGATCCATACTCCCATCATCGCAAGGACAATCTGTACTACCCGTTTGCATCTCTTCAGGACTGGGAGCTTGGAAAGTTTCTCCTGTGCTCGTCCTTGAGTATGGCAGCCATAGATGAGTTTCTGAAGCTGGAATTGGTGTGTCGTTAGTGAATGTTTTTCTATTGTAAGTTCTTATTTCTCAGCAGGTCAAATCATTACCTCTCTCCTTTTATACGGCGAAGGAGCTATGTGGTCGTGCCGAGCTTCTGCCTTCTGTTCCAAAGTGGCAGTACTGTACCATCTCGACGACTCACCCAACAAAACAACCACTCTATCTTTACTGGTGTGATCCACTGGATTGTATTGAATCACTTTTTAGCCACCTGCATTTTGTCAAGCAAATTGATCTCATGCCTACATGTGTATACAACCCAGTGTATCATACAGTACGGATGTACAGTGAATGGATGACTGGGGATGCAGCATGGTCAATGCAGGTATGTACCTTATCAAGCTACGGGTCTACTAGTAGTACTACTAGTTGTATTAACTTGCTAACTCCCATCCCCCGTCGTAGTCACAACTGCCAGAGGGCGCGACACTGCTTGGTGTCATACTTTCCTCTGACAAAACCAACATCACGAATATGACTGGTGGACGCGTCGCTCATCCGCTCCTCATCAGCCTCACCAATATCAAGATGGCGACTCAAAACAAAGCATCCTCCCATGCTTTCCTCCTCATGGCACTGCTTCCAATCGCCAAATTTTTGCATCCGGTGAAGCGGTTGCAGAGTGTCCTTGAAGCCCGTTTGGTTCACCAATGTCTGGACATTATTCTTGAACCGCTCAAGCAAGCTGCGCGTATCGGGCAAATGATGTCAGACCCAGTCAGAAACCTCAGGTATTGCTTTATGCCCTTGGCTTCGTATATAGTTGATACACCTGAAGCATGCATGCTTGTGTGTGTTTGGGGAAAGACCTCACCAGTAACTATGGCCATGTATGAAAACTTTGGAGATGCCTTCCAACACCCCCCATGAACTGCTAAAATGACTCTTGACCAGCTTGCAAGTATTGAATGTGATCCCCTAGATGTTGAAGCTTACTTCACTGCATGTGCTCCCTTCTGCCTCAGTGGTGTCGCCCGTCCATTCTGGTGTGACTGGCCACTTGCAGATCCACCTTGTTTTGTAACTCCAGAGGGCCTGCACCACTGGCATCATGCATTCTACGACCACGATGTTCAGTGGTGTCTCAGAGCTGTTGGCATGGAGGAATTGGACTTTCACTTCTCCGTCCTACAGCCACTCACAATGTTTCGGCACTTCAAGGATGGTATTTCGAACCTTAAGCAAGTCACTGGAAGAGTGCAGCGGGATCTGCAGCATTATACTGTTGCCCTCATTGCCGATGCAGCTCCCCCTGGCGTTGTCATAGCTATTCGGGCACTCATGGACTTCCGGTACTTATCACAAGCAACAGTGATCAATGAAGTGCATTGTCAGAAGATCCTTAATGCACTCCAGGAATTTCATGAACATAAGCAAGACATCATTGCGTGTGGGGCGCGTCGAGGCGCCAAGAGCAAAAATGTTCTCAACAACTGGCATATCCCCAAACTGGAGTTAATGCAGAGCGTTGTGCCTAGTATCCATCAAGTTGGTTCCCTCTTGAAGTGGTCTGCTGATACCACAGAGCATGCTCACATCTCCCTTATCAAGGATTCTGCTGACTCCACCAACAATAACAACGTCGATGCTCAAATATGCCGGTTTCTTGATCGTGTCGAAAAGTGTCAAAGTCTTCAGACTACGACATCAATCATCACTCAGCTGTCTCAATCTCAGGCACAAGCTACCAGTTCTCAAGCGATGGATGATGATTTGGGGTTGGATGATGAAGGTGCAGATGTTGATGAGGCAGATATACAGGCCGCAGCTGTCGATTATCTCTGGGAGCCAAAATGTCCTGTCACCAATTTCTTCAAGAAGGCAGAGCAAGTCTCTTTGAACATCAAAGCGGCCAGACCTCACTGTACATTTGTTGTTGGTACTAGTACAGCAATTCACCTCAATTTTGACCCTTCCCTGCAGCACATACCAGTTAATATTGTCGCCGAAATTTTTTCTCTGCCTGACTTGCAGGGAGCACTCGCCGACTACATTCAACAGGAGGGTCATAGTCGCACATCTCAGGGCTTCCACAAGTTGGAGGGGCAACACCATGCAGTACCTGACACACCTCTACCATTTGATGACCTTATGGTCTGGTTCAAAGTATGGGTGCAGCAGGTATCATTCTACAGCCAATCAGTCACTCCTCCTGCTCTCACCATCAATGCATCTCCTCCGAGTACAACCAGGAAGTATGGTCACTATGATGCTGCTATATTTGCTGTTAATGATACCGAAGTTGAACAATGGCCAGCTAGTGGGCTTAAAGGTGCATTTTTCATTGTCAGTTTGCATACTACTGCTAGTATACCTAATATCTGAGCAACTTGCAGGCCATGCTGTCGTTGAGGTGCGCCTTATTATGCAACCGCTTCCTCCATGAGGAAAGACTACCCCTTGGGCCGGTTGTTTCCTCACTTATGTCCAATGCCTGGATGTCGTGACTCAGTGATGCGGAGGTGTATTGGAATGCACTACACAAATGCATGTTTTAAAATGTGCAATGCGATCAGCAGGGGTTCCCTTCGGTGGCATCCTCCTGCTGGATCAACTTTGTGCTTTTGCACATATTGTCCCCCGGTTTGGTTGCATTGCTGATGTCCATTTAACAGCACAAAACAGTGCTCACTCAGCTCAAATTTTCTTATTGAACAAATACATTGACAAAGAGTTTTATTATGCTATCTCAAATTCATAGTACTACTAGTAGTTTTTCCCTTTGTACTAGTACTACTAGTAGTCGCTGTAGTACAGCCACTCAGGGTTTTGCTGATAGCCTACTGGCTTCAAATTGTGTAGATTTGAATGTCTGCTCCTAAAGAGCTCCATATCTATACATGATTACTAGTATAGGACAAGTTGCAATTGAGAAACAATCTATCCAGGGTGAGGTGGCGCAAGATAGTGCTGTGCAGCGCTACCCCTTCTGATGTGGCAACACGTGGTTTTAGCTGACTAAACTGCAACAATGCCTACTGGTGGGCTGACTGGCACAACTTGCCTAGCTGGATTGACAGTTGCCATCATACTACTAGTACCAAGTACCCTCAATGTCTCTCACTGGTTCTTTCACCAAACCCCCACAAATGTACTCTGGGCTCTCAATGAACAAATCCAAATCCAAAGCCTGGCTGCCGCCACCCTCCAACTTGAACTCTCTGATTACTACCTCCCCTCCATGTGCGCATGTCCGAAAATCAGCAAAGTCCTGCAACACTTTCCTGCCAGACCAAGTACCAGACCAGCAAGTTCTAGAAGATCTTGAAGCAGTGGTAAAAACGAGACTCGACCTCAAAGATAATCAAGATGGTTTAAGCTTGGGTTAGGATTTCTCAGCTCGCTTATCTATTCCATCCAGACTTCTTCCTGATCATCTCTTTTAGGGCGGTGTGCAGTCATTCTCGAGGCTCTTCAAAATCCTCAACCAAACACATTTGTAGGTTCATTTCAACTGATCAGCCGTGTTGATGATATCATTGCAAGAACGGAGTAAATGGCAACAGCCAAAAGATGATAGCCTTGCGAGTCAAGTCCTTCGTGCAAGTCCCACCATGGACTATGAAAACTTCATCCCTTGTCATATCAAGAAGTCATTGAGGTTTGGGCCGGTCACCATCCAGTCCCATGTCTGGATCGATGTGTGCGAGGTCCGATACACCATGTATAAGTGTGGCGCAGATGGCCACTTCAACTTCAACAGCAAGAATGCGGAGACATTCACAGAAGGGGTATGTCCACATTTTTCTATTTACTTTCAGAGATATTAACACACTACAGACAATCTACCCTGAGATCAAGATGGACGACATCGAACACATCTTAAGTGAGGCTGTGGAGAGTTTGAAAGATTACATTGTATCATTAATGGAGGGTATGGGGTTAGAGGAGCCTGCAATCTGGAGTGTGCGCGAGTCTCGTCCTGTGTGGGACCCCATGTGGGAGGCTGCTCTGAACCAGATCTCCACCACCGTCTATCTTACAGCTTACTGCCGCTACATGGATTGGCAGCACCACAAATATGAAAAACGCAAGTTATCAGTCGCTCAGGCTAGTACCGGTACTTCACTCTCATCTAATCTAACAACTGGCCTCTTGTCCAACCCCACTACTTCATCCTTGACCGATCAGCCACACATGCCCTCCTCCAGATTATCGATTGATGCTGAACCTGAACACTCAGCGAAGAAAGCAAAGGTTGACGACAGGAAGGTTCCCAAGTCGAAGTTGAGGAAGTCCAAGAAGGCAAAGGAAAGGGTGAATGACCTTTAGGCTTGAGCTGGAAGGATGAGTGTCCATACACATGCATATTTTAGCGCTTGCATTGTTGTTGTGTTCAGACTGAGTCATGCTGCCCATACTATCGCTGACATTTTATACCAGTACCATCCATGCAGTTTACTTTCATTACTACGCATTTGTTCCATGATCTGTGTATCTGTGTACTTGTACTAGTAGGTTCTGCTGTCTGTATATCTACAAATGTCATGCAAGCGAGTTAATAGTATTCAAGTTGAATCATCGCATGCATCATGCATGACTTGGTACTGTAGACAACTTCAACCAAACTTGTACCAGTATCGGCGATGAACAGTCTCGAACCTACACCATCTGAAACTCTCGAGCTCAAGGACATCTCATTACACTCGGACATCCAATCAAATACAAATCATGGAGAAAAATTGGCGTACTATGCATTACCAAACTTGGCTGCCAGTGGGAAGTCAACTCGCTACCATTTTGGGGTCTCCAGCACACCTGGACCATTCATAAACAGTACTACCACCACTTCCAATATCAACCCATCTGCCATTTGTAATACTCCTTCCTTATCCATATCTCACAATATTATGTCTAGGGCTGGGCCAGCTGTTTTTAACTCTAGGATAATTGGAACTCCCAGGGCTATCAATGCTTTGTGAACACACCGGTCCCCTGCGTTATTGCGCCACTTAACAACACCAGGCATCTCGAATTATAGATTTTCCACGAACACTGTCCTGCTGGCATCAGAAAAGTTTTGATAATGGAGTCAGACTGTGGAGAAATAGATGATGTATGTCCTTGCACTTCCAATACATTTTCTAAATAATAGTATTCCTTACTAGGAAGATACTAACTCTAGTGACAATGGTCATAATGAGGAATTCAAAACCCAACTTGTGTTGAATGCAACACGAGTACAGCGAGATGTTTGTCTTGCGGAGAAGAAACTCGCAGATTGTATTCTCAAGGAAAACACTGCACTTGGGGTACTCTATCAGTTCGAAGCTACAGAAGCTGAGAGAAAGTTAGAGGATGCTGACATGGACATTGGCTATGTGCACCATTCCCTTCGAAAAAGTGGTATCACACTATACGAGGACTCTAAGCCTCTGAAATGCCGTCGTACTTCTGCTAGCAGTCAGCATAGTAGTAAACTGGATGTGGTCTTAATACCAGGTACTACCAGTAAGCGCTTGTATTTGCTCAACTGCTTCAAACTCATGTGTTTTAAGGATCTGTGAGCATGACATCGGAATCTGAGCTGCCACAGTGGGACTTGTGCTAGTAGAAAATTCACTGAGCGGACTCATCATGATGGGTGCCAGCACTATTCAATCTTTGCATAGTATAGTACTCGTACTACTTGTGTCTATGTGCCATATCAATGTTATCCTGCCTGAGTGCATGTTTTACTTTCCATGGTATTCAAATTTAAATACTACTACTAGTACCAGAATTAGCAAATGGACTCTAGTAGTGAGTGGAGGAAGAAAATGGCACAATGCCTTGCTGTATGATGTATCTCGCTGTGTAGCACTCTGTCAAACAATGTTACACTACATATCTGTACCATTATGTTGCTAAGACTACATGAGCCTGTATGCGGCTATAACCCTGACATCACACAGGGCTACCTAGTGCTACGGGTGCCTGCGGGGCTGTAAGGTGCTGTGACATACTGTAAGCGCCTGTAAGCATGTATGTCACTGTGCTAAATTTAGGGTTTTGCTGATGTAGTGTGCTCATTTTGCCTTATTCTACTTGCAAGCCACATAAGGCTGTTAAGGAACATAAGAAATTTCAATCACTCTAAATTAAGGACAACAAGAAACATAAGAAAAAATAAAGAGGCATAAGCAAATTTTATTTCTAAGAGGTCATTTCTTCATAATGATACTGCCGTGGAAGTGTATATATTAGTGGTGTCATCGAGATGGGTAAAAATGAGCATGGAAGTGACAATAGTAACACATAACAATGGTTACTCGACTGGCTGGAATGGACGAAAGCAGTGATAGGAGCAGTACAGTCCTCCATACCCAGGGATGTTGGGGGTGATGCCATTGACACAGGAGATGTTGATGTTGAATAGCTAGGTGATGGCGTATCCAGGAGGAGGGAAGAACATGAGTTGGGTAAGGTCCTTAACCTGCAAAATCTGTCTTGACCATGTCCTTGAACTCCCTAAGTGTTACTGGATCCACATTGAGTTCCCATTCCAGATACTGATGCCTCACCTGATTTATTCTGTGCACCCTGGGCTACAATACTCCAGGATTTGTTGGAGTAAGTGTCATCACAGATGACCTTGGATGTGAGCATGAATGCGGATACAAAAAGATGGTGACCTAGAGATCCCTGAGCAGTAGGAATACTCTAGGATTTGTTGGAGTAAGTGTTGTCACAGATGACCTTGGATGCAAGCATGAATGCAGATATGAAAAGACAGTGACCTGGAGATCCCTGAGCAGTAGGAATACTCCAGGATTTGTTGGAGTAAGTGTTGTTACAGATGACCTTGGATGTGAGCAAGATCCATGTAGATAGTCCTGGTAAATGATCAAACTATGAAGGGGGAGGACAGAGGATAACAACAAACCTGCCTCTCATGCTACTTCAAACACATGATGGTTGGCATACTTATTGATGGTGAATGTGCAAAATACATTGTAGCTGTCATGAGGGGTGATTTCACGAGGTAAAGAATCAGTACCATAGAGAGGAATAAGATGAGCTGCATGGAATATACAATCAATATGGATAAGTGAGATATCTGGCATGCCATCATCATTAGTTGACGGCACAACAATGTACATTCCGGTGTCAGGATTCTGGCTATCTGTGACATATGAGAACCAGCAAATAACTGCACATCACAGGTATTTTGTCCGGTACTTGAAACCAAGAAAGCACAATACTCTTGTGATGGCAAGTCCATCCAAGCCACAATTGACCTCCTTGTTTGTACTGACAAATATACAGTCATGCCTAGCAGGACCTCCTCACCATGATGTCATCGCCCAAATGTGCTCACATTGCATGCCTCCAGTGTCACTGAGGTCACTGGAGGCATGGAATGATGCTGCTGCTGAGCTGAAAACCAAAACTCAGCTCATGAAAGATGGTGCTGACACAGGATTAAAATCAGGGGCCTCGTGGTCTCCAACATGAAGCTGGTCATAAAGGAACTGTTGGACCATTGTGGGGAAGTTCGGAAGTTCAAGTTTGAGTGCAAGTGCAGAGATATTACATGTACCACCTGGTACTAGAAAGCTTTAGCAAATAATGTGTGATAAAGATGAAGACCTACTGGCCAGTGCAGCAAGTTCCACATGAGCCTGGACAGGAGGTCCATCAACTATCTCGGCTGTATCTACCTCAATAGACTAATTGGTTGCTTGTTGATGCGCAAATGGTTAGGAAGAGCCTGTAATATGTCCGCAAGTGCATTGTCATTGTCATTGTTGTCATTGTTGTTGTTGTCACTGTCATTGTCTGGAAGCTCACAACTACCTGTATATTACAAGTTAAAACATCTAAAAAGCCTTAAATACAATAAACACTCACAATTTTTTAGTGCATGCAATGCATCAGATACACATGAGCCTTGAAGCATGCCACAAGCTTCAAAGTTGCTTCACACTGCTGCTATTTTATTGAGGCATTGGTTTGTGAGCAGCATTTGGCCTAATGCTTTGTATCTGCTGGAGCGACACCAAGGCTCTTTAATGGCCTTAATGTGCTTCAACTCGGTTATTGACAAGCAAAGGCCATTTGGGGCACCAAAGAGTTGAATCACGAGGAAATAGTGGTTAATAGAGTGTTGGTGTGGAAGTGAGAAGTCAGGCACAACTCCTGTCATCTTGAAGATTTGGCGGTACTGGTGAAAATGGTTGAGTGCATCTTGAAGTTGGGTGAGGTCATCCTCTGTGAGTGTGTCTCATTGGACTATGTAACAGAAATCAAGAAATGCACTAAATGTGTGAATGACGTCCTGAGGTACATGACCTTTGATGGCGGGTATATATACCTAGATAGTAGTAGTATTAGCTTATGCATTATAAAGGCATTCAGTCACAACATACCTTTATCAGCGCCTTAGAGTCGTCGCCCGTCCACTGCTTGAATCCACACCCTTGTGGAAAGCATCGTAAACCTGCGAAAGGAGCAATGGCTGCGATCCTGTCAGAGTAATGAGTACAGTGTGTAGATAGTGATCATGTTTTGACAAAAGACTCGTACCTTTGATCAATATCATCCATAATTTCAGCTGCACATGAAGCCCTGTGTGTGAGTAACAAATACTCTTCTACCCAATCAACAAGGTGATATTTAAACATCCCCTTGATGATCTGGTGCAGGATGTCCAGAGAGATAAGTTTGTGGATATCAGCTCAAGGGAAATCATTTGTGAATGGCTGAAAAAACGAATGAGAAGTTAATCTGAGCAAAAAATGAGAACATACCACAACCTCTTGAATGATGCCATATTTGTGCCAGAGGTGAACATGCTGCAGTTCTTGAACCAGGAGGTCAGTGTGTTCTTGGCACTGGAGTAAAGATGGGCCATCGCTGTCGAGATTCTTATGATGATTCAGACACCTTGAACAATGTCAGTGCAAGTTAATGAATCAAACAGGAGGGGATGCACTTTGGACACCAGTTTTGAACAACTCCCGACAGCATGAGTTGCTCCGGATAATTGGCTATGTATGGGCCTAGCCCATAGATGATACATTGATAATGACTGTTGGGGCAGCGCACGGTGTCAGGTATCATCATATTCAACTTCACAGACTCAAATATCTTGGCAAGCGAGGAGTGAAACATCTGATGGCAGAAATTGTGAAAGTCTTTGTCGTCCAAATGTTCCTTTGTGCCTATAGTACATATAATGCAAATCAGTATTTGAAACAGTGCATCAAAGGGACAATGCACTTTTGGGAATAGCCAGAAAGCCCACCAGTACCACACCATTGTGATGTGCGCGCCGAACTCCATTGGAAATGTTGCCAATTAACATATAGAGTGGATGATACTCAGTGTGTCCTGTAGCGACTGAGACTGTAGTCTTGTTGCTGCCAATGATCAGAGGCACAAAGGTTGATCCGTGAGTTTCTGGATCCTCTGCAATAATATCCTGTATAAAAATGTACTATCAGTCCAAGGAAAGTAGCTGCAAGGTGTGAAATCCATACTGCTTGCTTCCAGGCCCAATCACCAGAGAAAAAGTTTTTGTAACAACACTGATCATTGTTAGTATAGTCCCGATATGGGTCATATTCTATCTCAGTGTCAAAGTCAGGGTTGGAAAGCATATGATGAACGAGTAGACGTGGATCATGGAACCACACATCGTATTTGTCAGTCATCCAGAGCAGAATTTCTTCAGCTGGCTTAACTCCAGTCTCCCAGGCAACATCACCGAGGGGAGTTGAATCAATAGTTTCATATAGGTCACGATGGCCAGTGAACAAAGGACTATCATTGTGTCGAATAAGTGTTGCTGCCCAGAGGTCGAGAAGAGTGTCAATTTGAGCTGCAGACATTTGGTTATGTGTATATAGGAACTCCGCTGTCTCAAATGCAACCTGGTTTACATATGGCATCCAGTCAGTAGGTGAGGCTTCGGTTCTGGATGGTGGGGGTGCATTCTGGTCAATAAAGTTGCCATGAATATCGCACTTTCGGCCTGCACTATGAGTGAGAACTAAATGGGTGAATGACATGAATCGGTTACCTGTAAGAAGAGGATGGAACGTCCAGAACAGTGGCCCCAACTGCAGGCCCTCCTCTGGCATAAAAGCTTCATCATTGTTTTCATCAAAGTCATGGTGCTGGGGACTTGGAGGCTGATTGTCAAAGGCAGGATTCTCAAGGGCGAAGATTGGGAGCTGCTTGATGGAAGGTCACACGATTGTGCAAGTGTGCTGTGTGGACATGTTTCGTTTGGCCTGACTTATTTTTTGAAGACCCATCTGCAACCCAGAATGTGACAAGGCAGTTGGATCATTTTGCTGGTAGAAATGATGAACACAATTAACTCAATGTAATGGTACTGTGTGAACTTGTTCGTTTTGGGTCAGATTGAACAGAACTTGAAACCAAAGCTCACCCTGAAGTGTTGAACTTCGTGATGAACTTCAAACTAGCACCTTAGTCAGTAGGTTTTTTTCAAGTTGTTTGTTTTTAATTGTCCCTCATTCTTTCATCCCTCTTTTCCTAATGTCCCATTGTAGCACTCAAGCTTCTGCTAGGCTTGTATTCAGCTATTTTCCCATCCATGTCAAACACACAAATCACTTCCCAATGTTATCCGACACTTATCCACTCAATCTGACGCTAACCCGCTCAATCTGATGTGTATCCGCTAAACCTGATGCTAGTCCGACGAACCCGACATTTCCTATGCATCGGACCCGATATTTTCCCATGCATTTGTCCTCCCTATGTCCTGTCCTGTCATATCTATCCCCACTAGGTGTGCAGTTATTCATTTTCACATTGCTAACATTGTAGAATGCGTTATTACATGTCTGCAGTACATTGTGTCTTATTACATAGGACATCAGACCCGAAAATCAGCACTACTACTTTCGCCTATAGCACTCCAAAATTCTACATAGATACTATATATTTCACATACCTCCTACCCATTTACTTACCTTTTCTACCTCTGAGTAGGAGGAGGTCATTGATATTAGTAGTTCTTAACTGAATTCCACAATATCATCCATTCTTTATCCGAAACACTCTGACAGTAACCCACCATTCGCTATCCCCGACATTCACTATATTCCTGATGCAAACCCAATGCTAACCCAATGCAACCCGAGGCAAACCCGCTAACCCGAAACCTGAAGACATCAGACCTGACATTTTTGACATCAGACTCGTGATTATACCTTCGGACTTTGTTTCCCGCGCTTCGGGCTATCTTCCTTTTCATATAACTGATTATTCTAATACCATACAGCAAACCCCTCGGGTCGAACGCACTTGTCTTGCAAGTATCACAGACTAGGCTGTGCACGACCAACACATTTTTATATTGCTGGTTACTTACTTTATGGAGTGCCCAGCAATTGTTGTATCTCTACACCATCCAAAAACACGCCCCGGCAATGCAAACAAACATCCCAGAAATATTGTCTGGGAAGCAAACCGAGTGCAGCACCAATCCAAGGAAGAAGTTGCTGCTGAAAAGGCCCAGAAACAAGCTGAGAAGGACGCTCATGCTGTAGTGATAAATGAATCACATATGACAATTGCTGCAGCTGAGGATGCAATGGCCATCCAGCAGAAAATTGCAACAAATGGTCTGCCCAAGCTCATTCGGCCATGCATCATCCCTAGCAAGAAGAGTGCACCACCTGCAGTTCATGGTGAGTCACGACCAAGTGCTTGAATGACTTACCTGACCATTTCATGTATAGCTTCTCAATCAACTACAGCTCCTCAAGACAATCAGACTGGTTAACCAGTAAAGAAGAAACATGCCAGGTTGAAAATGAACTTTCGGGGCAGTGTTGATGCCAACCACAAGGTGTCGAATGGTGGAGTCACGATTCTGACTAGTGACAGTGACACACATGTTGGAAGTACAACAATTGGTGATGGGAAAATCAAAACATTGTAAGTCTTCTTTTGACCATGATTCTGATTCTAACAGAACTCACCCTATACTACTTTGATTACATCTGTGAATGCCGAATCAGCTCCAATCTCAGGCATGCCATCAGTTCCAACCTAGAAGGGCCCATTCCCAACTGGGCAGACAAAGTCGCAACACAGACTCAACTGAAGCCATGTGTGCCACCAAGCATCCAAGCCTCTGCAAGGATTGCCCAACATCAACTTGCTGATTCCAACCTGGATCTTGATGATGAACCTGAAGAGTACAGTGAGCTGACACCGACAATGCAGAGGGGAAAGGTCAGACAGTCCATTTGAATTGTGAACATGTACTCATGTAAATTAGAATATTGTGCATGTGAAAGAGAAACCGAAACTCACATTGAGAGGCAAGAAGCACTCATTCCAAAATGTAGAGCATTCTGCTGAAGAACTCAATGTTGCCAAAGAATTCAATGCTGCTGAAGAATTCAAAATGCAGCAGAATCCAGATGCTGCTGAGGACCCAAACACTGCCGAAGGATTCGAGGAGGATGAGGAGACTGCCAAAGATGAGGGCCATGTAGTTTTGATGATGGATGACAGACTACAGTCAATGCACCATTGGTGCTAAGGCTAGCGTGGCACAACACACAAGCTCTGTAAGATTTTTTTGGCTGATTGCAAGAAATGACTGATACTCTAGTAGATGTCAGTTGATGTCTCCAACCAGAAGACCACAAGACAGCATACCAAGGGTGAGGGCAAGAGCAATACCAAGGTCGAGGCCCAGGTCAAGACCGAGGTGGAAGCCCCAGCAAACATACACTTGAAGATCAGGAAAGGAAAGGCCAAAAATTCAAACTTACCTTCTGGATTCCTCAAAAATGGAGTATGGCGCTCGAAGTTCATTCCATGCCTGATGTTCTGGGTTGGCAACAGCAACCATGCATAGTCCATACCGGAGAATGTACTTGAGTACATTCTCGAGGACATATATTATGCGGTATATGATTCACGTAAATGAGGACCTTGTGAATTTGCAGTCGATGGCTTCCCATTTCAACTGGTGTAAAGAGTTGATTCTATGTGGGCACTACAAAAGTGTTACCTTAAGACTCAGAGTGCGAGTGAGATGTTCGTCCCAAAGAGACTGCCAATAGAAATGCTCCTTGATATAAAGCAAGGGATATCTTGTTAAGATCGAAGTGAGAGAAGGAAAGTTACCAAGAGTGCACTCGGTGTTCTGAGGATGTGTCCAAAGTACCAAAGTACTCGTCCAAAGTGGTCCGAAGGTGGTCCAATGTCAAGAAACGAAGGTCCGGAGTTGCGTGAAGCGTCCGAAGAGTTTCCGATGAACAGCAATGGTTCCGAGGTAGAAGTACGGCATGTATGTCGAAGTGTAAGACTTGCAAAGTAAAACTAAGCAAAGCCTGTCAGGAAAACTAAGAGATAGCGAGATGCGAAATGGCAGCGGTCAGGCCTAACAATCGTTCCAAATGAACAAGAAAGATTGATTGCACGAAGTACAACTATCTGAAAGTGACTCTACTGACTATGACTCGTAGCAGGGAAAGTGAAGTGAAGTGTGAGTAGCTAATGAGGCAGATTATATCCTACAGTGTGAATGTCCGGAAACTGCATAGGCGAAAACAGTAGTAAGATAAGCCATCCGAAATGTAATAAGACTCGAAGCGAGCTGCTACAGAGATATGCATGTAATAATGCGCGAGGCGTGTTGCTATACGTATAACCGATGGTTTTCGACAGGCCGACAACATATGTGCCCTTAAGACATAATCAATAACAGATAACCAAGTGAGAAATGCACCAGCGAAGTCAAACAGACACGGATGGGACATGGTACGGAGGATCGGAAGTGTATGCAGACCTCGGAAATGGACAGATGGCCTTCGGACGACTCAGACGAATGCACGGAACTCTCGGAAGGTAAGAGGAGTGTTGAGGAGTGTATATGTGGAATACCTATGAAATTGGCAGGATACAAACCCAACGCCGATCCGAGTGTTACACTGGTTTGCATTTTTATTTATTTTGACTTATAATGGCCACTGATTCATATTTCCTAGGCAAGCCAACACATTCACGAGTGGTAGGCTGCATTTGGTTCAACAGCCGTCAGTGTTTTGATGGCATTCTTTGCTTCAACACTGGAATATGAGACCCAGGAAGCTTGCAAGGAATATGCTGAGTGTCAGCTTCAAGACTGTTGCTTCACGTATGATGATCCCGATAATGATGAGGAGCCAGGCACATTTTTGTCTGAGTACATGTTGCGCATTTTTGCTGCCCACCTCACTGCAATTTCTGGCAAAGTGAGGGTGGATGGACTCGTCGAATTTGGCAAACCCGGTTATCTTACTGCACTCATGCTATCGGCTGTGGCAGTAAGTCTCCATTTTGTTTTCTCTTTCTTTGCTTCCATTAAATGTTGACTATGTTTATAGGCTGAGCATGCTCTTGTCTTGGTTCAAAATTGCTTATTAGTCAACACTGATCCCTCTGATGATGGTGGTAAAACCCACAAGATTATCCAGACGCTGAACAAGGCAACTAATAAGATGAGCCATACTGGAACAGCATTTTTATCTGGAAACTGGGAGACAGACACCATGGCATACATGGAGAGTATCAAGGATCTACCTCACAAACATATCCAAGAAATTCTTACTCAAGCGGAAGGTTACATGAAGCACACATGTCCCCAATGTCGCATTAGCGACACAGGTGATGAACCTTCTGGTTCCAATGGCTCAATGCCTCCAGTCAACAAATGTGCCTGCCTTTGTATCTGTAATGTTCACTTTTCCTCTTTTTTCAACTGCTAATAATATTCATTCAACAGGAGTCTCAATGCATCATTTTTTGAGTGTGTACTTCTCAGATCTTGTACTCAAGTCACCCATTGACATCTCATAGATACCGATGATCATTCCCTATTGTTTTTCAGGTCGTTTATTGTCAGCTGCAGTCACCTGCTACTCACATACTATACCATGTTCCCAAGCCGACTCCATTTACTATTAAATTTGGATGCTATGTACCAGCTTGCTTAAACTCTTGAATGTCCTTATTTCACCTTAGTTTACATTTCTGGCCTGATTTTTACGCTCCTTAATAGTATTTTTTTTGTGTCCTTGCAGGTTTAGATGTGCCAATGGGCTTATTCTAAGGAGATGGACCTACTTAATCTCCTTGTTTTGAGCAACAAAAATCTTGGCCTAAAGTTGAACTTAAGGCAAATAAGACACTTCAAGAAACATTTAAGCACCTTTAAGCACACTAACGTTTTCCTAATGTTGGCCTTTAGAAGAAAACACTTGATGACTGTCACTGGGTAAGGCAACAAGAAGCATGCTAGCAACTGTGGTGCCTGGGACATATCTTCAAGTGAATGGACCTTCAAGTTATTGCTGGCAATTAGCAATCTGTTATTTCCAAGGAAACAGGAATCAATTACCAATTCCGAGTCAAGCTGGTTGGTGAACAAAGTGTCACTGAGGATGCTCTAAATCAAGCATTAATTGTCAAGTCTTTAATGATAAGGCTCACTCACACTGGATGTTGTTGAATGTTGCCAATCTCAAATCTGCAACTACAATAGAATCCTATCTGGATCATGCAGTATCAGAAAGTGCCAAAGAGCAATATGCCTCCCCAGACTGTCAAGCCTCCAACTCTCATTTATCTGCCATATATTGTTGTGGCATCCTGGAAGCCCTGCTGCCATAGACAATGTCAATCCAGCAGCTTGTGGGTAGGCACCATCTCCATCCAAAGCCAAAAGGTTAATATAGGCATCTAACCTGCCAATAATGACATATGCAGAAGCAACTAGGCTTTGCTCTGGGTCAATGAGTACATCATTGTTGTGTGCATTTGGAACCGATAGCAATGATTCTGGACACCATTTATGGTTGATTTCTTGTTTTGAGGACTCTGGCAGCATTGAAGATATCTTGGCAAAGCCTAGGCCCATCAAGTTGGCATGGCTGAGGCAGAGATGCCCATTGGAGATAAATGTTTTCACATTTAAAAACATGTCTGGCATAGTAACTGTTTGGACAAAATAAGTGTCAAACTTGAACCATGCATGAGCTTTGTCCCTCAGGATTTGCAGGCGCTCTGGAATGGAAGTGTCATTGTGTGCTCCCAATTATCAGAAAAGCCCCTATCCTGCTGACATATAGACCCTGCAAGCATTATAGCATCATTGTCACACATGATGTTGTCAGGTGCATACTCATCTTGGAGGCTTGCTCTCAGATCTGACATTCTTGTAGTGCCAAATGTATGGCTACAGCCAAGTAACATTGAAGCGGGAAGAGGCAGATGCTGCAAAGGCACTGCTTATTGTTCCCGGTGGGGACCACCTAATGCTTCTGAATGTGTGGCAACAACTATATGCAAAGTAACTTCCCCTCAGCCTCTTCTTGCATATGCATACATGCTCACACCTAACCCAGACCAACATGACAAAGTGTGGACATGGACAAACTACCTGTCTGCTCAAGTGGTGATACAAGCAGACAACATGTGCCAGCAACTGAAACAGACAATGGAGCAGTTTGAGCTAGAGCTTGCAAGATCAGAAGAAGTCAATAGCAATTGGGCAGGTGCTGTGCTGTGGCTTTTTTATGCAAGTTACTGTAGCACTCAAGTTTGTGCTAGGCTCATATTCTGCTATTTTCCAATGCATGTCAAACACCCATCGCACATGAATCACTTCCCAATGTTATCCAACACTTACCCACTCAATGATGTTTATCTGCTAAACCCGATGCTAGTCCGCTAATCCAATGCTAATCCAACAAAACCTAATGCTAACCTGACAAAACCCAATGCCAACCTGACAAAACTGTCCTCCCTATGTCCTGTCCTGTCGTATCTATCCCCACTAGGTGCGCAGTTATTCATTTTCACATTGCTAACATTGTAGACTGTGTTATTACATGTTCACAATATCACATGTCTTATTACATAGGACATTGGACCCAAAAATTATCGCTACTACCTTCGCCTATAGCACTCCGAAATTCTACATAGACACTATATATTTCACATACCTATTACTTTACTTTACCTTTCTACCTCCCAGTAGGAGGAGGTTATCTGATATTTAGTAGTTCTTAGCTGAATTCCACAAATATCATCCTTTCTTTATCTGCAACACTCTAAAACATCTGACATTTGCTATATTCCTGATGCAACCCCAATGAAACCTGCTAACCCAAAAGCCTACAAACGTTAGACCTGACATTTTGACATTGGACTCGTAATTATACCTTCAGACTTTGTTTTCTGTGCTTTGGACTATCTTCCTTTTTGTATAACTAATTATTCTAATACCATACAGCAAACCCCTTGGGTCAAATGCACTTGTCTTGCAAGTATAGCAGACTAGGCAGTGCTAGACCACAACTATTATATTTGGCTGAGTGCTTACTGTGTGTTGTGCTCAGCCAAAGTTGTTTACCTACATTGCACACAAAGTGGGAAAAATGGGGCATTGAAGGACAATTAGGCACATTATTTTGGCTTTGAGTTATGGTTGGCATGCTGATGGAAATGTTCTTGGTGGTAGTCCATGGTGCTGCATCAATTGTGCAGACTGGATACACAACCAGAGTGGATGATTTTCAATGAGTTTGTTATAGCACTTGAGCTCATACTAGGCTTGTATTCTGCTATTTACCAATGCATGTCAAACACCTATCACACATGAATCACTTCCCAATATTATCTGACACTTACCTGCTCAATCCAATGTTTATCTGCTAAACCTGACACTAATCTGCTAATCTGACGAAACCTGATGCTAACCCAATGAAACCTGATGCTAACCTGATGAAAATGTCCTCCCTATGTCATGTCCTGTTGCATTTATCCCCACTAGGTACACAGTTACTTGTTTTCACATCACTAACATCATAGAATGTGTTATTACATGTCCACAGTACATCATGTCTTATTACTTAGGACATCGGACCCGAAAATTAGTGCTACTACTTTCACCTATAGCACTCTGAAATTCTACATAGACACTATATATTTCACATACCTCCTACCTATTACTTTTACCTTTCTACATCCAAGTAGGAGGAGGTCATCTGATATTTAGTAGTTTTTAGCTGAATTCCACAATATCATCCTTTCTTTATCCGAAACACTCTGAAACATCTGACAGTAACCTGCCATTTGCTATCCCCGACATTCACTACATTTCCAATGCTAACCCGACAAAACCTGACAAAACCCACTAAACCTGAAACCCGAAAACATCGGACTTATAATTATACCTTCAGACTTTGTTTCCCGTGCTTCGGACTATCTTCCTTTTTGCATAACTAATTATTCTAATATCACAGAAGTCATATATGATGTGAACTAGGGAGGGAATGTAGATGAGGTGACTGAAGTTTCATGGGGTAATACTTGAATGGGTCTGACAGTGAAGTTTTGGAGTGTAGGAAAAGATCTATGATAATTTATTGTGACTTACCTTTTCAATGAGCCTCTGCATTTGAAGGAAACAAGTAAATCTTGAAGCTTGAGAATCCTTAAGGATTGGGGTGGACTAGACCTGAGTAAGGTAGTGACTCATGGTCTACTATCATGAGACTTCGCTAAAGGGTAAGTGTATGTTATCCATTTTCTGCTTTATTTAAGTGAAATAAGTGTGAAATAAGCGAAAATATAAACGACAAGTGGGCTTAATTAAGTAGCTCCCACTTTTTCACTCAATCGACTTATGCATCCCTTTTATGTAATTAAGTGACAAATAAAGTAGAAAAAGCAACTGGTAGTTTTCCTAATAATTCTATCAGGACAGTTTTCTTACAATACTTTCAGATTACATTGTGTGTATGCTAGAGGTCCAAAGTCAATCTACCACCTCAGACCTAGGAATGTTACATCCCCAAGTTTGCCTATAGTGCTGGTCACCACCTCCTGGCCTTGCATGGGGACTATCATTCTCTGCTGGTCGCCACAGTTGGAAGATCTTAGTACTACTAATTGTGACAAGAGAGAGCTTCAAGAACAATGTATGGGAAATAGGTATGGAATATAGTAATACATAGCAAGATGTGTAGTATAGCTAATTCTTTCAATTCTACAAGGCGGCACAGCACTGAACTTTGCCGTGCCTGCTCATCTGAAGCCAAACACTATTAGCATGTATGCAACATTGAGGAAATAGTCTCCATCTCCCACTGGCTAATTCCTTCAAGATTGAGCAGTCTGTCACTGCTGTAATATATCATGTTAGTAAGTAGTAGTTTTAACCTAAAATTTAAAAATGTACCATCAAACTTGATGAAGGTAGAATCAGGATTAACAAAGTGCAGTGAATACAGTTGAGAAAAATCCATAGACTGTCCTCCATCAAACACAAAAACTGCACTTCCATGTTGTGATAACCATCCCTCAGCCCAAAACCCTGACTCTACAATTCAGGTAAACTAAGGGTATCGGATATACTGAGGTGTGCGACCACCAGGTCCAAACTGAAGCATAACTACATGCATATATTCATGTAGAATGGCTATGTGCATGGCACATGTAAGAAGCCTCCAAAAAATAAGTCAAGCATTCTCTTCTATCACAAATATGACTCACTGAAGATTACTCAGAAATGTCCATAATGCTGATCTCTTCTTATGTTTCCACTACTTTGATACCAGCCTCAGATGCAATTTCATGATTATAGGACCCCCAAAAAACTTGTCAGTGCTCCCATAGTCTCTCATATTCACACAGTGAATGGTGAGTGGCACTGTCAAAAGATAGTGGCATATGGAGGACATGCACTACTGCACTACTGCACTACTGCACCTGGGGGGTTCCAGGTCCTGAGGCTCCATGAATATTGCTTTAGCAATAGCTTTAAGAAATCTGGGGCAAGACAAGATAGTTTGTCAAGTTAGATGTACAAGATCATACAGCCCATTCCTAGCATCATGAATTACATCATTTTCATGGTCTGAAATAGTGAGTGCATTATTGCCAACAGTAGAGGAATTCACAACCATGTGGAGTATGACAATTGTGCTCTAAGCTATTGTAGTTATATACTTATGAGAAGGATCTCACTGTTCCACTTCTTTACCATTCTAGGTCCAGTTCTACCAGACTCAATAAACCTTGAACTGGATATGTAACTTCCAGTGACAGACTATTTAGTCAAATCCTCATGTAGAACCTGTACCCCAGACATGCCAAAAGGCCATAGAATATATACAGCCAGAGGCTGGCCGACTGTACTAAATTTACATAGATATGGCACTAGCCAGCATGTAGAAGCTGACTAGTTAGAAATGTAGGATCTGTACTGGCTAGATATCAAATAAGAGGTAGCAGACCTATAGAAGCTGACCAGCTAGAGACGTAGGACCTGTGCTGGCCAGACCTCAAATGAGAGGTAAAAAACCTATAGAAGCTGACTAGCTGGAGATGTAGGACCTGTACTGGCCAGACCTCAAATAAAAAGTAAAAGTCCTGTAGAAGCTGATTAGCCAGAAATGTAGAACCTATGCTGGCTAGCTATTAAATGAGAGATAGCTAGCCTGTAGAAGCTGACCAGCTAAATATATAGAACCTGTACTGACTAGACCTCAAATGAGAGGTAGCTGGCCTGTACTAGCCTTCTATTAGATAATATCATCTCTACTGTCTTTCTCATTAAGCATTGGTCCTCCCTATCAGATGAATATTATACCTATGATCTTTTCCATCAAGCATATGATTTTCCCTGTTTATTGTTTTTGCACAAAGCTCATCTTTGTCTGAAATCATAGGTCAAAGTTTTTAATGGATGCCAGCCCCTGTAATTCTGATACTAAAAGACAAACTTAACTAAAATATAGTGACCTAATAAAACATACTTCTGGTATCTGTGTAGCAAAAATAAATAGTAGAGATGGACCATATGAACCACACTAGTCAAGGGTTGGCCAGTTTTTTGAGCTAGTTTAAGACCAGCCAGAACAAATCAAACCTAATATACTAACTGATCCACTATCTATTTAGTATGATGGTAGGATTGAACAACACAATATGTGTATGTGGTGGCAGAATTGAATAACATGGTATGTAGGTATCCATTGTATACATCAGCTGACTAGCTTAGTTGGCCCAGCCACAAGTTGACCTAGAACATACTTCACCTGTAACTTATACTTTAGAGATAAACAATGTTTATAGTATAATCCTGACTTTTGATTTTTATGCTACTCCACCTCTAATATTGATCACAATATGCTAAGTTTCTAACTTTAGTTCAGAAGTATATCATGACTAGGGCTATAAGCTTATTTGGATTTATTATCTATTTATATGAAATGATGACAATATGGCTTGCACACATTCTATGTCTTTGGCCTATCAGCTTCTATAGAATGCTACCTCTTATTTTATATCTGGCCAGTACAGGTCTAGCCAATCAGCTTCTATGACTCTTCTACCTCCCATTTGAGTTCTGGCCAGCATAGATCCAACATGTCCAGCTGGTCAGCTTCTATAGGCTAGCTACTTTTTATTTGAGGTCTGGTCAGTACAGGTTCTACATCTCTGGCTGGTTAGCTTCTATAGGTCTTTTACCTCTCATGAGAGATATGACTAGCACAGGTCCTACATCTCCAGCTGGTCAGCTTCTACAGATCTTTTACCTCTCATTAGAGATCTGGCCAGCATAGATCCTATGTTTCCAGTTGGTCAGCTTCTATAGGTCTTTTACCTCTTATTTGATATCTGGCCAGCACAGGTCCTACATCTCAGGCCAGTCAGCTTCTATGGGTCTCCTATCTCTCATTTGATACAAGATTATTACTATACAGCAGATTCCAAAATTTCAGATATCTGTGGTAATTTCTCCTTAGTTTGATATTCTATATAGTTTCATAGGTCACCTTAAGGTTAGGGACATTACTACATAGTATGATTATGCAATTTCCTAATTATTACATCATATTTCATCATAGTAATTACATTATATGTTAATTCTGCAATTTCGTCGAAGGTAAAACTTTGTTTTCATAGGTTTAATCTGTAAGATGAATTCAATGATCGTGTCCACGCACGGACCATGCACCACAGTGCTTATGTGGCTCGAAGCCCCTCTTTCTGTGATCTAGGCACCTGCACTTTAGGTGAACTGCATTGTTTCTGCTTTACCGCCGTTCAGCAGGAAATTTTTCCTATATTTGAACTTGTTCTCTTGTTCCATCTTGATCAGTGAATGGATCCTGATAATCCAAATTCTCAAACTCAAACTCAAGAAAGTCGTGATTCGAGTTCTTCATCAAAATGGACTTCTCAAAATCAAACATCATTTGTGCGCAAAAGTACTTTCAATCCAGATTGTCTTAGTATCGTAGGACGGTATTGTCGAGATTCACTATCCAAAACTGATGCCTTTCTCGAACTCTTTGGGTGAGCATTGAGTGTGGACGAGAGTGAGTTTGGAGGGTGTTCAGTTGCTGAGCTTGTTGCCCCCTATCACCACATGCTCGACTCCTTTGAAAAGGAAGTTGTCAAAACTAGAAAACAAGATCGCGAGTACGAGAAAGAAGCTCCGAAAGATGGAGGAAGATCACCAGAAAGCATTGTTAGTGAGAAGCGGTGTAGGACTGGAAGTCCTTATAGCCTCGAAGAGGCTATTTTTGCAGTATCACTCAGCACCCTATTGCTTCCCTATATGAAGTGCAGCTTTCCTGCAAGCCGCGCATAGCAGCCGCAACTTTCCTGTGATGGCTGTAATGTTCCCATGTGCGCACAGCCACGCTTAGCGGCCGCTTTTCTCACGCTTCATCAGCTGATGTTCCGCACCCATCCATAGTCCAAAACCAACCCAATGGTACATTGTTTCATAATTATATTTACATATCAGACCATTTTCGCATCAGACCACCTTTATTTCGTCATAGACCCTTATTTTACATATAGCTTTACATACCTAACTCAGTAGCGCATCAGCTCGGTTCCATGTGACAGCGCATAGTACAATACTTAAGCACTAGCAGTACATATCATTCAGTAGATTGTTTTCCGGACATTCCAGTAGCAAAGTCCCATTAGCCTACAGTTGGTAGCTATTGGCAATCAGTATCCATTTACCGCTTGCACCGAATCAGTTATTGCCTCGCTCTATGTCTATTCCTATTGTCCTTCATCTCTATTATCATCCGAACCCTTCGCGCATCGGCCACTTCGCAGCCACGTCTTTCCTGCGCCTTCAGCTTTCACCCGCCACTACATTCCCGCGCGTGCACCCGCCGCTTTCCTGCACTTCGCATCGGCCAACAAGTGGCACCTTCTGCGTCCATTTCTAGACCTTTGCTGCACTAGCTTCCCCTTTAGGGTTGAACACACTTGTTTTGCAAGTATAGCAGATAGGCAGTGCACGACCTACAACATAAAGATATCAGTTTGGAGCCTATAGCACCACTCTGAGTTGTAAACCTACAGCAGTCAATTAACTCGGACTCCGAAGAAAACTCTGAGTCAGAGGTTGTCGAGTCCGACTCTGCTTCAGAGATTGACAAACTGTCGCGTAAAAAGCAATGAGGCTTTAAACTTGACCTCTCCAATCTCACAAATCCTTCCGTCATCAGAAGGTCGAAGAAGCTCCCTGGCTCATTACAAAAAACCAACTCTATTCTCGCGAATTGGGCTCACAACCCCAAGTGAGTTAAACATAAGTGGCTTGAGTCAGCCTTCATCCCAGAATTCCCCAAATTGGAGCTTTATAACATCATCCATGGAAGAGTTGTCACTTCAACATTGTGTTCTCAGGATGGTATTCAGATGAACCAGAGCAAGATTATGAGGAAAAGCTTGGGAAGCTCAAGATCAAAGTTGGAGGAGAAGCTGAACCTGCGAAGTCTGTGCAGAGCTCGCAAGATTGGAGTGTCGCATACTCTCTCTTCGCCCGTGCAATGCATTTTGCCTTCCCACATCGAATTGATGAGATCGACAACTATGGAAACTTCATCCACCAAAAGTTTGCCCAAAACATCAGCAAATATCACTCCCATGTCATCGCTTTCAACAAAGCAGTTAGAAAGCGAGTCAGTCGGAGGAGAGACTTGCAACTCTCCGATTTCGACCAGTTTTCAGACTTGTACGAAGGCCATTTTTTGCTCTCTGGACGATGTGTCAATGAGGAAGGTAGCTTGACTGGATCAAAGCGATGAAGAGGAGTGGAGTGTTGCAAGAGATGGAACTTCAAATCTTGCAATCGGTCAGATTCATCCTGCAACTACCAACATGTCTGTTCGAAGTGCGGAAGTTCAGAGCACCCCAAGAAGAGCTGCCCCTCTTGAACCTCCTCAAACTAATGCCATTTCAAGATACTTGAGAGGAATGGCATGGTTCTTAGATGAGTCGTCATTCAGTCCTTCAGTGAAGTCATCATTATATGCAGCTCCCCTGCCTTCTCCTGCGCCATGTGAGTTTTCAGATGTTGCACTGGATGCACTAAATGCCCATCCGGATCTTTTCAAAATCATAACTCCTGTCAAAATTGGGTCATTCAAAGAACTCCTTCAGGACCACCCAAACCGTCCCTTCGTCGAATCTGTCCTAGAAGGTCTGCGTGAGGGCTTCTGGCCATGCATGGATACTGCTATGGACGGATACCCGGAAACTTGGGACAACTCTCATCGTCCACTCAAGAATGAAGAGCACCAAGCTTTCATTCAAGAGCAAGTCAACGAGGAAGTATGACTTGACTGTTTTTCACCTGCTTTCGGACCAGAGTTGCTACCTGGGATGTATAGCACACTGGTGCATGTCGTACCAAAATCTAACTCGTCTAAACTTCAGCTTGTTGTTGATCACAGTGCTGGAGAATTCTCTCTGAACTCAATGATAAACCTAGACAACGCATCAAAAGTGAAACTGGATGGCATGCGTTCTCTTGGTCTCAGTCTTCTTTAGTTCCGTCGGGAACACAGTGACATACCTCTCATAGTCTTCAAGTCTGATGTTTCTCAAGCTTATCGCCGGCTACCTATGCACCCCCTTTGGCAACTCAAGCAGGTGATAACTGTCAACAACAACCACTATGTGGATCGCTGCAACAATTTTGGCAGGAAGGGGTCAGCCTTGATCTGGGTATCCTTCATGTCCCTCGTTACCTGGATCGCAAGTGTAGTCGTCTTAATTGAGCATTTGAAGCTCTACATGGATGACACTTTTTCTTTTGAGTTGGAGGGCAATGTGCTTCTCTATGAACCTTACAGGACATATCTTCCCCAGAAGCAAGTCCTCTTGCTACAACTTTGGGACCAACTTGGGATTCCCCATGAGCCTGGAAAGCAGGTTTATGGACGTCACCTCACGATCATCGGTTTCGACATAGACCCAAACTGTATGATCATCTCAATTTCAGACACCAAGAAAAGTGAACTCATCATTTACATCCGTGCCTTTGCGATATCTCGCCATTGTCATACCTTGCAGGAGTTTCAACAACTTGCAGGAACCATTAATTGGCTTTTCAACGTCTTCCCACTCCTCAAGCCTGGACTCTCCACAGTATATGACAAAATGCATGACAAATCAAAATCTTTGGCCCAGATTTATGTCAATGCAGAGGTCGTGCAGGAGTTAGTTTGGTTAGCGGATCATATGGAACGTTCGCTCGGTATACTCCTGCTGGACTCACTAGATTGGAGTCTGGAAACTGTTGATGATGTCGTAACTATCTACACTGACGTGTCCTTGATTGGTCTCGCTTTCTGGTTCCCTCATCTCAATTTTGGCTTCCAATGTCACCTGCCAGAAGGAACTCCTTCAAAATCAATTTTCTTCTTCGAAGCCTTGACTGTTTGCAGCGCTGTGCATGCACTCGCCAACACAGATCCTATCCCCAGCCACACAGCCATTTTCACTGACAATTCGAACACAGTTGACATCTTCAACACTTTGTGAGCTTCTCCTCCTTATAACCACATCCTCATGTCGGCTGTCAATGTTTTGATCAAGCACAATATCAACCTTCGGGTTTATCATGTCACAGGAGAACAAAACTCTGTGGCAGACGCTCTCTCTTGGTTTAACAACAGTCAGGCTCTTTGTCTGGTGCCTGATCTCATCATCAACGAATTTTCACCCCCTCGGGATGCATTGGGGGCAGCCAAAAAATGACCAACAGCAGTGTACAGTCCCGTCGACCAACTTGGCAGGTGTGGACTTTGGAGTGTCTGCTCCATGAGCATGCAATCGCTCTCGGTTTCACCCTCACAAAATCTACTTCAGCATCATATGACTCAGCTGTAGCTTCTTATGTTCAATTCTGTCGACTCCACAATCTTGCACTCACACCAACTCCTGATACTTTCTCATTCTATATTGTCTGGATGTCAACATACATCTTACCAACCTCAGTTGACAGCTACCTCTCGGGAATCTGCAATAAGCTGGAAGACAAGTTCCTGGAGATACGGAAGGTACGTCGTTCGCGCTTGGTGCAGAGAACTCTCACCGGTTGCAAGCGACGTTTCAGCCACCCAGTGAAAAGAAAACAACCCCTGTCACGCTGTAGGAACTGATTCCTGGCTAGGCTTGTAGAGACTGTTCTTACCTTAGTGTTATGTTGGCACTTATGTAGCTGACATAATCAAGTTACCTTTTCACCAGTTACCAGTATGAGTCTGAGTCCTCAGCAGTTTTCTATGACATTTCCTCTCCTCTGAGCCTTGAGCCTGGTCCAGAAACCCTTTAGGGTTGAGGACAACTGTGTATCATACATTCTACCTGTGTCCAAGACAGATAAGTTTGGGCATGGTAATCAGGTGCTCGTGTGATGCACTTCATATGAAGATGATTGCATGAAGATTTCCTTGAATTACCTGATGTCTTGTGATGCAGCGTTCCCTCATCACCCGGAACTGTGGCTGCGCGCGAACAGCCTAATTCCAACTTGTTCTTGGTTCACAACATGTTTCCAGTGCATCTTTGCAAATCGTGGTTTCAGTGGGCACTCTATACGAGCCGGTGGAGCAACAGCTCTTGCGCTCATGGGGGTCTCTCCAGACATGATCCAAGGAGCAGGAAGGTGGTCTTCAGATGAGTTTTGAAAATATATTTGGGTGCACCCTTTCATCCTCCAAGCAATAATACACGAATCCTAAGGACAGCAACCATTTGTGTCTATCCCATCTTGACACCCTTGCAGCATGTCTCCTCAACTTTCTATAGTCCATTAGCGATCTATACTCAAATTTTGTACCTTAGTGCCAGTACCACCTGAGCTCTCGCAGCTGGGTTCTCCAGATTGTTGAATTTATATTTCAGCAAACGCTCTCGAGCTCAAGTGCTGAGAGTGTTGCGCTCCTCCTATCTCTCGTTCTCGTCACAAGACTCGTGAGTTGAATGTTGAACTGATTAATCTACTTACTTCACAACACCTAAAATATTATCCATTTATCACTTATCTCATAGTTTATGTGATATATGTATAATATAATACAATAGACTGTGCTTTTGGTATATTTCTGTCTATGTGCCCCCTCTAAGTCTATAATTGCCGTGTCTGGTGACAACATGGAAAAATATTTGCTCCTTTCATGAGAAGGTGTTCTTAAAGGTGTGAAACATGTTTAGGTATGTATATTAATTCATTCTACTGCTTGTTTGACCTCCTAGAGTTCCCTAGAGCTTCTAATATCAACATGTATTGTAAATATGCATACCCCACAAAATTGGTTTCTATTTTTGAGTTCCTAGCTATATATAGTTACAAACACTATTTCCAACATCAGTTTAACATCATGAACAATGTATCAGCAGCTCATAAAAGCAGGTGAAGCCCTTGCAGTACTGTGTAACTACTCTTTCCTAATAGTTTACTTCCTAGAACAACATTTCCTGCAGGAACACAGCTCCAGGATGGTATTGGGACCTTTTCTAAATATACTTAGAGTATTTTAATCAAGTTGGCACCATAGGATACCTACAGAAGCCTTGTACATGAACCACAACCTCTAAACATGTATTTTTGTATTTTTGGTGTTTTTACTGCTTTTTTATAACTTGTCCAAGCTGTTTATATATCATCATGAGTACATATTTACATGATTTCTATGTCTAGGATTAGTTAGATATAGGCTAGAATATTAGAATCTAATAGAAAAGAGCTATTTTTACTAATAAGAGGCTAAGGCCTTCCCTAGGTTGAAATTTAATGATTGGACATTTGGAATACATGTCTAGCACACCCATAATAATAGCCCTAAATTTGTAGAATGATCCACCCAGATCCTACTGAATGGAGAACAAAATAAACATATTGTAGAGCATGAAAAAATGAAAGTGGCAAAACATTGAAAATCAACAATTCTATTGATAAGAGACAAAAGGCTTTCTCAGGAGAAATATTCATGATCAGACCCTAGGAATTTATGTCCAATATATTCATAAGCATAGTCCCAAAGTCTTATAAAGATCCATTTAAGATTGGACATATGATAAAAAAAAAAAGATACATGTAGTGCAAAATTAGGTAGATGCTGCGGTACAATTCCAGTGCCATACATGCTCACCAATTGGTGACTTTCAATGTTTTGCCACTTTTACTTTCTCACACTCTATGACATGTCTATTTGCTTGCCATTCACTAGGGTCTAGGTGGATCATTCTATAAATTTAGGGCTATTATTATGGGTGTGCTAGACACATATTCCAAATATCCAATCATCGAATTTCAACCTAGGAAAGGCCTTGGCCTCTTATCAGTAAAAATAGCTCTTTTCTATTAGATCCTAATATTCTAGCCTATATCTAACTGATCCTGGACATAGAAATCATGTAAATATGTACTCATAATGATATATGAAAAGCTAAAGCAGTAAAAAAACACCAAAAATGCGAAAATATACATCATCTCACACATCTGCTCACAGTCAACCTTACCAGGCTTACACCAATATAAGGAGTTGTATTTCCCTAGCAATGGAACCATAGCTTTATTTCTTGATGGTGCCACTTCCTCTCTTACATCCTCCATACATGTAAAATTACAACTTTATGTAGTAGTTAGACAAAGAATTGTCACCATCTCTCATGGTGTTTGAACTTGCAGGCTCATCTCTACATCATGTGACAGACTTACACCAAAGCAGGCTATACTATTCTTGTACTGGATATCCTATGTAGGTATCCAGTACTAGAACAGTATGGCTTGCTCTGATATTCAGACTTGGCATGGATACTACTTAGATAGCTAAGTGGTGTTGCTTGGTCATGTGACTTATTTATATGAGTGAGCAGGAAGTATTTGTTAAGTTAGAAGTAGTATACAATAAAGTAAATATAAAGTAAATGACAAAAATGTTAAGCTATCAAATAGAGTAAACTAGCTAATACAAGGCCACAGTGGAGGGGCCCTCTCCACCTTGGTCTTGTACAGCAAACTACTACAAGAAAGAATTGGAATATATATATATATATAATAAAGTGGGAACCGTCTGTAGACACTAGGTCAGCACCTGTGACATGAATATGGATCAAAATTACCTTGTTATGAATGTACCAAGATGAAAAAATCTGTCAACCATGGTTAGAGTTTGTTCCTAGAATAATACTGAAAGTACCTTGATAAGCTCTCAGAATGCTCAAGTGTTGGAGAATACTAATACTACTCTCCAAGCCCCCAGATTGCCCTAGTGTTAGAGAGCATGGAGGCTAGACATGCCGGCACACACACTAGACCTCCCTGCCCAATGTTGATGAAGGAGGATGGATAGGCACACCAGTGTAGCACTTGAGCTCACATTGAGCATGTATTCTCTTATTTCTTGATACACGTCCAATGCCCGTCGTGCACTAATCACTTCCTGATGTTACCCGATGCTAACCCAATGAAATCCCAACACTTTGACTAGTGGACCCAACATTTTGGCTGCATCGGCCGACCTGAAATCCTGTGCACTTGTCCTATCCGTGTCCTGTCCCATCTTGCTAGCCCCACTAGGTGTGTAGTTGATTATTTCACACATTACTCACATTGTAGCCAGCGCTATTACATGTTTTCCCATTGTCCGCAGTACCTCGTGTTTGTTTACATGTACTTCAGATCCGAAATACTTGGCTGCTACTTTCACCTACGGGTTTCCAGATTTCTACGTACTTATATATATATTGGACTGACCTCAAGTATTTTCATCATCCAAGTAGTAGGGAGCTGTTTCCCAATGCTTAGTGGTCAAACCCGATATTTTGTAGTTCTTAGTTGACATTGTGAATATTACCGCTCTTTTCATCTGAAACACCAGTCTTTATTGTTAATCTGCATACTGCTCACTTTCCCGACATTTGCTATTGCAATTCCCACTAACCTGCTAAACCTGAACCCAAAACCCACTAACCTGAAAACATCGGACATCATAGATATACCTTCAGACTTTGTTTCTTGTGCCTGATGAGGTTTCTAGGGTACAATACTGTCTAGACCCAACTCAAAACACTAGTCAATGCTCAGCAACGCGAACCCCTAGTTCTATAATTAATATCGTCCTGGCTCAGGCGAGCACACGTGACAAGAGGGAGAGCTAGGAACCTAGTTACCTGAGCTTATGTGAGCGTAGATGGCCAAAAATTAAAATTAAAAATTCAGGATAACTGAGATGTCAAACTGACAAGTACGGGTAGAATAAGAAGAAAACAAGATATTGCATTTGAGACAACGGTACGTACTCGGCCGATGTCAAAGTTAATAACGGATCAGCTCGTACTCATCCCGACGTATCCGACGGCACTCCTTCCGACTCATCACTCAGATGGAGCACATGGAGCGGACGATCCATCGACAGGTGACGCGGACGTGCGACATAGATCTGTGCCGTTGCGCTGACTCAACGTTATTGTTGTGGAGTTTGAAACTTAAGCTTAAACTCTGATGGTACCTTCATCATTGCATCCGCCTCTGGATTAAACATATTCCTCAAGGTGGCAGCTGACCGAACCATGTACACCAGGTGCCTTCCCGGCGTCCAAGTCCGATTTTCTCCAAACCTTGGATCAAAAGCCACTGCGTCCACGCGTCATGTCATGTTACTTCCGAAACATGCATATGCCACTTGTCATGGTACACCAAAATGAACGTAGTCCGTCACATTCACAGTCGGTTTCTGGAAAGTACAGGATCCTTCCAAGCAGTGCAGTAGGGGTGCTCTTATACTAACGGAGACGGCGTCTGTAGACTGCTTACTACTGCGTGTGCGTTCGTTCGACCAATTGACGTTTGGGGAGTGCTAGTAGACCAGTTAAGCTAGCAGTGTTACGCGCATGCTCAGGTACTGGAGGTTTCGGCAACTCGACTCAGCTAGGTCTCAGTTGGCAGTAGCTCACTCGCTGCCAATAATAGGAAACTCAAGGCAGGATCATCGCGTAGCGACGCGCAGTAGACTTTCATGAGGGTGCCCTACATCCAATTTAGTGGCATACGCATCTATAATTGGCGTATATCAGAGAGAAGTAAGGGCTTCCTTCATCGGATGATCTGGAGATCTTTTTTACCTTGAATTTTGCAGTCGACCTGCCCCTTGGCCTTATCCTGATTCCGTTGCACTCGTGACCACCCTCGTTCCATGGCGCTTATTTGGAAAATATGACTACTACATTTGGACACCCGCGCTACTTTCAGCTTAGGTACGTGCTTAATGTCTTGATGGTAAATCAAGGGAGATCGAAGCAAGAAACCAAATGTCGCTGACCTCCTGCCGACTTTCTATCCATGTGCATCGAGTGGAGCACTCTCTGGCATCTGATACTTTGCTCAGACGTATAAAAGTGAGTAGGAGGTATCGAAACTGTTTTCTCAAGCCACCGCACAACATTCACATCAAACAGCTATTACACAATGAAGTTCGCCTTTGTCGTTGCTCTTCTCTCCGCCTTCACCCTCCCAGCGTTCGGAGAACCCGCATATGTTACATGGGACTATACGTACGGCAACCCTGACGCGTCTCTCAATATCGTCTCCTGCTCCAACGGCAAAAATGGTCTTGTGACCAAGGGGTACACCACCTTTTCCTCCCTTCCTTCATTCCCCAACATCGGAGGTGTTCCAGGTGGCGTCTGGAACTCCACCTTATGTGGTTCCTGCTGGAGCCTCAAGTACGCCACGCCTAGCGGCAGCCAGACTACCGTCTACATCACCGCTGTTGATAATTCTTACACATTCAATATCTCACCAGAGGCATTCGGAGAGTTGACTGATGGCACTGGCTTCGAGGCCGGCAAAGTCAAAGTTAGAGCTCTTCGGGTTCCCTCGAGCAAGTGTGGCATGTAGAGACGGGTGCGTTCTCCTTGATGTTTTGCAAGACTTGCGCACTGATTCGATGTTGAATCTCGTCTTAGGAATGTTCTTTGGCATCGAACAATGCCTGAAGTGTCCGTGAGTAGAGCATCTCGTACTTGGGCTCTAGTTCGTCATTCGATAAATATGGCAAGACGTACTGACTTAACAATTCGTGTCAGCGGACCAAATGCACCTTGGACCATGGTATAATCAGTAAATATACATGACGGCTTCTTTTTTGTTCTTTTTGCTCTGATACTTTTGTTCTCATCCGATTACCGCGTACATTTACAATGATAAAAGTCGGTGATTTGGCGCCGTGATTTCAGCCTGGATCGCCGCCGTGAATTCTCTGGAGAACACAGCAACATTCTGCGAAGATACCCACACATTACGATGCATCATCACCTGCAAATCGGCGGTCTAATTAGCTCAGGGTGCTCTACTGATCTTGTGTACCAGCGTTGTGGTTTGTTGTCCAATGAATAGCATACCTGTGTCGTCAGAATGATGTCATGTCCACTCTCTCTACCCATCATGACACCACCGTATCTCGTAACGCTGAACAAAATACCCGGTATCGACCGTCATGAGCTTGAGAAGCTAGCGCGGAAGGAGGGCAGTGGCATCACAGACGAAGCCATGACTTTCAAGAAGCCCTTCCAGACCGTCGTCCGGCCACCCACCACGAATCACAATATTCACGATGACTATATAAAGCATCCCCCAGAAGTACGCGGTTGTGACATCGTTCATGTCAGGAGCTATATTTAACTGCAAGTGTCGCTCATATGTAGAACGTGTCCCTGGTGCCCACAGAACCTGTAGATTTGGCAAGAAAGAGGGCGCATTCAAATCTTAGCCGATGGAGAGAGTGAAGGGACTAGGCCAAAGCAGGCAGATGTTTCAGGGTGGGTTTTTTTTGCAAATTCTCGCTGTCGCATCAGTGATTCCAAACAGCGTAGACGCGTATCTTGTGTTTTTGGGAGGCTAAAGCACGGAGTTGGCTGATGCACAATCACCATTGTATGAAGTTATGCGCAAGACGTGATAAATATTCAAGGAACGTGCTCAAGTTGAATATTTTGCTATGGTACACGGTTTCACATGAGCTTCACGTTCCCGTCACCACCACCTTTCCTCAACTTGCGTCCGGTGGCAAATAGGATACTGTCCAGCAGGGCAGCCACGGTAAGAACACCTCCGACGATAGCGCAAGTACTATATAGGCAGAGTGAATAAGAGAGATGTAGGTGGGTATGATGACACTTACGAAGTGAGGAAGTGAGCAAACGACTGCCTCGTTTCAGAGTGCACGACAAGGATGGGTGAAATTTCAAAGTTGAAGTATGCACCTGAAAATGTATTAAAATATTGATTGATGACCCATGTTCTTCAACATACCTGGTGAGCCCGCGACGCCGTGTTGAGTCATCACGCCTTGCTTGTTCTCGCCTTCATTGAACTTCGTCAGATCACGTTCAAATTGCGTTGAACTATATTGGTGCGTGTTGATCTGCATTATTCAGGCAATCAAGTTGTGCGGCCAGTTTGATTCATGTACTCACAGTTTTGCCTTCCAGTGTGCGGAATTGTGTTGATACGACTTTGAGGAAATACTGGAACATGTACGACGACTTGTTCGTCTGCGATCATGTAAGCAGAAGCATTAAGAACCATGCAAACATAATTTTACCTTCGCTTCAGCACCATCTAATGGATTGTCTGCAATCCCCATGCGTTCCTTCATATCCTTCCCAATCTTCGCCTTGTTAGGGTTGTACTCGTCGTCTGCCATGAAGAAAAACTCATGGATAGTGTGGCTGAAATCGTGTGGGTTACCATCGTCGCGAAGGTACGGTACCAGATCTTGGAAGGTACGCGAACCTGCCTGGTAGGAACGTCCTGGAGTGATTTGGATGCTTCCGATGACCTTGTTCACCCGGATGCGTCCAGAAACATTGCACCCCTCATCCGCCTGGTCCTTAAGCTTGTCTGACCATCCTTCCTCAACGCACTGTAATGAATCCCTTGACAACTTGTTATAAATAATTCAGCGTCATTCTCACCTGTTCAATACCGTCGGGATTGGTGAAACTCCACCCCTTGTCTGTATACGCCTGTCGAACTTCTTCACACGAGTTGCAGCATCCACTCTCTGGTTCCTGTCCACCATAGCACGAGCCACAATACCCACTCGCGCGTCGTTCAGCAAGCTTGTCGATCTCGTTACGGAGGTCCCCACCCCGCGATGCAGGCATGTCCACGCCGGTCTTAGTGATCCGCTTCTTGAGAATATTATGTGAGATATCGCGTTGTTGCTCGCCAGAAATGTCCATAACATCCAGACTGAGTACTATACAAGTCAAAGACAAACGCAACCATAGTTAGAATGTACAGTCAGCGATACGCGGCGTGAATGAGCTCACAGTAACACGGTACATGGGGGAAGGTGACGTTCAACCGTACGCTCAGCTTCTGCCCACGGCTGCGGTCGACTACTATCGACGTGTCGACACCAACGTGTCGGTAATCGAAAAACTCCATCGTTGTAAATGCCAGAATGATACATGCGGATATGAGGGTTACTAGACATCCCGCTGTCAACTTCACTTCATCGTAATAGCTCCGGACAATGGCTTACGCAGAGCCCCAGTACGGGTTTTAACTTTGACATCCTCGGTAGTCTGGATGTGCGCGCCGCATACATGGTCAATCGTTGCCCGTTCCCACTTCAACAAAATGATCGGTTCTCACCTTTCCAAAGGCATCTATGCCTTTGAAGCCGGATAAAAAGCCCTTGGCCATTTACGACCTTCAATAATAGTGAGCACGATGAAGCGGCAGAAAGAACGGGAGGAAAGGAGAAAAAAGCTGGAAATGATTGGCCAGAGACAAGTGAGAGGGTATACTTGGTTTAGACCACGTGGACGCTGTACGGGCTACGTGTCACTCCAACTTAGTATAGAAACGTATATCCGAGCTAGTCCTTTATTTGGAACTTGAAGAAACGAATTCGACTAGTAAGGTAAACCAGATCTAGAGAGCGCTTATAGTATAATGTACAGTTTACTGCAATCCGATTTTATCTACACCTTGCTTCACCCGTCCGATAAAATTGCGCACACCATCCTTGATGCCCTCGGCTTGAACGCCAACATGGTCAGAGCTTGTTCTATACACACCCGTTCCAGTTGGACCTCCAAGACTGACGTTGACACCGCCAAGATTGAGGTTCAAAGATGGAGCAGTGGTTGCGGATTCTGGAGGTGGCTCGTAAACTGACACGGGAAATTTCTCTGCGGCGGTGCGAATCATCTCAACGTAACTGATAAGGGTTGTAGGTACGTCGCCTCCTCATTCTTCCCAAATATACTACGCACCTGGACGAGTTGTGCACACAAGTGCCGCCAAGTAGAATTCTTGTCCCTGTCAGAGAATTACCTGCTTCTTGGTTCAGGAGTGCGACTGTCCTTGCTTCCTCATATGTAGTTCCACCGATCATGAAAATGATGATATCCTGAGGCCTAAAAAGTCGAATAAAAAGCTCGGACATTGCTCAAAGGCACATTTCTCACCGCTGCAATCCCATGTTAGTACCAGTCCCGTCCAAGAAAGGGTGCGCAGTATCCTTCAATCGGCCCCTGAAGAGGTTTTCTAGAGTTTGAGAAAGATGTGGCGTGTGCTGAGTGTATACATTCTCGACACCCTGAACATTATTACTATGGCACGCGATGCAATGCTGTGTTTAAAATACCTTGAGTCCTTTCAAAGCGGATCTGCCCTTGGCTAGTAGAGACTCGGTGGAGAATAGATCATCCTGTCGCTGATCTGATCCGGCGACGTTCAAAAAAACGTAAACTAGCTGAAAAAGAATGAGTACAGGTGCATATTTTGTGTAATTCTTCAAGTGTAAAGCTTACCCGGGCCTCTTCACGAGACACGCCATTGGATAGTAGCAAATTAATTAGGGCAGCAATATTGCTCGTCTGTGTCTTTTGATAACGCAGTGCGTAGAGAATGACGACCCGCAACTTGTTCCAAGCTGGCACGACTGGGTTGTTGACCACAGCCTGTACGTTCTGCCCATTTTCGTAAGTGTCAAAGAATGACATCGACCCTAGAATGCAAACCTTAAAGTCTGAACCGGAGCTCGTGGCCAGCCCTTGCTCTACCTCTCCTACATCGAGTAACCTGTCACGATCGACCAACCTGCTAAGCTCGCCTACTAAAGCGACGTGTTTGCTAACATTCCCACCCAGCTTCCGAAATTCTGGATATTCTTCCACAAAGCGCTTCATGTCAAATATTGAGTTAATGGACGAAGGTGATTGGGCGAGGGAACGCGACTGATATGATTGGACATAATTTTTCAGGGAAGTGCCAAGGTCACCGAACGTCGCAAGATAATGAGCTTGAAAGAAAGGGTCGGTAATCGTTGTCAAGGTTATTTCCTACACATGGCATTAGAGTATGAGCTGTGCAAAACTTAAAGAGACATACAGAAAGCTCTGGACGGATATCAGGGACCATGCTAAGATTTACGCGACCATTATGAATGCCCAGCAACTCGTGCACCATGGCTTGATAGGTCCACTGTGATAGCAGAGGAGTGACGGGATCGTTTCGCCGGTCAAGAATCAGCAACAGTGGAGCTACTTGCGTCAAGCGAAAATCGAACAGTGTCGCTTCCGCTTGGATACGATGCTACAATCTTCGTGAGTGTCATACACAAGAAGTTACCGGCCCGACATTTACCTGTACTTCGCTCGCTAGTTTTTTGGCCATCCCGCTTATTTTCTCGTACCGAATCACGGGCTTCTTCTTCAAGCTGAGAAGGACAGCCATGATACCCTGAACAGTGCGCTCAAGCGCAAGGGAGTCCCACACATTTGGCGAGGAACCATACAGGGGTTTCTCCGCCGTTGGTGTATGATTGAGAGAAAACAGGCAGGGCAACAGGGGTGCGTAGTCAGCAAAATATTCCTAGTCGGGAGACTTCAATAGAAATGCGATGTAGAAGAATTCCCACTTACCTGAACCTCCCTGACGACTTCAAATTCATCAATATCAGCCAAACGTTCAATGGCAGGTTTGCTCAGTATGTTACTGAAATCTGAAATATACAACTCATGTAAGCAGTCCATCTCCATTTCTACCCTCAGTAGTCACGCACTGACACAGATAGTATTCCCCGTATTTTGGTTCCCTTAACTCGGCGGAAAGGGCATCAAGACTATCTTCGCTTGGCTGCAGAAAACAGACACATTTCATGTGCGACATCCGGTCCCGTTTCCCATTGTCGATACGATCGGTTAGGTAAACCTGATGTGAAAGTAGGGTAGATTGGGTAGACGCGAGTGAAACAATGGGTGTCTGCGATTGCAAATATGGAGTTTGAATGATTGAACAGTAGTATGGAGAAAATGTACCGTGTGTGTGTCAAGCAGTAGAACTTTCATTGCAGAGGGCGTAGACACCAACTTCGTGATGTATGTTTCCACTGCCTTGACCACGTCCATGGCTGAATGATTATTTAGGTGAATCTGGGTGAAACAGCGCGGGTTCGACGAGATTGTAGCGTGAACTACCTTGTGATTCACGAGTTTCTAATGATGTCAGTATGCGTAATAGCAAGTTGGTGAGCGTACACCGTGACTGGCATGCACAGCGTGTCACGTCGAATGTAATTTCCTAAAGTGGACATCAGGAAAAAGGTTAAACATTTGCAAATATTGGCAAGCACTAGCCTCTGGATCTACGGGCGCTACCGAACCACGCCGCACATGGTCACTTCCGATGGCCTGTCAAACAACTCAAATATTCGCCTCCCCCTTTCTGGCCAGCCCTGCATGAACCCGCGAGTCTGCAATATCCAATCCCCTCGTACCCGCCTTCAGGCACACAGCTGCATTCTAAGCGAACGTTAATGTGAAATTCACGGGTGGCAGCAGTCCTGATCCGAAAAAAAAACCAGGAAATAACCTGTGCACTCGACATAATCGGTCTCGACCAACTCCAAAGCGTTATGGACGTGTGTATTGCCCTGTGCTAGTAACGTGATGGTGTCGATTTCCACCCGAGGGCCTTTCAAGCGGTGCCACGGTCGTCGGTAGGGCTGCATACTTATCGAAAGCACAGTGATTTCAAGCGAGACTTTCCCTATGATCTCGTCTGCCCAAGCTGATTTTTACGTTGGAGCTGGAAACCTTTCTTGACCGCTGTCGTTCTGGGCCGGTTGTTACTAGAAACGGCATGTTCCGTGCACTATTCCTTAAAGGTCTCTCAGAAAAGCAGCAGCCTATTGAAGCTTTGCGAGTTCTAAGCTTTAGATGCGCATAACGTAAGAAAACGTTGCATAGTTCCCGTCTCTTCACTCGTATCTGAAACGTTTCGCTTCTATCGGTCTCGTTTTCGTTATGATGCCCGTTGTTTTAACATTCCGTATATCGGATTCCGTGCAACCCTGGGGCTGTGGACAGATCAGAAATAACAAGCTGCGTGTCTCGTGCGCTGCCGGGTCAACCAGTGCCATGTGCTCCGGTTGTCTCGTCTACGGGATTATGTTGTTCCTGCGTCCAGATTTGGCGGTCGCTCTCCTCTGACTATATTGTGGAGAACATTACTGAGAGCTTATTGATTCAATGAGCGTGGATATGTTCCTGTACGATCGCGCTTGTAGATCTGGCCCAGTGCTATTTTCCTGCCATGACTGAAAATCAAGTAAAAATAAGACAAGAGATTGGTCGTTGAACTCAGGAATGTATTGTACTCCTGACCGTCATCGCGGTAACTACCGATTTTCTTTCTCAACCTTGCTCCTCTTCGAGTCTCACCTGCTCCAATACGTGAGGCCCCTCTTCCAACAGGGACTATATTCCTGGGGTCATCCAACTTCAAATTGCACCAGGGTCAAGCAAATAACCATGATCATTTTTTAAAGCGCTGGAGTTGACACCTCGCTAAAGTTGACGTCGTGAGGTTCTTCCAGAATCCAGACAGGAGCTTCTTAGCATGTCTCTGCCTCCCTGGTTTTCAAAACTATATAACACTGGGATACATCGATACACATGGAAACTCACATTTCCAAAGATCATGTCGACTTCATTCTATCATACCGAGCTTAGCAAGGCCCTTTCTGAGCAAGCCTTCGGGCTGGCTCGGTTTGACATCTGCAGAAGCTCGTCGCCCCATGAGGCCACTGCTTCTGTCACTCTGTTAGAGGGCAGAACTATTCGCATAACGCTAACTGCTCGTGGCTACCAGGTGCGTACAGCGTCCGTGTGGTCTACACCCACTAAAATTTTCTCTAGACTGATGAGGATCAGATCTTTGAATCTATCGAAGGTCTCTTACAGGCTGTCAGTCCAGCATACGAAGGAAGAAGGAGAGAGGCTTTGTTTTCGCGCCTGCGAAGCCTATCATGAAACATTGTTCCCCGCGATCGCGATATACAATGGCCTTAACGTTAGTCCTTTGTTCCCCGGATCATCGTATCCTGCTAATCTCTTTGCAGCATATTTGTAGTATTTTTGTACTAATGTATAGTTGACACATATTTTTGTACTTCTTCATAGCGCGTTACTTAGAAGCTCGCCGCCAGGCTCGATCCTCGAGCAGTCGACTAGTTAGAATGTCTGGCAGTACTACTTGCAACCTAGAACAAATTTTTGACGTAATTCAGTTTTGTGTCATCCTGCTCAGTGCAAACGTAGTAAAGTACCTACTACGCATCAGTACATTCAAGTTGCGGTTCTGCAATGGACCCCGATTCCTTTCGCCTCCGCAGACTGGCTTCGTACTTCTCTCTGCTGAAAATCTCGCCGTTCCTCGCCTTCTTAATTGTAAGTCCGATCCACTCCCGATCCGCTTTATTCCTCAAGCAGTTAGCCCACCATCTATCCATGCTATCCCGTAGTAGGCTGGTATTTAGCTGTTTATGTTCGCTTTGTTCATTGAGGATATGGAGTAGGAAACCGGCATTCAGATGCTCCAGGCCCATTTCCGACAGACACTTGAGGATCCGTGTGATGCGAAGGTTGTTGTGAGGAGCTTCTATATAGTTTACCCAAAGTTCGTAAGCATGAGTTTCTGATCATGGTACCTCACCCACGCAAGAGGTTCTGGTACCGAGCTTTGTAGGCTTCTGAGCGTCCAATGAGACCAGCCTCGAAGTTCACCAGGCACATGCCATAGAAATCCAACATCAACCCATAAGAGGCCTTGATGCGCTCGATGACATTAGAATCTTCCTTCATCGCCGCAGCTTCGTGTGGCTGGAGAGCTTGCGCCTCGAAATTCATTCCGTTCTCCCGGATGGGGAAGCTGCGCACATCATGGTTGAGTCATGAGATTATCACCGGGTGCCGCCAGTGGATATATGTCGCACGACTTACAGCCATTGGATGTAACCATGGTTGTACTCCAGTTGATTATAGTCTTTGCGCCAGCTATGTATAAAACTTCATGGTGGATCAATTCTGTACTGGATAATAACAGTCGCATACCTCTGGTGTATCTCGCTGATCAAAAGATCGTCTGGCTGGCAGCGTAGACGATTTTGGTAAAATAGCAGATTATCTGAAGCTTGCGAGTCATCCGTTTGACCGTGGTAATGAGAGAGAAATGCACGAATATCGCGCGGAAGTGACATGAATTCAATGGGGTTTTATAACCTGAGATACCCAGGGGAGCTGTGAAAGGTGCCGACGAAGGTGATCTTGCACCGAAATAGGAAGTCAAGAAATCTTATCTATGCGCCCGGTGTCTCGATCGGAGTCAACTCAAAAAGCCCTGGAACTGTCCGGGTTAGGCCGGTTCTCCTGCTATCTAGGCGAGAACAAATGAATGTACATTAAATTCCTTGTCCAATTGTGCTGCTGAGAGCTGCAGAATGGTCGGTCTCTAGTAACTTAGTAGGTGCCGCTGTAAAATTATGGATTTAGATTTTGCAAATTGCAATTGAATTATGGATTAAAATGATCATCATCAACCTGATTTGGTAATTTAGTCCAGACAAATACTAAAATTATAAACTCAACCAAAACCGTCCACGTGCACCAGCGCCAACCTTCAACGAGTACTACGTACTTGCTGCTATCACTTTACTTGACGAGCGAGCCGGTTGTCTTTTCTACAACTTCATCCTGTGGTCCCTCGACCATCCTGAGTTGCGCACGTCCTGCATCATGGTGCCGACAACTAATGCGAGGTAAGGCACCATTCTAACTTCATGCAGCCGCAGTACGTGGGTCCATAGCTACTTCTATCAAACTCTCGCCGCCTCATTCTCACTAGTGGGGCCACCGGATCTATCATATCGTTGTAGGATGGCTGGAGTTGTCCGCATGTCATTTGTACCCATGTGTAGGCAAGTGATCTCCGTCTCGAGGTGCCATAAATCCGTTTGACATCTCATTGTATTTACTACCCTGTGTCGTCCGTATCGGGAACACAGTGAGTGATATCAGGTCATTTATATTTGAACTCATCTTTCAGAAGGTGTCAAGTAGTTTCCAAGTGCTTGGCGAAGTAACTCTTATCTGATCTATCTTACCAGCTCGCTGGCGACGAGGTCACACACTCATCATCCGATTCAAAATACACACATTTCCCAATTATAGTTTGTCTATCTTCCATGAACGTTTGAACACCATTAGCTAACAGACGGTAGCCTTGCAGTTTACCGGCCATGTCATGTGAAAACATGAGGACATATTACGGAATTGCGATTGTCTTGGTTATTTAGGGGGGTTGATAACCTTTAGGTGGGCTTTAACATTTATGATCGAGCCATGTCAGACATCAGATCTGTTCTAGAACGCAAGGTATACATGGTGACAGTTCCATATAGTAGTGGTGGATGACATGGGGAATTACCACTGAGAATGCGAATGAAAGTGTGTATTACTCTTGCACCGATATATGCCATCATAACGCTGCATAAAAGGATAGACTCGACGCAATACTAGGTCCGGATGCACGCAAGCACATTCGAAGCAATGCAATTATCTCCCTCCGGCTGTACTTCATTCATTAACAACCATATGAATGTTTTGACGTTCTTCGGGGAAGATGTCAGCATGTCAGAATCTTCTAGTCAACGCGGAGATGAAGGCGCGAAAAATCACTTTCTGGACGAACGTTCAAGTTGGGGCCGAGTTAAGCAAAATGGGAGCCCAGATAAGTATCTACAAGTCACAATCTAGGCTTTTGTCTCGCTTGCCTGATTGGCATGTGATTTATTTTACTAAATCACATCTTATCAGTGCAGCGCCCTAAGACCGCAGATATTTCAAGCGTCCGCCGTGTTTTCATTCCTGTGGAGCATATCTTACGTGGAGAAGAGCATGCGAATAGTCAAGCTTTTTGACTTACCTCCAATCAAGGGCATGAATGGCGATAGTTATGGTCCGAAGAAGGTGTCATGCTCACATCTAGTAGTGGCGTGTCAGTTTCTGCGCAGCGGCAGTGTTGTTAAACGTACGTGCACAAGGCCCCAAAGTCATGAACGTCAACCCCTATACGCTTTACAGGAAATTGTGATCGAGCCTTGCGGGATGGATGTGTCCTTTATTGCTCTTCCACCGACCACTTCCGATGACCAAGTGTCAATCGTATGTCTCGCCCGTTGACGCCACTGATGGGCCCGCCTGGTTTCCAGGTCTCAGCCTTATCCCCATTGCATGGATATTGAGGGGCGTAACAAGAATGCAAAATTTACATTACCACATAGGTTGAACATTGCAGGTAACAATAATGCGACGAGGGACGCATAACCCGCGCATGGTTGGTAAATAGAATGACGACAGATAAGTATCTTTGATGCAATATGCTGCACCCTCAGACATTATCGAGGCAGCGTGTGACACGGCCAACGAGGTCATGTAATACACGCACACGGTGGTCAACTGCTAATAGCACAGTGTATTGCGTCCGCTGCAAAGCAATTGCTGGAGAGTTACAGACGGAAGTTTTTGCGCCTTACCAAGGTCTTGCTCTCCTTATTGTCGGGCATGCCAGGTTACCGATCAGCTTAATAGGGAGCCAGCACAACTTCGTGGCGTCACAAAGGAACCCGACATTATCCATGTCAATCCCGATGCCCGTTGTAATTCCTCACGGAGGCGGTGCTTTTCGTCGGTCACACATGCGTTGCGTGATACACTCCGACGTCATAGGAAGATATGTCTTCGAGAGGAAATAAATCGTGGCGCTCGCATGCCATTGGCTCCATGCTACGAAATGAAAACATCTAAATGCTCCCAACAATGCCACACAAAGGTACTGGCTCGCAAGATTACATTTTCCGGTGAAATTCGGTTGTCGTCAGGCCCGACCATGGCGGCCCAGCTAAAGGGACTATTGCCACGCACTGGCTGGCGGGATGCCACACTGGCCTGGGCGATTGAGTCTGGTTTGAGCCTCAGCCTTCTGCGCGCGCGTTTGGCCTCTGGGATGGTCTGGGCAAGACCTTGACCTAGAATTTTGATGCTCCATTTCATTTCATTTCTCCATTCTGCATTCTGGGGTTTGTCGTAGTACCAAATCTGGGCCTATGAAGCAATGAAATGAAATGTTCAAGAAGTTTTCTGTATGATTAATGTCAGGACCATTAGAGCTTCCATTGTTCAACTGCCCTTGGGCCTAGAAGGTCTGCTGTGCACATAACGTAAATCAATGTGTAGCCAAACGACCTATGGAATTTCAAAGGAACGCAACTGGCGCGTTACCAGCGCAGTGATGACGGTCAATTTACTACTATGAACATATAAGATATATCATGACCATGTGCCTGCATGATTGGCGCGGGTGTTGTCCAAACTTGGTTATATACGTAGTTGAATGGCCATTATACCGCGGTGGAACGTCAGACGGCCTTTGAAGGCAACCGCATTGGCCCTTTGCCTAGCGTCGGAGAAGTAACAGGAGAGGGGCTAGAATGCGGACTGTATGCGGTAGGCCGCATCGAATCGACGAGTCTGAGGTCACCATGCGGCGATGAATAGACTGATGCTAGGATGAGAAGGCCGCTAAGCTCAATCTGGCGCGGACCGGCTAAGTTGGAGCTTGGGACTGCCTCAGTAGACGTTCCAACTCATCCGCGGCCAAAGGTGGAACGACGACGTCAGCCATAGATTCCGTTCGATCTGACTGCTCACGGTCCCGGGATGACTTGACTGAAGATAACCGGAAACAAGCGCACATATCATGGCGACTTTCTGTGAGTCTATTCCGGCGGCTACTAAAGTACTAGAAGCGCACTCCTACTAGAACACCGTGGTATTGGGGCTAGAAAGACGGCGGGCGCAGGGTGCTGAGAACATACTATACCAGTGTGCCCGTCCTGCAAGATGTGCGTGGTGCCAGACCGTGTGGGGGATTCTATAGATATCACGGTATTCAAAGAAGCGTGCCGTCGCTTCCTTGCATAGAACACGGATCCGAGGGCCCAGCCTGTGCTCGCTTAAGTGCTTGCAGGGAAGTATGCCTTTGCACTGGCCTGACGTGTTCGTAAACTAATAGATGTTCTTTAGGTTGAGAAAAGAAAATCTAGATCTTCGAATCGATTTACCTGAGAAAGCATGTGGAGCATTCCATCATATGAGCTTCTGAGATCCCAACACGATGCTAAGGCGAGATGAGGTTCTTCTTGCACGAGGAATATCGTGCCTCTGTGACGATGTCATATGATCATTAAAATCGATTTAGCGTGATGAGTCGCGGTCTTGTACTTCTCGCAGTCAACGTTCGCTGGACGTGCCAGTAGACATGACGTGAGTCAGGATCTTCGTCGGACCTGGTGGTGAAATTCGCGAGCGAATAAGGATGAAAGATCGATGCGATGGTCGCGGATTAGATATCACCGTGGATCATAATACCACATCAGTGACTCCCCACAACGTAAGATATGTGCGGGTACTCAAGATACAATATTGAAAAGCCTATGTAGGAGGATAAACTCACGGTAGTACCTCAGTAGACACAGCAAGTGCCTATTTTTCGATCGCAACACTTGATGATACCTAGGAGTACCTAGTATGACTGAAAATGAATGTAAGGTTCCCGTGTACCTTTAAATATTTACGGGCGCAAATGAATTATATATGGTTACTGTCCATGTGGGACCCCCATACCAGCGGCGGAGAGCCCCGCGGGGAGGGCAACAGATGAGATGATCACGTTTGAACAGAACAGGATTCATGATGGCAATGAGTGACACTACTATAGTTTGAGCGCTGAGACGCCGAATAGTAAGGATCGCATATGTTCACGAGCGAGTGAACGTAAACCTCGGAGGAATTGATTCTTGATGCAGCAAAGGCATCGCCCGAAGACTGACTCGTAATCCGACTACTTCGGTTTGACCTGAAAAGGTCAAGTGGACTACTTGTGAGATGAATGGGGAAGGAAAGTCACCCCGACGCGAGAGCGCAACTCGGGTACTCACCGAGAGACAAGCGGACGTCGATGTTGAGAGGGAACGGACTAAGTATTATTTATTGAAGGACCCGAAGGAGAGCGTGAAGTCGGACTGAGTCCCGCGGTCGGAGAAAGCCGAGTAGTCTATCAAACATGAATTACCAATTGAGTGCGGATGAGGATTGGATACCGTTTGACCAGGTGAGACCGGCCAATGACGGATCACGCTCACAGGGCGGTTGTTACAGTTTGAAACATCCGGTAGCTCTTGAACCAATGAGGTTTGTGAATCTCTGTGTACATGTAGATGGATGTACACGGTTTACACATGCAACGAGTGGTAGTCGAACGACGGTGGTATATGTACATTGAGATAAGTGAATCGGAGTTTGCCGATCCCGTAAGGTAACGTATGCACGGGGTGTACCGGTGGCGTCGCAGTCCGTCGACCAATTAGAAAAAATAATTTTAAAAAAGTAGTAGTAAACTGACGACATCGTTAGTCCAGTAATGATTAGACTTCAGGTTGAACTACCGCAAGGAGAAAACCAATGGATAGGTGTACGGTCCGATTCACCTAATTTGCCACGTGCACAGGGTTCCACACGGGGTAGCACATTTAGCGTGACAGCATGCGACTTCCCAATGTGGGGATGCATAGCCGAGGATCCGAGGTAGCCGAAACATAACTGAGAGTAATAACTCAATTTCCAATATTTTTCAACAGTGAATTATTCGGCATTTCGGTGCGATTCCAATCCCCAATTGGGTAGTCCATTTCGTGTATATGCGAATCACCAATCAAATAATAAAACCCCGACCTCTCATTCTTTTCTTCGTCCAATCCCATCCTCACTTCAGTCTTCTCCTCCTCCTCTTCTTCCTCAACGTCGTCCTCAACGTCGACGACCTAAACAATACTCCTTGGCCCATCGGCTCCCATATCTGGTCCCACTCTTCACACACAGCTCCATCGTGCGTTCATCATTCCGTTACATTGAAATCTGGCCTAGAACGTTTACCTTTGTTGGTGTTTCACCTTTTGTCCACATCTAGATATCTTCCGCACCGCCTACAAACTTCTTTGTTTGACTGCATTTAAAACCCATCATCCCCCCACGTCTTCCCCGCACTTCCTTTCAACCACCCATGGATGCTCACTTCGACGAAGCCTGGTGTCCAGTCTGTGACAGGCAAATCATGCCTAAGCGATATACAGTACCCGTCCTCCCACAAACTCAAGAACTCACACCTGTCCCCACGCCATCTCCAGCTTCCTCATCTCGTAAGTCTTGTCAACTGTCATCCGTCACTGCCACAAGTCATTCAAATCTTTTTTCCAGCGTCGAAAAATCAACAGAGTGACTCTACTGCCCGCACTTCCAAAACGAAATCGGGCGCCGTTCGCGCAAAGAATGGCCTTTTGCAAGGCACCGGTCGCGTCAAACCTAATGGTGCAATAAAGCGATCCGACTCAGCAACAGTGGCAAACAAAGGGCGTGCCTCGTCCCCTCAGCCTCAACAACCCGTCGCACCTGTCAAGCACCGCACGATCATTGACCAGGGTCCAATTCCTCTATACTGCTCGGATGAGTGTCGTCTCCAAGACTTGGCAAGACTAAATGGCGCTTACCCACTCGATTACCACCCTGATCGCTCATCACCACCTCTTCCTCGTGTACCTCATAATTCTTTCGAGAGGCGATATTGCGAATCAGAAGACGAATCCACCAGTGCTTCCGGATCGTCACTTGATTCAGGGTTTTCATCTTCCCCACCATTGGTCACCGTCTCTCGCAGTATGGCTACCCTCGCTGCCTTGTACGATTTCCCTCCCTTACCTCCTGCACCGCCTATCTTGTCGCCGGTCGATACCACGTCTTCGTCGGAGCTCGAGTATCACAATGATTACCAGGGGGGGACAATGATGGCAAGCAAGCGTATCAAGGATGTATTATGCCCACCACGCCCAAAACCTTCGCTGTTTTACGGCGAACCGGTTCAACCTAGAAAAACAGTTCCTGGTTGGACCGACGGTGGCAATGAGTGGCGCCAGTCAGTGTATGGTGGATACTCCAAACACTCGGACACTGCATCGGTTGGGTCTCAGAAACCCCAGACCTCATTTGCAGCATCATCACATCGTGGTGTTCAATGGACTTCGACACTTTCCCAGTCAAACTCATCTGGTGCTCTTGCCGCGCAGTGTCCTACCTCCAACCTACCTCCTCGTTCGAGTCAGTCGTACAGCGAAGAGTTGTACACTAAATATTCCCTTCCCCTTTCTCGCCGATCAGAGTCACGGATGTCACTTTTCCCCCACTCGGCGTCTTCCTCCGCACAATCTCCTCCGCTATCTCCTACTTCCACATCTTCGTCCGGTCGTCGTCGTCGTGAAGTCCCTCTACTCAAACGAGGCGCGGAAGGTCGTTTACTCGTTCCTGACGTTATACTTACTCGAAACAACTCGAGCATGGGTCTGTTGTCGCAGCGTCTTGCGAAACCTTTGAAGCGACACCCCAGCGAAGTTAGTGAAGACAGTATCTTGAGTGATACCACATCTGAATCGCTTGGTTCCTCGTCCCGACCTGCACCACAAAGTATGTTATGCTTTTGACGATTGTTTAATTGTGTGACTAATTGTATCTCCAGCTCGCACATGGTCATACGATAACATAAAGACTTACCCTGTGATGATGCCTCCTGCAAAGAAGGAGAAACGCATCGAGCATCGCATGGTTGATGGCGAAGTCAAGGAGGTCGAAGTCGAGGTGGAAGTTCTCCAACCCTTGAAGCGCCTCTTCCTGTTCCCTGGCAAGGAAGCAATCCATACAGGACGATCCTAAATGGCACGCGCAGCCATCGTCCTTGTCTGTTTCTCGAACATTCCATCATACCCTGTATTTGCACGGTCGCAGCTCGACGACGGCCATACCGCCACGTTCACGACGCATACCCATTACTTTATCGATTCTTTACCGGCATCTCTCATCGCATCATGACCACACGCAATTCACAACATTCCCATCTAACGCTCGCGTCGTCGACTCTGCTGAATCGCGCCACCACCCCCACCATGCCTAATACCGCGCATCCATATCAAAAGTTGAATAATGATTTGTACCATACCATTGTATTGTGTGTATACCTTTCCTGCTTTTTTTCTTCTGGGCCCGTACATCGTGTAACATGAGATTTGCGCATTTACTGTACGCATTATTCTACGACAACGGGACTAATTGGTCTTCTGTGTTTCGGTCGAGTTTTGTTGTTGGGGTACACTCTCGGGCCAGCATAATTGCTTTCTGTCTTATTTTCTTATCAGTATTTTGGTCTTCGATGTTTTCTCGCTGTCATTGCATCGTCGTTCCGTTGTGAGTAGCACTTGTATACTTGTTGCAATAATGCATGTACTGGACATTACAATTATCTGAGGCATTCGAAATTCTTGCAGATGGGAATACGGAAGCTAAGAAGTAACATTATACCTAGTAGACACCTTGTGGTCACATCGCCGTCGGCCCTGAGCTTCTTAGCCCGCATCATGATATTTTGTGGGTAATTCGGTTAACTCCCTCTTTAATGAACACGGAATCGTATTGTTGTTTTCAACAAGATGGCAACAAGCCGGTCAGTCAAAATTTATGACTGCCATATCTCGCAATGGAGGACTCATCGTCCATTTTCAAGGTGCTCCAAGCTCCGAGTACACAAACACATGCATATGCAAATATCAGCATCCTTGTCTTCTGAAACGCACATTCGGATCGTTCCACCTGCTCATCTGAGACGGTCACGGGAGGGCGTAAATCCATCCCGGGACAAGAGACCTGAATCACACACTAGCCACCCCTTAGTACCCCAACCCTCAGAGGTAAGTATTACCCCACGCCCCGGATGCATGTATTACGCCTGTGCACGGAGGCCAGCACCATAGCCCAATACACCACCTTGGTTGGATCATTAACACAGCTCTTGACACAGGAACATCGCTTGGTTTAATCATGTTCCGTGACTGCCGCAACAGCGCTCAGTGTTGTCTCCGCAGCAACTCTGAATCGGATGGGTGACAACGGACACGGCTTATGCTGTGAGACCTACTCGATACTAATCCAATTATGCGATCAACGGAACGGTGCTGGAAAACAGGATCCTGCACTCGACCGGATCTCCGGAGTCCGGATATGACTGAGACCACACGTTTATGCTGGAGCTTATTATCCCGCATGTGGGAATGGGCGCGATGCGCGATCTGAGCAGCATATGATATGTTACAGCACTCGTTCCATAGTAAGCACATGTTAATGACCTCCGGCGTGAAATATGCGACGAAATTGATGTTCTTTGAACTACTTGATCATATATTGAAACAGCCCCATCTCTCCTGGATGGGAATGATGGTCGCCCCTCTCCGGAAATGGATGGGGGATGTCGCTGAGATTACTGAGCGTGGGGCAACTCATTGATATCGGACCTGGGCGGTTGCATTCACCTTGGCCGGCGAAGGCATGTGGGGGATGCCCACGACTAAAATACACCTGCAGAGCTTGTCATGTCATCAAGTTTTTTTTTTCTCTTTTTGCTGACCGTAATAGAAGGCATTTTGATCCATGCTTTGAACTCTTTTCCAATCGATAATGCACTCAGCCCGATGGACGTCGAACGCGTGTGAGCAGGGTAGACACTTCTACGAGTCTCTGTTATGCCACACGTTTCATACGCATCCCCACGATCGTGCACACATCACACAATGTCCGAGTGTTATACATCCAGCGGGCCCGCGATTATCAAGCAAGAACAGATGAGGCTCCCAGTACCTGCCGTCTCGATAGCTGGCGAATAAATTTTTAACCTGACACATTTTATGTTATACCGACACCACCATTCCACAAAGTCGCGCATGACTTGCCTGTCTGGGGCATGAACGCTCATCTGGCGGCCCGATACGACAGCGGTAACGTAGTTCGCGGCTTCCGCCCTTCCCTGTCCACGTCACTGTCTAGAACCATATTCCAGTATATTCCTCGCGTCAGCGTCAAATCGTGCGGCTGCGAGATACTCGATACAGGGACGCAGAAAACCGCGGATGCCATAACGGAAGCCCGCGATACCAGCATGTTCAAGTTGCGGTGATTATTAGTTAGGCTGCATTGTATACTAGCCTCTCATTTCGCATGCACTCGTAGTGACCTGCTACTGCATGTCTAGGAAATATCATATACATAAAGCAAGCGGGACGGATATTACAGTGCCTGGCGTAGATGCTAAGGAATGAGCAGAAGATCCCAGCTGCACAAAATAGGAGAAGCAATACATTCTGACTTGACATGCACGTCCATGATTGCCGCGCAAATGCGGGGAAACTTAGAATCAGGAAAATTACACCGACTCGGATGAAAGGGTCACCCTTCTTTACATAACGGCGCTTCTGCGTGTGAGGTATAGTCTGACGTATTAAACCCCTCCCGGCATTCCAGCTAGCCTGAAGGAACTCAACTTTGCCGTATGCGCTAAGGTTAATAGTCCGATTTTTATCCCATAGTTTTGACTTGTCCGTAAAGAGTATTGCGACGTGTGACTTGGACAGAGGCTTCACTAGCAAGGAACCACAGTCGCACAGTGCTGTGCGCATTGTGGGTAAGGAAGGGCATAACCTAAAACGTTATCGGGCAGACTAATTGCATAGTGACTGTAGGCAGAGACCATGAGAGATGGCTATGCGTATGCATGTGATTGCTTGTCTGAGGCCTATTTGAGATCCGGGCTGAGGGGACATCCAAGATTAGCGGCAGGAAACTTCCGTAAGGATAATGTGACAAGAAGGCACATACACCCTGCCTGGCCCTTAGTACTCACAAGTAGTATGACGAGCAAGACAGACACACCACTGCCCACAATAAGTCAGAACACAACAATTACAAACCGATCCTTGTGTTTGCTACGTCGTGGAATGACGCTACATGGCCTGAGGCATCCGATGATCGTGTACATTACCAGTCATTAACCTGTTGTGATGTGCGATAGCGTGGACGAGGACCAATGATAAATTCATGAGGCATGACTACCCCCTGCGGTGATGGCCGAACAGAACCTCTTTCAGCGTGGGGTTGATGGTTTGAGGTAAGTAGAGATCTAAGATAATGAATCGCGGTACTTACCGACGACACCGGAAACACCGGAAACACATACTAGAGACAGGATATTTAAGGCAGTACTTACCTTGAGTGGATTTGCCGCAGCGCGATTTCGCCCGACACTGAAAGCATGCTGCAACATCAAGATCAACAATTCTACAGTTGATTCATCTAGATGCTACAACAATTGAATGCTGAAAAGACCGTGAACAGTTGCCGCTTCAAAATATGAATACTCAAACGCGGCGTCTGAGTCCTTTTTGGATTATAGTTCAATGAGATTTCCGTTTTCGAGTCGTTTCACTCATTTCAGGGCCAAGGAAAGCTTCGGGCGACACCTGTAAGTGACCTTGAGCACAGAAGAGTATCTGCCAGGGAAGATGCAAAACGTTGCAACACATGTTTCCCGCCAGCGTTGCGTCACAGGGTACCGGAAGCCGACGAGATGACGGCCTATGACAGCGCATGCGGTTAATTCTCATGTGGCCGCAGGCGCAAAGGTACTTACCAGAAACGTCATGAATCGGTCATGAATGGCAAGTTAAATTTGAGCTTGAGGTGCCTGAAACTAGGGAACTATGCGGCATAGTAACACAGTAGGAGTACCTGATTCGTGTGTGAGCACGAGAACAGTATTAAGCACTGGACGATAGTAAGCCTTGTTTCCATCTTAATCTAGAAATCTCGGTGAAAATATACTTACAGCCAACCGGACGACGCGCGAGGATCTATTCAAGTTGGTATAAAACGTGGTCCACGGACGATCTGGCGTGGTATTGGGACTTCATCGAGTGTGTCATGGTGTTACTTATATGATTTTTTCGTTTATTCTTTCTCAACCAATATTAGTGCAGGTTGACCGCGTCAGAGGACTTCTATGTCTGTCTGCATAGTATATTTCTGTCGATAATCGTTGTCAACATTTCATGCTTCCTTTAGGTTTCAAGTTGATGATGTACTTACTGTGATTGCGAGAGATTCTGCAATGTTTGTAATCGGTACCCGATAACATTCGATGACAACGGGGAGTTTCCACCCGCTGGTAGCTCGATGATGACGCTGCTACTTGACTCGAGCATGGCTCACCCATTCTACACCTGGACCGAACAAAAAATGATTCTAAAAACCAAACTAATTTCAAGTTCAGCGCTTACTAGTGGCATTTACAGCTCTCTCACGCCTGCTAAGTCCGAGGTCATGCCAGTTTTTCGAGTACTTACTACTATGTACGGTATGCAGTTGAAGTTCGCAATTTTTGCTTCAATAGGCTCCTCAGCGAGTCTGCCGCAAGATGTAGCCAGTTGATCCTCGGCCTGGTAACTTCTCATGTTTTCTTTCGAGCAGATTCATCATCCATATCATACCCAGTGGCGCTACTAGCTCATCATACCTACCTTTCAATCACTTCGACTGGCGTGCCATCTCTGTCGAACAGCACTCGCCGGGCCGTATTCCGACCACACATGACCTGCCACGACCACACCACCGGGCCTAGATGCATGCAAGCATCCGTACTTCTCAGTCACATTCACGATTTTGCCAAGAAAATGTTCTGTTGTTCATAATATCTGTGGCTGAAAGGTCAACGACCGCAATGACAAGTCTTATAACATCTCATACTTCACATGAATTGATCTACACGTTATTTCCACTCTGTTCGGTGACTGGCTGGCCTCACGACAAGTTGGAGACAGCCTTCGCTGTTCGGCCCAGCGGAAGAGCTTCTTATGTCGGGAAGTATCGGCAAAGTGAATTGGGGATGATTTGTCCTGTCTTCTATCGCGAGATGATCTCCCATTGTTCAACAGAAATGATATTTCTTTCGCCTTTGTCTTGATTCGTGCATGCAGCCCGGATATCGGAACCATCGGTCCACCTCGTTGCTTCGGAGTAGTTCGTCGTACCTATAAATCAAGGAGTATTCACTAACAGGAAAAGAGATTTCTTTCCCCCCTGCGTGAAGGCAATATCTCTGAACGTTTATCTGTCCCCCGCATAAGACAAGTCGGGACCTATGCACAGGTACGACGGCCTCGACTCTCGATCGATGACTTGGAATTCAAATTGTTTCTCAGTTCGTACTTGTGGCACTTTGACACTCATCTTTGATTATGATCGATGGCTTCGATGGCGCTCAACCAGCAGCCCATGGCTGAGGAGCTTCATGGGAAGATGCGAGCGAAAAATCAAGGGGGACTTACACTGGAAATCAGACTCCGTGTACCGCCGGGGGCTGAGCGCTGATGGTTTGGATCATAGTTGATGTTGAATTCAACCGATATCGATAACGTTCCTGCAACACTTGTATTGGGTTCAATCTGGTTCAATGTTATCGACTCTAGCGGATTACTAGATTCGGATCAAGATCCGCACTCCGCCTCCCCGCCACTATAAGTGCTGCCACAAATCCCTATCATACCTATCTCCCCGCACCTGGTACGTGTCACCGTGTACAATGGTGAGCGCGCGGTGTCTCCGCCGTTATTCTCCCCATCGCTAATGGCTCGAAACAGGGCGTCAATATTGAGACAATCGTTCCTGGTGACGGTAAAACGTTCCCCAAACGGGGTGGTATGTACAGTATCTCCGAAACGCGTTCCAACTAAGATCGCCTCAAATCGCAACAGACATGGTCACGATTCACTACGTGGGCACACTTGAAGATGGCACCTGCTTTGATTCGAGCAAAGATCGGCAAGCATCGCACCTCCTTTCCGTGATTATAGCTGACGATCAGTCCTCCATAGTAAAGAGCCTTTTGTGACACAAATAGGCGTCGGTAAGGTGATCAAGGGATGGGATGAAGGTTCTTCACTTCTCCGCATCTTTTCTGTCACCTATTCAATGTTTTATTAGGCGTGCCGCAACTATCACTCGGCCAGAAGGCCAACTTGATAGCAACTTCTGATTATGTGGGTGAATATCTCAAGAAGATCAACTCTCAGTCTGACATCATCTCAGGCCTACGGAACACGCGGATTTCCGCCCGTCATTCCACCGAACTCGACCTTGAAATTTGAGGTTGAATTGTTGAAGATCAATTAATGACTTTTAAATGACGCGGCTGTTTACTTTCGGCATTTGTGACTGTCTTTCTGTACCAATCCACTCAATTGTATGTTCATGCATTTTGGACCGTTTCGCAGTTTCGCAATGGAAATATTTGTCAGATCCGTGGTGTGCATGATTGCGATTATGGTATCATCTGCTTTGATTGAGCTCCCCTATTAGGCGGCATAATTCTTCATGCTCGGCTTCTTGTTGCGCCCGGTGCTCTGATTATCGCATCGTCCCGATGATCAGCCTTTGGTGACCTGAATGTGTGGGCCTGCTTTACCTTCTGCGAAAGTCCCGATAGCAGTCAGCGACTCGTGATGAACTTGTCGAGACGCTTCCAAGAGAACTTCCATCGGTATATCTACTCGATATCAGAGATGAAGCGAAAGATTCAGGAAATTGACGCGTTTCAGCTTACGGGATGTCCTATTTTCGCGCGAATCATTCATCAGGCTATGAAGTTTGCCCCGTATCTCCGCATAAAACTGGTCCCATCCTCTGTCACCATCCTTTTCAGCAACAGCTCTCGCCTCTCGTCGCATTTTGGCTTCAGCACAATTTGCCCGATTTTCTTCAAGCATTTGCTGGAGCCTATCTAGCTCAGCTCGCAAGGGATCGTTCGTGTTAGATGGTGTGTTCATACTGCTTGCCACCAGCGTCAGATCTCGTCTGTTCCCGCCGACCGGCAGGGTGATGCGTTGCAATAAACGGTGGCAACAAACTCCGAAGTCTAGAAAGAGTTCCATACAATGGGTTGAAACACTTCTTATTGACTGCACCCCCTTATGACAATAAGGCGCCGTGCTGCCGGTAGTAACACACTCTTGCCGGAGGTATGGCGCTACTATCGATCGCGTTTAGAGTTGGACAAAGCGAGTTCGTTCTTCGGCTGCCAATACATTCTACGGCTCTCGGCCGATGGACCAGACCGAGTATTCTTTTGGAACGACACGAATGTACTAGCTGGTACTGCACATGACCACCCTGCGCCATTCGACAGTGTCATGACGTCGACATTTGGCAGGTGAGCGCCTATAAGATTTGGTGGAGCTAACGAGGATTATCGAGGAACTTTGCCGTTGAAAGCAGATTTGTCCTGATATAGAGTCTGGTCAAGACGTGTACGGAGAATTGACGGAGAAAGCCATATGTGTGAATCCCGTGACCAGGTGGTTCACGGGATAAACGTGATCGAACTGATGATCGATGCTATTGGTTCCTTGAGCCGCTGCGCTGGAAGCCGTGGCCCGTCATCTGAAACGCGGCACCAAATAACACAAATTAAGCTGTAGTTTCAGTGACGCAATCGAGGGTGGTGCAAGTTTGCTCGATGTACCCTTAGATTTGAACAACTTTAGTAACTGTCTTATAGTACGATGGCAACAGGGGTCATTAAGTCATTGGGAGCAGGGTATAGTCCTCCAATCACACTCTACACGTAATCAATAACACAATTACAACTCAGTGACGTTGACCAATCACGGACCTTTGCGGACTGACGAGAGGGTAAGTTATTAGTCAAGTGTCCATCGGTTTTGAGTTTCCAAGAAAAAGTTAACGACTCGGAAAGTCGAGGAACGAAATCGCGTAACTTATTGAATGGCAAGGACTTCTCCGGATCACACAAATACCATCCAACGATTGCTCATGATCACGCAAAGCGTCTCCCACAGTGCGTAACACCTGATGTTAAATGATATCATCGATGGATCGAAAGTCATGCATATGCTTGACTCCATGTTCAGAGTAAAGTTCGTACCTACTTATAGTTAAATGTCGGAGAACCCCGACTGGCACAGAACATCCTTTCAGAGCCTCGAGGGAAGGGATCGTATTGGCATTACAGCGCTGGAGGAAAATCATCGAATCATTCAAAACTACAGTATCATTAATATTTCCGTCAGGTACATAAAAAAACACAAAGAATAATTACGCTATCAGCGACGCCATTGGCACGTGTACTTCAACCATGTCCATGTCGTCGTCGTCGTCATCATCGTCACTGTTCATCTGGTCCGCAGAAGGTTGGGTGGAATCAGAAGAATCCTGTGATTTTGTAGCCGCAACGGAAACATAACCTTCTTCGATGCTTCTGGGAGGGTTGAGGTCTTGGGCTAGCTCGTCCTCGCTCACATCTGCAAACTCTGCCAGCTGAGCGGCTAAGAGGGCAAGCTCAGCCTGCAGCGCTGCCCTTTCATCGCTGTTCAACTCAGTGCGTAATAAGGTCTCGGTATTACGAGATGGTATAGATGTACTCGTAATCGTCGAATTTGGTTGGCTATCAAATGTCGATGATACCTCAACGGAACCGGCAAATACCGGAGGTGGCGCTTGAGCTACCGCAGCGGAATCTGTATGTGTTGGCGCTCCATCCTCGTTGGAGATTTGGAACAATTGTCCAAAATTTATAGCTTTGAGAATATTTTGGGCAGCTTCCCAAGCATCACTGCCTTCTCGAATCTGGCTTTCGGTAGTTTGTATTTCCGACGGAGCAGGCTGAGGGCGATGATTTGCCGCAGACGTGGATGGCCCTGGATAACCAAAGCCATAAGGATGACCAGGTTGTCCTTGCACGGAGGCATGGGGCTGAGACGATGATGTACCGGCGTCTGCGTCGTGGACAAGGGGAATGTGAGTAAAAGGTGATGATGATGCATGTCCCTGATGGGCAGACAATGCTGTTTGAGCGTGAGTCTGTGGACGACGAGTAGTTCTCTTGGAAGTCTGATGGATAACATCGTTAGGAGTTGCAACAAAAATCAAAGTGTTGTGCTTACATTCCCACCTTCCCAGTTGACATTCAATCTGTATTTACCATTATTCCCCTTTTCTAGACGCCCGCGTTTGAACGCCTTTTGGAGGGCTTGACTAGCTGAAGGCCTAAAATTTGACTGTAACGGGTAATGTGACGCCATCCAACCAAAGAGGGCCTTTGGTGCACACCCCTCTGGGTCCCCGAAATCTATCAGTGCCTCTACAATCATTTCTTCGTAACTGGGGAGGTCATCGACGTTATTTGATGAGGATGAATCTGAGGGATGAGTGGGATGTGCTAAAGGTGCACTCGTGAATAACGGTGGTGCATGACTTGACGGAGGCGGTGGAGGCGGGTTTGGTTGATATTGAGCTGGAGGTGGGTGAGGGTAAGGGGGAAATGGATGGGGGAAATTGTAGTGTGCTTGGGGTGGCGCAGGATAGTACGGAGCATGCGGATAGGAAGGATGATAATAGGGTTGATGTGGATAGTGCGGAAGGGATTGTGGCGGTGGGTGTGGGTGAGCTGCCGCAGACGGGTGGGGTGTCGCACTACCAGAGGCCGGGCCATGCGCTACAGAGGGAACTGGCGGTTGCTCAGAAGAAGATGAAGCAGTTTTGTCTCCTGTATCTGAAGGCGAATCCTTTGGTGCTGATGTGGATTTAGATTGATCCCCAGAGTCCACTGGGGGGCTCGATGGTTGAGCTGGTGCATGCTGAGAGATCTGTGCACTTTGGGCCTGAATCGCTGCAATTGCAGCTCGAATATCATACGGCCACACAGTACTTTTTACATGAAGGGGCGCATGAGCCTCAAATGTGAGACAGATATCTATTATCTGTAGTGGAGGAAGCAGTCCCAAGTACTGTCGTTTGATGGAATAAATTTCAGATTCTGTTATTAAGTTAGGCTTAATTATACAGTCGATAATCCAGGACATCTGTCCGCACCTGTGAGGGGCTGGTACCCATTTTGTATTGGAGGATGTGTTGGATGGTACTGAGGAGCTGGAGTGCTCGCCGTTTGCATGGTTCCGTGTGCTGCACAGTTTTTCGCATCAAGGTTTGCAATTAAGCCACCGACAACGCTAATCAAGGTATCAAACTGCACCCTAGCCACAGACCATCATTTCTTTATTTCCTCTCGCGAACTTGAGTATATGCACTCTTAGAAAGTGAGATGCTATCTCTTTTGTCTTTTGTCTACCAAAAATACTACTAATATCACAAGGTGGCTTCTAAACATATGGCTCTCTCATCATTACTAGGTAGGTATTGAGATCCAAAGGCAAACGAACTGCATCCTTCAGCAAGTCGAAGATACATCGTTCATGAAGGACGGCCTTCTGCCTGGATTCCTCCTGTAACCGGTAGTTCTGTGGTCGACGGCGGTTGTGACTCTTCAATCAAGGAGGCTTCGTCTGGAGAAAGAGAGAGAAAAGATTCCTTGTATTTCGTTGTCCATCTGCGCACCTGGAAGATCACAAGTAAGACGTGAGCTAAAAAAATATAAAAAAAGCTAGATGAGACACATACTGGCGAGAAGACATGTTCCCGCTCGCCCCAATCAGCAAGGAAGACACAATATAATATAGCAGCTAATCATTATGCATAAGTTCATCATGTTCATCAGCCGACCGTGACAGCGTGAAAACTCACTAGGTATCAGGGTATAGGTGAGGATGTGGGACGCGGAGTACACCCATGGTGGACGGAAGTCTCCATCATCTTGCTCAGCGTTCTGATTTTGACTCGGAGTTGGTCGAATTACTTGGGGCTTTTTTGAGTAGGAACGTATACACGGTGTTCTGCGGGCCAATGCAGTTAGTCGAAAGTGGTTGATTGTGAACATGAAGTGAAGTACGAATAGACTTAGTGAGATCACAGCCACCAAACTCTTCAAGCGGTTCCAAGCGTGGCTGCGTGTTTCCTCCTCACGACAATCACACATTGAATGTCTCTTAACAACTTCCACTTTTCAAGGTTCCATGACACTTAGAAAGCCAGAATATCTGACTCTGCATTACTTTGCGCACTTGCCGAGCATCTTGACAAAAAAACAGGCGTACGTCTTAACAGAGTTACTGAGTATGGAATTTCGAAAGTGGAGCCTCGGTCCGAGAGCTGTAATACGAATCTCTTCCTGGCAAGTACTGGCGTCTATCATAAAATTTTCAGCTTATCAGACTGATCTAGTCTTCGCTCTACACAGAATATATTTCGGGCATCATCTCATACTACGAGACCCTTCTGGACTTCTAGTTGACCCTAGGCTTTCGAACAGGGGTATCATTCCCGGCATTCGTACTGACATGGACGCGCATTCTCCTTCGAATTCTTAGAACCTCCTACTCAGGGTCTTGATGACCTTCTGCCTCGTCTACAGGGAGCAGCAGCAGCTGAAGCCCGTCGTAGCAAATGGTGTGCATCGATCCTCTGCAATTCATCATCCCTCCCCACTCGGGCTGATCTTGAAGTTCAGGCTGAATTCCTTTCTCGCTGTGCCGCTATCAGTAAACAAACTGTTCTGACCATCGTGGAACCTGATGTTGACTTCGCTGAAGACCTCAAGAAGAGCATTGGGGTCCACTAGAGTATACTCAGTATGTTTCATGTGACGCTGCATACAGTGTGTTGCTGGAGGGTAAGAGCTACTTCTCGCCTCTGAAGAGTTCAGTCGCCAGTAATTGAATTGTTCACGCAGGTTTTTTTGATTAAGCCTTACTTTCCGCAACCCTCGAGCACTCTTCGCATTCTACTACTTCAGCTGAGGATGTTGGCCTGGCCACTGCTATAATCCTTTCTTGTCCAATTCCTATCGCAGTAGCAGGTGTCGTCTTCCTTTCATGCCAAACCTTCGTTTGCTTTCTCCTGCCCGCCCTATCCTAAACTGATATTTTTGTGCGGTGGTCTATCTGATCCTGATTCAGTGAGATCCCTCAACACGGTCAATGTCATCGCTAACGAGGTTTCTGCTAACTCTCCTCTTTCTCCTCTACCTCATCTCACATTCTTGCTATGCAGAAGTGGGTAAAAGGTGATGCTGGTGCAAAATCTGTGTTTAAGGCCAGGGGTAAGGCTTGCTCGCTCGTAGCGAAATGCGAAGCTTGAAGCCTGAAATATTAGAACTCATCTGTTTTCAGTCACCTCCCAAAATGATAGATGCTATGACTCAGGTCCGTCGCAAAATTACGATGAAGCATACCAGAAGCACATTTGAACTCATGGTGCATGTTCGATCCCAAAGCTTATCAGTTTACTGTCAGACGCTTTTGAGCAGGTTTGTTTTCATGCCTTGTGCTGTCTTCATTTCGTCAGGGGCACCGGAAATCTCTCATATGGGCAAACATGGCCTTGAAAAACGCCACATGGCCGGATCAGCACAGCGCTATTTGTCCATGTCAAAGTTCATTGGCTGTGTCCATTCATATGACAGACTTAGGTGTGGTTGGCTCATTGGTGATATTCAAGGATGGCTAAAAGGTACATATCAATGCAGACATCGCTGCCGCACGCAAGTTACACATGTACTGTCACCTGCTGACGACTGAATTTTCCTACGTCGAGTTGGTTATGCTCTCGACGCGTGGTCATGTGGTCATTCTCTCCTCATTTCGCGCCCATGTACATAGCATCATACTGCAAAGCCGGAGACAGCAGTGTCAGTAATGATGGTGCTATGTAAAAACCTTTAACAGTACATGACACCGTCGTCTCCAAGACCCAAGTTACCCTATTTGAGTTGAAAACGGGTTTCATGTCCCGCTACGTGTCCTGCCTCGTCTCACAGGTTTGCAGGTACGAAGGTTGAGAACTGTCATCGGGGACTTGAGTCCACCATTGACCTTCATGCTTTGCGGTCTAGCTGCATTTCAACCAGGTCCAAATTCTGGCTGCGCGCACTCTACTTGTCAATGGAGGCGGAATATAAAGCTCGGCGAATATCCAGAGGTCAGTCATTAACAACCCAGTTTCCAAACAAATCAATCCTCAAACTATTTGGTTATACAATGAAGCTTTCCTTCGCTGCCGTGCTTTTCTCCGTCTTTGCTCTTCCTGCTTTCGCGACGCAGGTCGAAGTGACCTACGACACCTTCTATGACAACCCATCCACTTCCCTCAACAATGTCGCTTGCTCTAACGGTGCCAATGGCCTGTTGACAAAGGGCTTCACCACCCTCGGCTCTCTTCCGTCTTTCCCCAATGTTGGGGGTGTTCCAAATGTCACTTGGAATTCGCCTCTATGTGGTTCCTGCTGGGAGTTGCAGTACACCACTACTGGGATATCCGAGAGCATCTACATTACCGCTATTGATGCGGGGTTCACATTCGATCTGTCCCTTCCGGCATTTAATGAATTGACAGACAACACTGGTGTCCCTGCGGGCAAGGTCACTGCTACCGCCACCCAGGTAGCCGAGAGCTACTGTGGCTTGTAATGATAGGCAAGTCGTTTTACAATACGTGGGTGCCGATGCAAACAAAAGCTTACTTCCGGACAAGTAGTGATGTCGCATCACCAGGATATCTTGAAGTTTCAGGAATTATTAGTTTACACTATGGACCTTTCGTCTCACCGGCTTGCTTCTTCTGCCTCTGTTGTTATATATACTTGGCTTTCGGTTTTGATTTGAAGTACAGTTGTTCACCTACTAGTACTAGTACTCACTCGTTCAATGTACCGGACTTGCATTAACTTGATTGTCCATAACTGGAAATTCGTTCTGATCTGATGCGTCATCGGCGCCTGCGGAGCTTATAAGCAATACAGACATAGGGGCTGAACAATTCATTCTCTTTCAAAGTCGCCATCATGAGTCTCTATCAACTTGCTCCCAAACCGCCCACCAAGCTCGGCATGTATCGTACCCTGGCTCCCACTGCGGGTGTACATGTTTCCCCATTCGCCTTGGGAGCCATGTCCATTGGGGACAAATGGCACCAGTACGGAATGGGTGCAATGGACAAGCAGTCTTCGGTGAAGTTGCTGGATGCGTATTTCGACGCAGGCGGGAATTTTATCGACACTGCGAACAATTAGTGAGCACCATTTTGCTGGGATGTGAACCCCCCTATTAAGTGGAACACCATAGCCAAGACGAAAGCTCAGAGGAGATCATCGGCGAGTGGGCTGAAAAGCGTGGCATTCGTGACCAGCTTGTCATTGCTACAAAGGTTTGTTGTTTCCGACACCTCATGACACAATTTTGAGGATTATCTTTGAACAGTACACTACCAATTTCAAACGAGGCTCCAATGAAGCACAGAAAGTCAATTTTACCGGAAATAATGTCAAGTCTATGCATCTCAGCGTGGAGGCGAGCCTGAAGAAACTTCGAACATCTTACATCGACATCTTATATCTTCACTGGTGGGACTTCGACACCAGTGTTGAGGAAGTCATGAACGGATTGCACATCCTCGTCCAGCAAGGAAAAGTTCTCTACCTGGTAACGCATACAAAAAGCCCCTGTCACATTATTGAGTTATTAAAATCCATTGTATCAGGGTATCTCCGATACACCTGCCTGGATTGTGTCAAAGGCAAACCAATACGCTCGTGATTACGGGAAAACCCCTTTCGTGATCTATCAAGGCATGTGGAATATTTTGGAGCGCTCATTCGAGCGCGACATAATTCCCATGGCCCGGGCTGAAGGTACAGCCGAGATGTCCTATTTAATTAGTTGACCTATTCAATTAATATTCAATAGGTATGGCACTCGCACCCTGGAACGTTCTCGCCAGCGGTAAATTCCGCACAGACGAGGAGGAGCACAGGCGCCGCGAAACGGGAGAAAAGGGAAGGGAGATGTTTACCGCAAGTTGGGAACGCACCGAAAATGAAACAAAGGTATCTCATGCGTTAGAGAAGGTAGCGAAGGAGGTCGGGGCTAGTCACATCACCGCTGGTAAGGTACATTACACTGATCATAAAAATACTTTAATCACGGGGAATGCAGTGGCCATCGCATACCTTATGCAGAAAACGCCGTACGTTTTTCCCCTTGTTGGAGGGCGCAAAGTCGAACACCTTCATGGAAACCTCGAGGCGCTTGATATATCTTTGTCCCCGGAACAGATCAAGTATTTGGAAAGCATTCTCCCGTTTGATCCGGGGTTCCCGACCTCCATGATTGTGCGCAGTTCCATCTTAGTAGTGTATATCGAGCTGATGCATCATCTCACAGGGCGATGGGTCATCTCCCACTATGCTTCTCGCACATACCGCTCATTTCGAGAAGGTCCCGCGCGTCGAACCAATCAAGCCATCGAAGAAATAATCTTCAACGTTCCATGTCCCCAAGCGTCGCGTCTACCAAGTTCTCAGTTTGTATAATATTAAAACTTTATCGATTGGCAATTAATTTGTAACTTGCATTTCATTATATGGTTCACTGAGAATCCTTCTGTATGTTCCGCACTAGGACTGAACGAGCAAAGAGTAGATTCGATCTGATTTATCAAGGTGATCAGTTATCGACCATTATCCGGCGATCACCCAATGTTTTTTGCCATGCTGCTATGAACTCTGATAGATCCTGCAGACAGAAGTGTCGCAACAGTCCCATTACAGCCATAGCCTGGCCTTCCTCGAAGTTGTCAACAGTGGGCGACTGTGCCACTATATGCATCTCGTTAGCTTCAGAACCTCGTAATTATCGCAGGCAGCCTCATGGTCCAACCAAGTGGAGTTGCCTCGGCGCGTTCTCCTGCACAGTCGCATTGGCAGAAAAATTCCTTGTTGCTTATTCTAGACTCAGTTAAAAGTCCCGAGTTTAAAATATCGTGTCAGAAAATAGTCTCGAACTTCATCTGGAGAGGCCGCAATGCGCAGCTCGCCGCGATATTTGGAATTCATGTGTGTTAACCATGCGAGTGGTATCAGTCGGTCCGTGTTATTGCCCCATGTTGGAGATTACGGGGACAATCTATCTATCGTCCACCGTGGTTGATCATCGGGCGAACCCTCTACGCGAAGATATCGCACACGGTCATGAAGCCGTGAAGGCTTTCCAAGCCAAAATTCGACTTCGCTGTATAATTTCAACGCGTAAGATTGACTTGTAGCCAAGAATAACAAAGAATCATACCTGGGGATTACCCTCCATCCACCCCAGAAATCAGGTAATGGGACATCGCCTTCTCTGTCAGATGCCTGCACTCCAAATCGTTCCTGGACCTCCGCCAATCGGTTGGCTAGGTAATCTTCCCCAATCACGTTGCTCTGATGACTTGCCCACGCACCCAAACGAGTGCCGACAGGACGGGATTTGAAGTACTCTTCACTCTCCTCTTTCGACAACTTCTCGACCCTGCCAAGCACCCTCACCTGCCTAGACATCTCACGCCAAAAGAAAAGCAGGGCAGCTTGAGGGTTCTCTTCGAGTTCTCGAGACTTGCGAGAAGTATAGTTAGTATAGAAAACAAAGCCCCGCTTGTCTAGCTGTTTGAAGAGCACCATGCGCGAAGAAGGTATACCCGATGCCGTTGCTGTGGAGAGGGTCATGGCATCTGGTTCGCGGACATTGGCTTCACGGGCTTGGTTGAACCAGATATGAAATTGCTCTAGGGGAGACGTGTGGACATTTGATGGGGTGATATGATCTGGGGTATTATATTGGACATGTCCTTGGACTTGAAGGCAATCTGCTGATTCTGTAACGGAGACTGAGGACATGAATGATGGAGAGAAGCTACTGTAGATCGAAGGTGATGAAGGGAGGCAAAAAGAAGAAGATGATGCCACCGGGATAAATCTGCGAGGTGTAATAGAGGTGATGGTACGAGTCAAGAGCATGAATTCGACCGTTGTCAAGGATAGTGCCTATTCCGAATTCAACATGGTCAAGTTGAGTAACATCTGGAATTCAAATGGCATTTGACTTCAAAAATCAACGCCGTTTGTGGATGATGTTTCGTGGTTGTTTCGTTGACCTCTGGCAAGTCAGCTGGTGCGAGAGGACTGGGCAATCGGTATCAACTGTCGAAGTTCACCGATTCCAATTATATCCCACACAATGTGTTATTCTATCAAACTTCGGATTTACAGATGGGCCTTACCGCTCTCCAACACCGACGAAAACAACCAGCTGCAGGGCAGAACTCGAAATTCACGCGCCGACTATATGGCGACCGCGGATCATAGGCTATCCAGCGTCATGCGAGAAGCTTTCTAATAGTACTACGATCATATTCTAGAGAACACCAGGCAAGCGCGAGAAGGCGTAAATGAACAAAATTTAACGTTCAGCAACATCGCGAACCGATTTGAAGCGAATACCCCATGCATCATGTACGGCATATCCATCTTATCGATGAACAGGTATCTCACAATCAGTTAGAATCTTTTTCGGGTTCATAGAACACATGCCGAGGTTGGCGGAATATCCTTCAAAGGATCCTCTCGAAATAAGTGAAGCTGTCTGCAATGCTCACAACTCACTTGGCTTTCTGTAAGATTGTAGTCTCACCGACCGAGTTTTCAACTTCCCAAGTCTGTACTGCGGCAAGCTTGAATCACCCGCATATAGAATGGCATACGTACGTTGTTGGTGTTTGAACGATTTTACGAGACGAACTTCCCTTCTGATTACGTGCAACTATGTACAAAGATAGGCTGGCACGTCAGTAAACGCTTGTCACTCTCGATTAGGAGTAGCTCGACTCACGGGCTCGCTAACGTGGCGTCTGTTCAAATCAGGATGCAAGTTTGTGAATTAATTATGATGAGAACACCGATAGGCTTACCTCGGGCACAGCAACAAATTGATGAAGAAGGCGGCGAACTCGCTTGGCATAGTATCCATGTCGTCTGACAGCACGTCGAACGACCCCCGGCAAACTAGACGTTGACAAGCACAGGAGTCACACAGGGGTTATCATCCAAGCTTGTTGCCAGCAGGATGCGACCAAAATTTTCTGGAGCTCGTTTTAACCGATTTCCCCCAATAGTAAGGGCAGGAACAGTTACCAACCTAGTATATGACCCTTCAGTTGTCACAGGTTGCTACCTCTCGTCTTTTATGGGCGCCAGCTAGCTGCTCTTAGTAGCCTCTTACTAGTCGGCCCGCGAAAACGGAAGTAATGAACCTTGATCCCCTCAACATGCGCAAGATAGGATTTCGATAACTTCATCGGGCCGTAGTGGGGGGGCTATTGCCTAATAGTACCTAACCCCGACCCTCGATCTTGTGTGTGACTGGTCCAACTGGGAATGAACAATTAGAATTGATTTCCCCGAGCAAGCGTTTGACTAAAGTGGTGACGAGGCACTGATCTCCGTTGACTGGCGCCTTTTGGCCGAGGGACTCCCCAGTACAAACATTTAGTAACGGTGCCCACGATGACACACTTCAACATACCACTAGATACTTATCAACCAGGTACCATGAAAGTACTAGATGGAAAGCTGTCAAGTTTGATATCGCTGGTTGGACGGCCAAGGAGGTTCCAGGCCAGGAGTACCACTAAATTTGTAATCGACGAGGGAAAGGTACTGAGGGCTCGTATCCAACAGAGGCCCTGGACAGGTCCAATGAAGGGCGACTGCTGGTTTCATGATGCGACTATCTGTGTGCGCTGGCAAATGAGGCACAGCTACTCATCCCGGCGTTTGGAGCTTAGACAAACAAGGAATTGAGTTGATCAGAATGATAATGTCTGATGGATTCGTGAGCGATCCTCGATTGGTATAGTGTAAACGAGCGAGTCGGGTCCTCGACGTAAACGCTAGTAGTTAGCCAAACTTTGGAAAGTTCTGCTTCAAAGCTTCGAGAGAAACCTGAAAATAGGACAACCACGTGCCTGAGATTGCCGGCATATTCCGATTAGGATCTGAGATACATCCAGCGAAATGATTTCTTAGAGGTCTTCATCAACTCTTCATCTCCTGGTTTTCACTCTTCTCTTACCTCCACTGGCACAACGCATTAGTCCCGTATCCATCTTGCCTAGTCGTCCAGTAAACGCATTCAATTCTCAGTAATGCACTCCATATCCGACTTGACAACATTCTGTCGGAAGACGACCGGTGACGTCCCTCCGAAACTTGTGGTATGTATCCATTCCCTCTACTCGTTCACTGTTCGTCATCCTTTTGTAGGGCGCGTCTACCACAGTCGTAGGGTCGAAGATGTATCTCTTTGTGCGTAGCAAGTTGCTCTCTATCGTCCTTTCTCATTAAAGCATCATATATTAGGGTGGGCGCCTAGTCACCGAACGCCGCATGGTCTCGGATCTATACGTGTTCGACTTGGAGACCTTCGTTTGGGAGAGAATCACACCATCTCCAGAGGATGATATCCCGGACGCACGATATTTCCATAGCACAGAGACCTGTGAGTTTCCCCACCTGGCTAATTGTCGCCCAGCTCTTATGCAGATTGGATTTGTCATAAGGGAACAATCAACTAATCGTCTTCGGTGGTATGGGCAGCACACCGAACTCTAGTAATCCAGAAGACCTTTGTGTACTCAATGACGTCCGTTTCTTCGACTTGTCAGTAATGCACTGGCTTCCCGCAACAGCTACTAACAGTGCCTCTGCGGAGTCTGGCACGGAGACGTTGGTTCCAAAGCCTCGATATGCACATCTATCATCTGTTTCATCCGATCGTCTTTTCATCATCGGAGGCCAAGACCTATCGAATGTTTGGCTGGATGACATCTATGTGTACGATTTATTGGGTAGAGCTTGGGTTCAACGCCGAAACTTTCCCCACCATTGTGGTACCTATCGTAGTGTAGCCGTCTCCGCAAACCAACGCGTCCGAATACCGCAGGAGGAAGTCCACTCGACGGATACCACCACCATGTTAGGTCCCCCTGGGGCACGATTTCGGCCCGAAAAGTCCCCTCCTTCAGCTCAAGCATTCACCTCATCCGATTCGTTGGTCCATATGCCTTATTCAGCCCCCCCAACCGACGACTTTCCGAATGACATCTATCTGTACAGCAATTACAACGTAAGTTGTTAACCGTCGTGACCGCTTCGTTTAGGCCTGATGACATATCTGTCGCAAAGTTCACAGACGTCAAGCGGGAATTCGAGGTCTTTTCTCCAATGCCAGACACAGATTTCACAATCACAGATCGTTCCACAGATATGACAGGCACGTCATTCCCTCCAGGACTCCGTTTTCCTTCAGGTGCTATCCTGGGCACGCACTTCATCATTGCTGGCACGTACCTGGCGCATACATACCAATCCTATTCTATCTGGGCGTTGGATATGTTGACCATGACTTGGTCACGTATTGACTCCGGGAGCGCCATGGCGACTGGATCCTGGTTTCGTGCCTGTTTGTGGGCAGAGGCGAATAAATTTATGATCTTCGGAAACCGGAATGGCAACCTCATCGAAGATTACAATCGCCGGCTTCTCAGTTGGGATCACGTTGCTGTCATTGATCTGGAGTCGTTTGGAATCTATCAACCTCCACCTCTGCAAATCGATATACCAATGCAGGAGTTTGGATTATCAGCCCTGGAAGAGGGTATTCTTGCTGATTTTGAAATCATTTGTGACGACGGGCGCAAAGTCAAATGTTCGAGGAAGACTCTTGAGGATCGTTGGCCCTGGTTCAAAGATCAAAGGAACAAGTTCTTGGCGCGGGCCCGGCAGGCAATAGAGATCTTGCCATCATCTTCCATGGACGTTGGCCTTCCGGACCTCCCTGGCACACCAGGGTCCTCGGAAGCGCGTCCAGACCCACGTCTCACGCCACGCGCCTTCAACCTATCCGAACCTTACCCAATCACGCTCGCGTTATTACAGTATTTCTATTCATTAGCGCTCATCACTCCTCTTCAACACGCACCTGCGGTGTTGAGCCAATTGCTGATCCTCTCGAGTACTTACCAAATCCACCACCTCGAATCCCTTGTAAAACATGCGATGCATCGGGCTCTTTCCAATTCAACTTCTGTAGGTGTGTACGAAGTCGCAACGCTGTGTAGCTGTCGGAGCCTTCAAATTAGGTTTGTTTATCCAGAACCTCTTGACAGCATATTTTGACTTTTTTTTCCGTTCAGGGCACTCAAGACAGTTATGGTGAATATTTCGAACACGATAGGGTCTCTTGTCAGAGCTGACATGGTTCTCAACTCCTAGTCTTACAGCCAGAAAAGGACCGGTCGTTCCCGCGCTGACAGTAAGAACGGAGGCGGTGGTCGCAACCCTGACCCCAGTGACAGCGATAACCCTGGTCGTTCGAGCGATACTGTCCCTACACCAAGTCGCAGCCGTGGCGGTGGTGTTTCGGACGCAAAGTTATCTAGCTCTCTCGATCAGCAGAGCAGTACTGGCTCGACAACAAGAGGCTTCACAGTTAATTCCAGTAAGCGATGCTTTGAATACCGTGAGTAAAAATGAAGCATTCTAATCCTGCGATTTGGGTATCATGTAGCTTTTCCCACTCGTGATAGATCATCATCATGCCAGAACTCGGCTGCCACCGCAACTGCGACAGTTTCTCAAGTAATACAGGTTTCACATAAGAACACACCTTCTGACTCTACGTTAACGCCGCGACGGAAACGATCCATGGCACGCAGCAACAGAACATTCAGTGTCATTTCGGCACATACGGACTTTGAGATATGCGCCGTAGCCGACCTCCTGTCGCCTGCAATATCGCATCCACGGAGCTATGCCGAAGAGCAAGAGCGCGTTGGGGTCGCAATAGATGATGTCGATGATTTCCTTGATCCCAGCAATGGTATTCACACTGCCGGAAAGGCTCCTACCATGCCGTATCTTCTTCTAGAGCACGAAGAACCTCTTTCGCCTTCCTTCGGATCCCATTCCATGACCAGCTCAGCCACTTACTCAGAGTCAGACTTCGACATCTCAGATGATTATTCTGGCTCTCCTAATTCCTCCTACCCTGCTTTCCACCTTCCGCGCCGCTCAAAGACGCGATCACGTGCTAGCAACGGGCACGTAAGTGCCAGCGACAGCGATACACCATCCTTGTCGTCTTCAACGACGTCTTTCAACTCAAATACATCACCTCCTACCAGCCCTGTCACTCTCCAAACTCCCGTTGATCCTCCGGCTGTTGCTAACCAACAGCTCACCATCATCGAGGAGCGAATAGCTGAAGACCAGGACATGACTGGTTGTCACTATTCTGACTCGGGCAGCGTCGTCTTTTCACCCGATTACACAACACAGTCACTACGGAAGCCATTTAACACACGAATTCCTGACACGCGACCGAAAGGTCGCGTGTTCAATGTAGAACACCTGCGACTCAATGTCAATGTTCAACCCGCAGTCACCGACCGCTTTCCATCCATATCGCCTGCACCTTCTTCGACCTTTGATGTCAGCTCACCCATGAGCAGCACCTTTTCCCCGACAAGTGTCTATACATCGATGACCAGCCCTCACCCTGCGAAGCCATACTCTTCGAACCGTTTCCTCTCCCCGGTCACGAGCAGTGGCAAGGCTCCGAGCGTGCTTGAAAGCGCGTGGTCAGAGTCTCCAACTGCGAGCGTCGTAACATCCAAAACTGCTCGCAAGGAAGACAGCAAAGCAGAGAAGGCGCGGAAATTGGAGGAAAAGAAACGGAAGAAGGCCGAGGCTAAAGCTGAGTCCAAGGCCAGGACGGAGAGATTGGCGGAGGAGTTGAAGGAGCGCCAACGGCGCAAAGTTGCCACACTTGACAGGCAGTCATTGCACTCCCATCGGTCATTTGGTCGTGTTCGACGGCATTGGGATGGTGACATTTCTATGTACGATGGTTTGGGCGCCCTTTGATTGCCGTTCTCGTTTTCATTTACTCTTTGCTATCCTTGTCCCTGGATTTTATCGTATATATATATCATGTTCATTTTGCATACATTTACAACGTCGTCCTATCTGTCATTAATGTACCACGCAATGTACCGGATTAGTTCTCAAACCTATTGGAAACTCATTCCAGCGGCTTTGAGGTGAAGATAACGATAAAATGATTATTAGAATTGGAAAGAGAAAGGGAGACATGAAATCCGTGGTGGCAATGACATCTGAGCTAGTCATAATCACGGTGAAAATTTTTTCACATGCAACCTGAACTCCGTCACAGCATTAAGCTCGTTGTAGTTACTAAGGTGAAGAGGGAAAAGGGTGACCCTCAATGCTCATAGTCCATCAATCAGAAAGGAGTTTGTAGGGAGATCTGTCACTGTTGCATTGCCTCGACTTTCCGCCATCTCCGGCTCTAATTGCCTAGCGGCATCGGCAGTTATAGCAGCAAAGACGGGTGGGCTGCCTTGAGTACCTGTCATTGATGCATCGGTGGAAAAGACCGAATCTCCCGAAAAACGGGGGGCGATGATGTGATTATCTGGAAGCCAAAGCATTAGTACGAGGACAGAGAACAAATAGGGGTCAGTCTGGAACTTACATTCCCTTGCATGCGCTGTGGCCGGCGTTGAGTAAACTTTAAACATGTTTCTCCAAACAACAATCCACTCACCAAGATCTTTCTGTCTGCTGCAGGAGGTGCCTTCCTTACAGTCAGGTCGACGCGTCACAGTTTCCTGGAGAAAACCCTTCTGCCTTTCTCGTATCCACCAGTCCTTGATACCCCAGAGCATGACTTCTGTAGCACATTGTCTACATATCCTATTTCTCGGCGCATCTGGATTCTCATCAATCCCAGCGGTGACGCTGTGGATATCCACGAACAAGTCGAGCTCTATCAGGGGACGGAAACCATTAGGCTGGGAGAGGATGTGTGATGCAACCTACACCGCGTCAAAATTATGTAGGGTCGTGATCAAAAAGGACCATAACTAACCTCGCGATAAATATGCCGAGGTGAAATTTCTTGAGCGGTCAGGTAATCAAGCATGATATCGACCTCGACGGTATTATGATCGAAACATCCATAAACTTCGGATGATTGGATGAGATCACCGAGGTCAGACATATTGTGAGGGTGCTGAGACAGCAGAGGTGCTGCCAAACAACGCCCTGGTACACCAACACCGCAAAATGAGACCTGGCATAGGTCACATTTTGTTGTGGAAGGAGCGCGCAAGGCAAGAAGATTTTCGCTAATAGCCAAGGTAAGAGAAAGTCGAGGGGTAGTAGCATTCACATACCAGTTTCCGCAAAACGCATGACCAGGCGGATTACCTAGAGTACAAACAATTAAGATAGCTCTTTGGTAATGAAAGTAATAACGCAACATACCGTCATCCAAGTGCCACGCACGCTCTGGATCGACGCCGTAATCGATGACGGGCTGAGGACACCTCCAACCGAATGCATTATCAGGCGCACAATGAGGACAAGGGCGAACATAATCCGCGTTTTGATTTAGGTTGGGTTCCGGGGACGCCTCTCGTGGCGTTGGGATCTAGAAAACACGTGCTTGAGACATGTAAATGAACTGAGTCCCTGAACTACGCACCCTCATAGAACATCCAGCCTTGTATACCTCATCCGCTTGAATTCGTTCTCGTTCAGCGCGCTCTCGTGATGGATCGGCACGTAAAAGAATATCGACGATCGATTGCAGTGGGCGTGATGGTGTAACGATAGTAGATACCCCTCGACATGCAGGACAATTTGTACCTCCATTCTGCAGTTGGCAGTCGTTAGATCAATAGCTCCGTGACAACACAAAAATGGGAAAAGAATGAACGTGTGCAGCCAGCATGATGACCCGATGTGTCGGGTGAGCGCATGGTGTGCCACGAACGACTGTAGACCAAAAACTCACACGAATCCACAATACGCAACAGCTTGACGGAGGTCAGCATTGGTATACGACTACATTCTGAAAGAGCCATACCTGCCGCAGAAGAAATGCTGACAAGGGGACACCACCACTGGTCGGTACACCAGCTCAGTGCAACAACCGCATTGAAGTTCTTGAGCAAGATCCTCTGCTAGGGCCTCATAATATGGTTTAGCGACAGACTTCTCAATATCTGGCTCATTTCCCAAATCCTCCTTGAACCGCTTCTTGCTCGTCTCGTCCTCAAGTCCTTCGAATGAGGAAGGGGGCCCACGTTTCAGGGCTGAGCTAGAAGTGCCTCCACTGCGGGACATTGACAGCCCCATCATGGAGACGGATGTATCTGAATGCGAGGGTTGCAGTTCTTCCATTGTTCTTGAGAGTTTGAAGAAAGATGTGAATGTTGTGAAGAGCTTCTAAGGTCTTTAGTACTTAAAGTCACTGACAAACAATCACTTTCTATTTTGGGCCTCATTCACTACATGTAGCGTCACTCAGTGCTTTTGGTGGCAAACAAAAGGCATATTAGACTCGATACATAACGTGGTAAAATAGTAGTGCGAGACTGAAGACTCAAATACATTAGGGAATAAAAATCATTTGTGATTGGTACCCTACCATGCCGAACTTGGCAGGAGGTGTGGTCGTCCAGTACTCCTGCATGCACGCGCCAGCTGTTCGCGAAGCTTAAAGACCCTGCGTCGTATATCTGAAGAGCAACGATGAGAATGAGAGGCTCGTGCAAGTCAAACCATACCTTCGCAAGGCCAGAGGGCCATTAGGTAGTCTATGGGCTTGAAGAATGCTATGCAAACGTCAAGAGCAAGAGTTAGTGTATTGTCGCAATCCCACAGAGCGAGTGCCCTGAAGTAAGTACCCCGTCGATAAGCCATACATAAGAGTAAAATGAAATGCTTACCGGCTGATCTGACTCATGAACCAGAAAATGAAGAATGGCCTGTGTATGAGGGAGTGAGCAGCATGGCCAGTCACCGCGTCCATTCCAAGTACAACGCGCTGGGCAATATTAGCCTGGTGAGATACTATTCGCAGGTCATCAATAGAGGAACAACGCGATGAATTAAGCAACTGACGCCATTCCCTGGCCCTGTGGAATAGTCCATTAGCATCGCTGTATAAAACACGACAAATCAGTGATCGATAACCACACTTGGTTGCATTTCAAGACTTACGCGGTAGCGACAGGGATAAACCGTTTGAATTCATGAGATACCGTCATACGAACGCTGCCACAACCAGTCATTGCACAGAAGATCAGAGTAGTTTGTCCCTAGCTTACTTGAATAAAAACTCCCGACCTTGGAACAAGAAAGTCCTCTCCAAGTCACAGGTATGCGCGTCAAATGCTTGCTCCAACGCATCTGCCTCTAGCCAAGCATCTACTGCAAAACGAGCCATTTCAGCCTCGTTTGCACTCGTGCGTCTGATCTGCAGGCAGCTATGCCAGAGAAGCATCGTTCGATGAATTAACGCCCACACGGTGTATTTACCCGAATGATGGGACGTCATGCTTGATAATCCTAGTGCCTCTCCAGGAAAGAGCAACGCAAACTACATAGAATGTGAGTAACTGATTCACAAGGATCGCTGAGACTCACATTCGCCGGTTCCCTTAGGAAAAGTTCCGGAGGAATACGTTTCTCAGCAGTAGCGTATGAAGTGTGGCCGGCGATTAAGGCGAGGGCGCTCCAACATAATCGGCGGCACCCCTCTTTGCGGACCTCAGCTTCTGACCAGTTATCATCCCACGCAGGAGTGGTAACCCAAAGTGGGGTGTGCTTATAAGCAGCTGGCCAACGCTGGCCAAGCGTCATGGAAGAGCAGGAGCAACCTTTCAAAGGATACTGTGACTGAGTGACATTAGGAGTGGCGAGTAAGCGGTCGGTCGGGTATACGGCCTGCCGAGGGGGGTTCCACGTATGGGGTGCAATCGTAGGCACAGATCGAGGCGAGAACTTGGCAGAATGTGGATTGTCGACATCAAGAAAAGTCAGCCCTAGGCCATGTATAATCATGTCAAGCATGAGTACAGCTGATGAGGACCGCTCCTTGGTGTATTGAGGATGGGGACAGATCTCGAAGAACGCCAGAAGCTAAGAGGTAATCATGACACATGAACACTTATACAACGTTGCAGATGTATGAACTGACCCAGGCAGCTTGAGCGAGCGAATCATCTATCCACCGAGCGTTAAGGCTTGCCTCGAGATGACCTTGCGCAATATCTCGTAACCTAACAGCTCGGTCTCTCCCTTCCCTCCCGTTGCCCGCTTCTGAACTCTGAAAAAGTGCAGCAATAGCGAGAGCAGCCGGAAGCAGCGCGGGGTGCATCTGCTCCCTCGTTACGGGATCAAAGTACCTCCCAAGGAACTGAGGAACATTGATAAAATTAAACCAATAATTAGATCCGCGGAGTAGAAATTGAATGTCTGCAGTGATTTCACCCGTAGCATGGCAACGTTGCATCGCAGTTAAGGAAGGAAGGTATGATGAGGAAGTGTAAATGGCAAGAAGTGAATCCCACCATGTTTTACGGGTGAAATCAAGAGAGGGTTCGGGTGTGATATTTGATGATTCGTCTGAAGTCTCACTGGTTTCATTGTCCAGTGAAGCAATGAATGCCCGAGGTGGGCTATGGCCATATGACTCAAATAACTGAAAATCCAACTGAGTTGTAAAACCGAAATCATTGTTTGTGTCCTTGATTCATAGGTAATATGAGCGGACTTCGTCCAACAAGTAATTAAGTCGGTACCTCAGTGCTCGTCATAGTACGATATAGAACCTCATTATCTGAAGGTGTGACCAATGTAACTGCATCAGTGAGGATATTCAGCGGTAAGGACTGAAACGAGTTCGACCCTACTGAACCCTCTGCCGGAAAAGGAGACATGGCGGTTAATTGTGGGTCGATGACGGGTGGGGGGATATTAGGAAAGGACATGAGGGATTCGGGCTGAGGTTGATCGCTCTCCAAGTCGGTATTAGCCGTTTGGTCTGAAATAGTATTGGTCGCAGACACTTCACGCCTTTTCCTGCGCCGCCGACGGGATGCAGCAACGTCGCTCTCGCTTCCAACATGAGCATCCCGAGCCATTCGCTGTCGGGCGCCAGGAGTCTTGTCAGGACCCCGACGTTTTGGCACTGCATCGTATGTACATTCATCTCCACTCTTGGAACGCCGACTGCAATTGTGGCATTGGGGTTTCGCCCCGTCACAACGTATCTTGCGTGTCCGACTGCAGTTGTGATAGATCAATGGTCGACTCAGTGAGGCTCAAAAAATGGACAAACCATTGAAGGCAAGCAACATAAACTCGAGCACGGGGTTTTCCCTGCGTGGTAAGTGGTTGATCTGGAGCGAGCTCAATTCGCGGCTTTTCACGACGAGTTCTGCGAGCATCAGCAGTATCATCCACTTCTTCGTCTGGTTGCTCAGGCGATCGCGAGGATCGAGATTCAGCATTCGACGGAACGGGAGGGTCGTGAATCAAAGCAGAGCTGAGCTGGGATACAAAGTCTACCGTAGCGACTGGAGGGCGTGACATCATGCTAGAGCGATAATAAGAATCGGTCTCGGAGGCTAGCCGTGGATCTCGGGTTACATAGTCAAGCATGCCAGAGTTCGATCCATATTGAGAGCGGCTAGATGAATCCAACTCAGATACATAGGTGTGGGAATGACCATATGATCCTGGAGCAGGAGAAGCGAAGTTTGGATTCATGTTAGCTCTGGAGTCTGGTGAATGTCTGGAAGGGGTGATGCCGGGAAGAGACATGCTGGTGATTGAGGGGAGTGATTCCGGGTTTAATGCATCCTTCAACTGATATGGCTGTGAATTGGAAGGATCCGAAAGCAGTGTATTCCGAGTCTCGGAAGTGGTCTGCTGCGTGTGATACATGGTTCGCGGAGTGGCACTCGCAAAGACGAATGAACGCCTTGTCGCGATGATGAGTGGAAGGAAGAAAGATGCGGAGATGTTCCTAGTTCCTTCAAAGGGGAATAACCTCCTCCTGTTGATATGTGTTTTGTTGGGTGGGAATGGCGCTGAACATGGGTTGTCAGATCGGCTCGGAGGTCTGTTTCGCGCGACCGCCGTGACGACCCAAAAAGCAGCGTAACGAAACAACAATCAGAGAGGTAAATTCTACAAGATCGAGGTCAGTAAAATCATCAACCACAGAAGAACGGGATATACGGGTGCTGTCACTTAAAGCTTGCAGCAAGCGTCGGCATTCACTGTTGTTGAAGCACCTTCTGCTCTTCTTCCCACCTTAGTAATGTGGACTTCTTGGCGTTACGTAAGTAAAACCATGGCGGCCGTTCAACGTTAACGTTTGACCTTTTCGCGTTTCTATTCGTTGGTCCTCGTGCTTAACCTAGTCCAACAGAGATAGCACATGCAATGTCTAGTCAAGTGACCACACGTATCACCTTATTTCGAGCTCGTTAATTCCCAGAACGATGTTTCATCCAGAGTATCTGCATGTGATGGGTTCATCCACTGATGTTTTTGTTGCAGCGGCTACTAGGAATGGCTCTAATGCATGACACGAGCTCGCCTGCGCCCGTTTGCATGCATGGAGTCCATCCCTCACGCGCAGTTGCTGATCTGTGCTTAATATCACGTTTCCTTTGCAACATGTTCAGCAAAGCTGCTAACCACATTCCTCCCCTGTGACCCGGCATTCCAGTTGTTCATCCACTGCACCTTGCAGTACATCATGTTTTTCTTTTCTTCCGCTTCGAACTTCATGCTGGCATGCATTTTTCAGGTTGCGGCGGTCTCTCATCCCGCACCTCCTGCAATACGTCGGGCGGATGTTTCAGTTGTCACTCAGATGTCGTCTAACCAGCTGGCTGATCTGGCGCCATATACTGAATTTGCTCGTGCTGCTTACTGTTCGCCTACCATCGTAACTGGCTGGCAGTGTGGTCGTACGCAATCCCACCCTACTTTGTTTGGTTTGCTGCGACTCAATAATCGAGTTCTTCTTAGAGGCTTGCAGTGCGGTGCCTGACTTTGAGGTTTCTCTCACAGGGGGTGACGACGACAGTATCCAATATTGTACGTTCCAATCAAAATATCACCTGCCTTTCCAAACATTTCGCAGACTATGTTGGTTACTGGCCGACGGAGAATACTGTGATAGTTGCTCATGAAGGTACAGATCCAACTCAACTGTAGGTGTACACGTTTCACATAATACGACTTGAGAACTTATTGACCTACATAGCCTATCTGATCTCACTGATGCCGATGTATTGATGGAACCCCTGGACCCCACACTTTTCCCCGGTGTCGATAGCAGCGTTGAGGTTCACGGCGGATTTGCCAACGAGCACGCGCTAACTGCGAGCATAATCTTGAACGAGGTGAAGAGCCTGATCTCTCAGTATAATGCCAGCAGTGTCACGCTGGTCAGTATCGAGCATTTTGTCACCACTCTAAAATAACTTTGATATTTTTGAGGACAGGTCGGACACTCCCTGGGAGCCGCCCTTGCGGAGCTTGATTGTGTGTTTATGGCCTTAAACCTTCCCTTTAGCATTGCTATCAAAGGTGTGTCCATACCAGTAATGTTACAGGGGGGCGCGGGATTTTCACAGCCGGAATTTTTAGGTGTGACATATGGTACACCCCGCGTAGGAAATCCAGCATGGGCCGCTCTTTTTGATTACCTGGTAAGCTTGATTCTCCCCTTCGGGATTTGTTCATTCACCCAATTACTAAAATCACGAGCAGATATCGGACTTCCGACGCATCAACAATGAGAAGGACATTATCCCGATCATTCCAGGGCGCTTCATGGGCTTCTCACATGTCCAGGGAGAAGTCCACATTGTATCTGATGGATACGCAGTCCAGTGCCCAGGCGAGTACAAAAGTTGCCTTTTCGGACATGATTGTTTCATCCTCATCTATATAGGTGACGACGATGCCACGGATGCTCTGTGCACAATACAGAGTGTGCCCGACATCCTTGCGGGCAATATCTTGAACCACTTGGGTCCATACCAGGGGATTTATATCGGCACGATCTTTTGCACATGATTGACATGGACTTCTATTATATCAGCTGAACGCTGGGATATTTGATTGGTTTTTATGAAGCAAGCATGACTGAACGCAGGCATGGGTGCAATGGCGCCCACCTCTACCATGTGGCATTGTCTCCCCAATACCACCAGCATGCTAGGAGGACGGGCGCACTTGTTAACAGGCAGGAGATATACGAGCATTGGAGCCTCGAGGCATGACATTGTAGTTGCAATTTTGACCTAAATTGAGGTTATATTTACCACCTTGGCTGCAGCTGAGTGTTGTTGTTCAGTAGACGGTCGCCTGTGAGTAGGCTGTACGAGTGTAAATGCAGTGGCCCGAAAACTATAGTCAATTATTGTCTCCCTGAACTTTTCATGGGAAGTCAAGTCACTCAAAAGTGAGAATCTACACTCAGTGAGGTCCACGGGTTTCATTGACTAGTAGTTGATTCATTGAGCTCCTGCATGGTTTTGGTGGGTGCCTAGCAGCACAAGGATCTTGACCTGGTATGATAAGTGAATGTCAAGGCGTGTTGCTTAGCAAGACCAGTCAAGATGGACTCCACAAGTTGAAGAACTTGATACGTTGGTAGCAGAATCACATCGGATTACATTGGCAGTCATTTGCCAATGCAAAATGAAATAAAAAGACTATGGACACAAAACATACCAGGAATAAACGAATTGGGGACTGGCGCTGGCGGCGTCATGTGATAAGATTGAGTTCGGTTGACGAGTCATTGAAACAAAGTATACTGAGCCGCGTTTGTTTGGTACGCAAGTTCATTTTGTCCAGTACTCATAACCATTCCGCCTACGTGCCTGCCGAGCAGAACCCCTTGCAATGCTGAATACCATTTATAATATTGGAATTCTGAATAAGCGGCGCATGGTTGACATGAGGTGTGGGTTACTTACTGTTCGATGCATGCTCACCGCAACACTGAGGATCTGCTTTTCAAAATGTTGCAGAAATCAGGCTTCCAGAAAGAAAACAGATACAGGATCGGGCAGTCCTCAAGACGTCGCTATAACCGTTGCAATACGTTCCGTTGGCTCCTAAACATATGTTTCGAAAACTTGCCCGAACGCACATGGGACCAAGTCGTCATCTTTCTATTCCTCTGCGCTCTCTTCCCCTTCCTTCATGCACTTCTCGGTATAGGAGGAGAAGCCGAGCAACATGTGATCCACCCAGCGAAAACAACTGGCGAGCCTCCAAACAACTCACAAGGGAATGACACAGACAAAGCCGCTCTCTTCAGAAACCAGCTGCTTGCGAGTGACACGAATCCGGGGTACCCAGTCAAGAATTCTGAGCACATCGCGCACCTCACACGCGCGCCCATTGCATTGGCACCACAAGATGCATTCCCTGATCCGACCTCTCCAATTACCCACTCAGACATGGCTCCTACAGTGCCTTCAACTTCCGCGTTCACGCAGACACCTGAACCTCGTGCTCCGGTCTGGTTTCAGGGAGACAAGTGGGATGACATGCCCGGGCCGTATGACCCATTCTATCTTGAATTCAACGGCATGCCTTGGAGTACACCGACAAAAGCAATCTAGACAGTCGCAGCACAAAGGACTCGGAGCATCCAGCGAAAAGCAGAGGAAATTCAGGAGGTGTCAAGAAAATGTTGGCAGGTCCCAGATATCCAAGACACCAGACTCGATCAGCGAGTGTGCTTGTTTTGATTATTTCGTCTTCCACGTACTGTTTTATATTTACATAAGATGTTCTTCATGAGTCTGTCCGTACATTGTACGTGTCGATGTCTATTGTCAATGGGTCAGCGTTCACATTCAACGGCAAATCGAATGAAGCATGTTGATGACTCAGCAAGAAGGTACTGTCAGTACTTTAGAGTACTTTCACCTCATTGAAACTCGCTGTTGTTCCAGTTCTTAGAGCCTTGCACTGCAGATTCCAGAACTACTTATGCCTCGCGACACCTCAACCTCACCGAGAAGACGGTTCCGTACCCGAGGAGAAGAAGACCGTTCTGGAAGAAAAGGAAAGAAAGATTATCCCAGAATGGAGCGTGCAGACTATGAGCGTGATTCAGACAGGCGAAGGAATGATGATGACGATGATAGACGTGCCAGACATGATAATTATCGTAGAAGAGACGGTCATCGTGACCGTGATCACGATTCTAGAAGGCCTAACCGCGAGAGGGACAGAGAAGGTCAAGATGACCGGCCCAGCAGGTCCAACCGCGAACGGGGTAGGGATGGTCGAGATGACGGTGACCGGCCCAGCAGGCGCCGAAGTAGAGACATCGCAGTCTCGTCTCGTCGTTCTGCATCTCCAAAACGACCGTCTTCTATCCAACCCTCCGCTCCCCCACGCTCTAGCTCTCAGTCTAAGTCTCCTCCACCTGTCGACAAGGCCAAACCCAACTTTGCTAATTCTGGGTTGCTGGCTGCAGAGACAAATGCTGTCAAGTTGACTGACGGCACGAGCACAATCCTGAAATATAACGAACCCCCGGAAGCAAGAAAGCCCACTCTGGGTTGGAGGTTGTACGTGTTCAAAGGAAGCGAGCAAGTTGGTCAGTGCTATATGTTTCTCTTCTAATACCCAATATTGACTTTAAGCAGAATTACTTCACATTCATCGCCAAAGCGCCTATCTAATCGGACGTGATCGCACCGTCACCGATATTTTAATTGAACATCCCTCCTGCTCGAAGCAGCATGCTGTGATCCAGCGTGAGTAGCAGTATTTATCTAACATTCTAGTTGGCATCTTATTTACAACAATTCTAGATCGTCAGGTAATGGAGAAAGATGAATTCGGCGCCTCAAAATCGAAGAACAAGTGCGTGTTATTATGTTTGCTCTTGTGTTTATCTCTTACAACTGAAAATACAGGCCTTTCATTATCGATCTAGAGTCTACAAATAGTACACATGTCAACGATGAGGCCATTCCGACATCACGGTTCTACGAACTCAAAGCGGGTGATGGTGAGTGCTTCTCATTCCACATGAGTATTTTGATTCACCTACAGAATTTGTTGCAGTCATCAAATTTGGATTGTCAAATCGGGAATACGTCCTTTTGCATGACGATGCAACCTGAGGTACCTATGCCTGGCAACGCAATTTCAGGCAGTACACAGAATGTTGAATCATTATACTTTGGCTTGTATATAAGTTAGTTCTTGTTGGATTCCCTCCGAGCTCACTTGCTTTTAGACGATTCGACATCAGATGTGAGGGGCTGAACTGTTTTTTCTTTAAGCAATTATATCCCTTGTCTCGCGAGTTCTTGTGACGGCATGAAGATCAGATGATGCGCGGCACCTCCGTCCGAGGGAGTTTACGAATCACAACAAATTCATGAGACGACTGCGACGCCCAGCTCTAAAATTCGGGGTGCGTCAGCGACATTTCATGTTTTGATTGCTAATGGACTAAGGACACATGCGGGTCGTATGTTATAATCCCAACTTCGAGTCAACATGTGAGCCAGGAGCGACCATAGGGTATCAGCTGAAACCGCAGCGAGGGCCCGAAGGTGTCCGTCTTTCTCGAACTCTTCAGAGGACCGATGGTGGATCACTTAAATCTTGATGGCGCAACCTGCAGGCATGAGAATTGTGGTGCCTCCATGCATGAGCTTCACTTGCAGAAGTTTTTTGGAGGATAACTCACCAGTCATCTAACATATATAAGCACGAATAGCCGCCGGCTCGTTGTTAATGGTGTCCACCCTATCATGCTGTGCTGCTCATTTGCAATCCTTTTGACCTCCAAGTTGCTCTTCCATTTTGTTTCACGACACTATCAGCCATACATGGATACCATCTACACCTTCCAGCACGCAGTACAACACTGACGCAAGCTCACATCCTGTTACCACTCCTCATTGCTCCTTTTTTCGTTCTTTCGTTGCAGTGCTACATGGCGACCACCTGTACTTTTCATGAATTGGTCACTATCCAAAATGGATCTAGGTATCATGACAATACGACAATAAAAACTACTGGAAATAAAATGGCTACATCGTTCTACCTGATGGTGACTTAACGGTAGCATTTGGAGCAATTTAACGCATGCTCGCGCTATGAATCCCATGATTAGTTCTGCAGTGACCGATGATGGCACTCCTACTCACACTTTATCTCTATATGCAAACGATATTCACTGTCCTCCTGTTACCCACTGTTGTCTCACCTTACCCATGCTATTTTCACAGGAACCAATAGAACCTCTCCGTGACGACAATCGTGCGTTGCCTATTCTCATCGTGGCTGTGAAACAGACATTGACAAAGCTCTCCGCGCATACTGGCTAATGGACTTGCACTTGCCTCGAACGTGCTTTCTTCTTTCCACAAAACCTATTTTAACGATAAAATTATAAACACTAGCTGGCCACTACCGCGAATACGAATAACAGCTCTACATCGTCGATTCTTCGAAGTTCAACTGCTCAGGAACCACTATATTCCACGAATCACGTTTTATTCTCATCCTTACTGCTCCTGTTGGACAGTGAAGCGCAAACAGATTCTTGTAACTACTCTCAAAGGCTGCCAAAGTTTCACTCTCTCGCACAGTTCTCGATTTCAGAACAGATCATTTTGCATATGTCCCGTGTCAAAAGCCGTCGAGTTTCAAGAGGAAACGAAGAGAAATTGGTGCAAATATAGTGTACAAAAGTTTGACTTTGTAATAAAGCAATGACCAAAGGTCACCGCTTGTTTATACTAAGTGTACATGATATCTGTAGTCCAGGGTGTTTCATCAATTCAGTAGGTCCACGACGATCGCCTTCTTCGTCACAGCCATGGCCGCATTCACGGACACCCTGTCGACCAGTCTGAATGGGTCATGCGTGTTGATTTGCGCTCCAGCACATTCATGGATGTGGCCAAAGACATGCAGCCGGCAGTTCCGCAGTTCCGCTAATTTGTTCGACAGGACATGGCATCCAGCGTGCTTGCCCTTCCTTGTTCTGTCCAAAGTCATGAAAGGAGGTGTATGTGTGATCAGGATATCTGTATCGTTGGGTACACGGTTATAAATCACTAGAGAATGGTCAGAACCCGCAAACATTGATGTGGCCCAAAACCATACCTCGTGCTTCATCTGGAGTCTCGTACTGGAATGATCCTTGAGCGTATAATGGAGCAGCCTTGCATGTAAATCAGTTCCATGAGGTACCGGCTTCGCAGGAGTGACTGGTGCTCACCGGTGATCCATAGACCTTCCATTGGCGCCCCGAAGATAACATGAATCGAAAGGGTTCATGCTCAATGTAGTGCAGACCTGCTGCTGTTTGACTCCGTACATAGGTCCGTGCTTGCTGGACCTCCTGTTATCGATTCTCTGGATAGCTCGACTAATGCTTAGAGAAATCCATACTCACTTCTGGCAGGAGGCCATATATTGGCTGAGCCCACATCTCGTCAAGACAAAGCTACAAAAGTCTGGCCTGAAATCTGAGTGATGTTGCTAGCTTAGGACGTACGTCATGATTGCCTGCGACCATGCTTAGCCCATTGCAAATTAGCGTAATGCGCCTGGAACATATCGAAGTACAAATGACAGCTTACATCTTCACGGGGTGATCCAATGATTTCAACCATTCGACTGTGACAGTTAATTGCGAAAGGCTACCCCAGCTACTCAAGTCACCAGCATGCAGCAGAACGTCGCCGGTGGGTATGTGAAAGGTGTGAGAATGGGTATCTGAGATGCAGACAAAGCGAGTCCAATCGCTGCCTGGATGAGGAGGGATGGTGTCAGCCCCCTGCCTGTAAATACGCACGGGTTCAGTCATTGGGATCACGGTGGACACGGCGGTTTATATGATCGATCTTTCCTGAGGGAGCAATGGAAACAGAATGCCTGGAATGTATGACTTTGAAAATCGTATGTTGCCCAAATGCAAGTCAATCGATCAAGCTAAGTTCAAGAGCGAAGAATGCAAGAAGAATGTCCTAATACTAGGGCCGATACGCACGTGACGCCGTCATCTAGACCAAGTCTAGACTTATCGCTTATGCCCGAAAAGAAATGGAGCCTCCGTAGGTCACATCTCTCCTGTGTCATTCCACTCATCGTGATGTCGAGTTTCACGCCAAACCATGCCCTCCTGAACCCAAAATTCGAGGGTTACAAACTGGAAGTAATCCCACAAGAAGACACTGTGACACGTTTCGGGCTTGAATATAGACCCACACAAATGGCTAATTCTGGTCGATCTCCACTGTCTTTCAAGGAGGTCCAGAGCAGGATCACGCATAACCACCTGGCCATGGCAAACGACAGTGGCAGGTGTCTATACATTGACTCGGAGCATCGCGTTATCCTTGTCGACCTAACGAATGTAGGCTTTTGTGATACCATCTTTTGTTCCACCATGAGTCTCACATCGTGCACAAGTAGGACAGTCACACACCATCATTCACTGTCGTTTATGCACTTCCAACTCCAATCAGCGCTCCCGCAGCTGTGCAGATCCATCGCGAATACCCATCAGCAGTGTTTCTTGACGCACAGACCGCATTCATCGCCGACGGTCAAGGGGCACTTTACATCCTCGGACTTCCTGCAGAAGGAGCTGCTACTACCCTGGGCTGCTTTGAGCTTTCTGATCACACGCAAACTCCTCATTTGGCTCCGACTCCATTCCGCATCCACTCTCTCGCCAAGTCATCTGATAATGTAGCTATAGCGCTTCTGTCTTCTCGCTTCTATGGAGACCCTGAAGCTGCTCCAACGCAATCAGTAACAAGTCACACGTCTGAATTTGACGTCTGGGCTGCGAGATTCTCGCTGCCTTTTCCAAGCCAGAACGGCGATCTCGCCCCCATTGACATTCTTTGGAGGAGGCGGGGGCAGGATGTACCCATATTCATGGATTATGATAACTCTCGAAATTGCTATCTTCTGGCTGGTAGCTCCGGCTATCGTGAGCTCAACCAGCCAGCCCCACCCTCGTACGAACCCTCGCCAGATGAAATGGCCCCTATTCCGCGTCTAGATGAAAAATTAGACGTAGAGACTCCCCTCAGACCTCCACCATATTCCTGGACACAGACATCCGACTCCGTGACAGTGGCCTTCCCTCTCCCTGCAACAACCCCAACGTCAAGCATCAAAGTGACATTTTCCCAAAAGACCTTGACGGTGCACGTCCAGACCACATCACATGTTGAAGGCGTTCCTCTTCCCCACTATTCTGCCCAACAGCTCTGGGACGGCATTCAAACCTCCACCAGCTTCTGGACTTGGGATCGCGAGGGAGAGCACTCATTTGGATTGCTCACGTTGCATCTGGACAAACAGCGTGAAGATGCTCGGTGGATGCATGTATTTGCATCTGCGGGTACACCAGGTGGAGAGGAGGAAGTTACAGAAACCCTCGACCCTTCGGAGCTCTACCTCATCAGAGAGTCTTTGGAAAAGTACACAGCCGCACTCCAAAGTGGGGAGGATATGAGCGGGCTTGGACTGGGCCGAGGGGTACCAGCGCTTGCTCAGGGAGAGATGGATGAGGAAGTCGATTCTTCGATCGGACGAGTGGCATTCCTGACGTGGGTGGGTGAGAATGGAGGGGTCCCTGTGTGGTCATCTGGCGTTGGTGATTCTGCATGCAACGTTCTGTCAATCGATCTTCCTGGATCGGGTCCTGGAGCATCTATGGTTGTGAAGAATGGTATTGATGGTGCCCTGTTCACCCTGGACGAGGCACAGACTACAGGTTCTCTGCCCACTTGGACGCACAGCGCGACCTTCTCGGCGCTCGCCTTTGTGCTCGCCTCTAAGCGGGATACACGCTTCACGTATCATGTCTCATCGAAAGCGGTTTTGGCTTTCGAGAACGGCAGTAGGGATCGAGGAGGGAATGTATACATCTACCGCGGTGGGCATCCGGGTCAAATTTGGGCAAAACAAAGTGTATTGAAAGTTGGCGATGGAAGCGCTGGTTCTCTGTTAGGTGTTGGCATGTCTAAAACGGCGCAGGGGCACACGATCGTCTGTCTATGCGAGAACGAGCTAGTCGTGATGCACAACATCTTTTGAATAAAATTGGGGGAAAGTACAGTGAACAGCCTGTAGTTCGAAGTATAATACTTGTGATACTACAGGAGGGAATCATGAACCGTCAATATTTGAAGGCGACGGTAAGAAAAGATAGTAATAGACCAAGCACAAGGTAACACACAACACAACCAATGACAGGTGAAAGGAGAATTAAAACATATTGAGAAATACAACTATGCCTTCAAAGGGTCTTCACTGGAGGGCATCAAGCCGTCAACGTTCATCGGACCGTCACCTCGGATAGGCACCTTGAAATGCTGGACGGGAGTGACGTCTCCGTTGAGTTTAGGATTTGGTGGACTAGGTGATGGACTGGGGGATTTCGGGATACCGTCATTTACATCATCAAATGGACTAGCCCCTTCGTCGTCTTCCTGGACCTCTTCAATCCGAGCAACACCGTCGAAGCGCCCATCAGCGTCTTCATCCTCAAAGTCATCGTCAACCTCAAAAGAGGCAAGACGTGCTCGCAGACCAGCTCCAGCGTCCGGTGGCTGTGCACGGGGAAGCCCAAACGTGTCACTGAAGAATGAGCGTCCGCTATAGGACGTGTCCATGTCATCACCACTGTCGTCCTCTTCATCGTTATTGGCGAACATGAGGCGACCAGCATCGCTGAGGATCCCTGATCCCGGGTGGAAAGAGATGCCACCAGTGCTTCCCAAAACACGAGCAAATGGACTGTTTCCACCAAACAAACTGCCTGACGAGCTGTCCTCGCCTCGTTCCCTTCTCAGCTTGTCCCTCTCTTGCTGCGCCTCTCTCCGCGCTCTGTATGTTGACAGTCGGTCTGATGAATAGATTTGTGGGATAGAGTCAGGTGTTGAATAACCATAGTTGTTCTTGACACGATCTTTGACCCAGTCGTACCATTCTTGCTTCGTCCTTCCGTGAAGGAGAGCCACAATGAGGACAGTCATGTTATCGCACCCGATACCTGACCCAGACGAGGTATCCGGAGCAAGACAATGCTCGCACATCATCTCTCCGATCTCCCTGAGTTCCAAGCCCTCTGAGACTTTTAGCCGAACAAAGTCAACGACGGCTTGTGAAGATAGACAGTCCCAGATACCTAACGAAAAATTAGAGCCACGTCGTAATTAGGACTCGCTGTCTTACCATCACAGGCCAGGACCAGAAACTCGTCTTCGTCTGTGATATCGTGAACGGTGACATCAGGATCAGCTGTAATAATTTGTTTTTGAGGACCGAGTGCATAGTTTTTCTTGAACTCAAAATCTCCCAAAGCACGAGACAACGCAAGGTTTCCTAGGAAGTCCATCATAAGTACAGCCTCGAGGAGTGATCGGACGACTCACCATTGACGCGTCCATATTCTACGTATCCTCCAGCTTCCGTGATCCGTTTCCGTTCAGCTGAATACTAGTAAACAAGGATAATGGCTCAATAGTCGAATGATCAACGTACTCTCGCTTGATGGTTTATGGTCAAAACTCAAGGCCTTGGCATTACCTTGAACGCTAAGAACAGACCGGGAATCGCCAGCATTTGCCTGTCAGGCAACCGTTGGCAAAAGGACAATTAAATAGGAAAAACTGCTGTACCACATAAATTTTGTTATCCTCTGTTATCAAAGCAGCTACAGCAGTACAACCTGACGGGTCACGGGTATGCGACGGATCTGTGTTGAAATGAGCGGGGTATGCAGAGACAGCAAGGCGATATGGCGTACCAGCAAGGAGATCTTCATCGGTGCCCAAGAACGCTTTCTTAAGCGCTTCATCATAACGCTTTTCACGATATGCCTCTTCTGAAATTAGTCGCCTGTGAACGTTTCTCCCCGCAAACCTCGCGACGGTACTTCCTGTGAAGAATTAAACTGAGCTCGAGGCTATAACTGCAAAAAAATCAGCAAGTAGTTTACCACCATGTCCATCATAAACAGCAAAGAATGTGTTTTTATCTGTTGTGTTCTCTTCAAGGGTTAGCATGGTCACATGAGCGTCCTCCATAGCTGCAATGAGGATACAGATACATGATATGTGTGAGATCAAAACCACAGCCAAAAAAACTGGTGACGCACTAATTCTCCATCCTTGCATCTCAGAAACTGCAAATAGGTATCGATCATCTTCTCCTGTGTCTGATTTCTTCTCTGTGGCTGTCGAAACAAGGGTAGGTCATGAATGTGTTTCTTGGAGTAAAAACATAGGCTGCACAAGGACTCCCTACCTGGTGCTGAGAGTGTTTGACCCTAACGAACGGCCGAAAGTGAGACTGGCCGTGTAATGTGATGAGATGTGTCAGAGCATACCATGGATCGCTATTGATGGGGAAAGACGTAAGAAAGCAGAGAGTGATCGCTTAGCCGATGAACCGAATCAGAACTGTGTAGACGTCAGACTGCTGCAATTTGCTGACTCCAAGGGATGGAAATGAAGGGAGAAGGTAAATTTTCAAGAGGATGCAGATATGGTCTATGCTGGTCAACGAGCACAGCAAGCACGCAAGTCATTCCTATTTTGTCTTGTTTGTCTGCTAGGGTTTTCAGCCTCGGCATAGCCTATGATCAGTGATCGGTACTGGCCGCATCTGAGGCTCTATGCTACTTTGTAGCCCTAGTACGTACTACGCTTGGCAAATCCGGGGTAGGATATTAGCCAGCAGCAGCAGCAGCAGCAACAGGGTACGTGGTAGCAGAGTATCGCGTAATGACTTTGAGTCACAATTGAATCACAATTAAATCAGGTTCTCAATTTCGCCCTATGACCGTGACTGGCTAGTCACCAGCTGCGCCGTGACTCTGGGCTTGTGCATGTGTTCTACTATTATTGAATTGGCTAACCACAGGGGACGTAACGTATCAGATTAAAAGGTCTAGGTCTCATCCCGGATTGCAGGCTTCTAACGTCCTGTTTCAGACTTTCAAGCTTGTCTTGTTACCAGGTTGTTAGTTGTCCACTAGTTGTATACCACGTATACGTGATAAGACTGACAAAATGTGCCGTTCTTCATCATTCTAGCTCAACGCCTGTGACGCCATAAAACCTCGTGTCGTCTGGCGCGCACCAAAGTACGACCGCCCGGTCCGTATATTATCCGTCATGTGGCTGGCCTACTTAAGTGATTCGGAGCGCCGTGATAGTCCTAATGTTTTCTTAGCATCTGCCGACGATAATGGTAGCTTAAGCGTGACACAGAACGCTCAACCGAAACTTCCGACTTACCGCAAAGTACGTGAACTATGAGGTGGCATAGTGAGATAAAGATGAATGACTGTTGAGATGATTGCAGGTCGAACTTTTCTGAAAAGTTTCATCACAGATTATGAATCTGACCAATACGATATCGCTTATGGGTAAACCGGGGCAATCGGTTTGCTTCTCGCTTTATCCACTCTATGCCGTAAAAATTCAGAAGTTTCGACATCGATGTCGTATTCAGAAAGGAAGTTTCCGCTAGAAAGCAAATTATGCCGACCTGGCACACGACCACTTTGTCCTCTCCTGTTGTCACATTATTCTCATTTGCTACGCAGGCCCGTGCGGAGGGCGCAGGTGAGTTATCATATCCTTTATCTTTTTCGGCACAGCTTATTTCCACGATACCCTCTTTTGAAATCATTGGCTGATAGCTACGAATATCCGCTGTCATATTTATCTACCCTCGGAAGTGTGTTGTATGGGCAACGCCAACTCTAACCTTACAATGGACACCTCACATCATACATCGCACAGCAACTCCGAGGTATGTCTTAAAGCTCGAGATTGACTCCTCCTTACATGTCCGGCTTTGTAGCACCATCAGAAATATGCGTCTGTTGGTTATAGGCGCAAGCGGACGTGGAGTATCTCGATGACCTCCCAATCGTCAACTGCATCACAATTTCCCCTTCCCCAAAAGCTCTATGAAGCATCCCCTGCTGAGGTCGTTCAAGGCGACCTCCAAGCTCATGGCTCATTTACCACTACCATACCAGCGGTCTTCTGGCTCCGCTCGTGTTTTTCTATTCATTCCAAGCCACGTGGGAAGCGACTGGACATGGGGTGGGCGGACGAACACAACTTTGAACTCCCCGATCTCCCTCGATCGCGGTCTCGTTCACCCGTTCGCCCATTTATAAGCCGCACGTCCTCTATGAACTCAACCTTGGGCGAACAACTCATGCCTACTTTATCCTCACACGACTCCCCACCTGCATCACCTCTTGGAGATAATATCTCTACGCTCTGTCCTATTCTTGAAGCTATCGAGAATGCCTCAAAGTTATCGTGCCGCACTGTGTGCGTCACATGTTTGAAAACAGGTAGGGACTTCCCACACTGTCCCCGATGTGGTGATACGTGGTGCTCCAGGGAATGTAGGATGCAGGGAGGGAAGAGACACGTCTGCAGAACGTGATTCCCTCTATGGTCCTGCTATGAATTTCCTCGCTATCCACATCTTCCCCAAAATGCTTTCTACAGCTTTTACTGGTCATATGGCATAAAATTCTACGGCGATTCTTTACGCACCCATCATGCTTCTAGGCATTCTTTGTTACGCACAGGCCAAGCTTCTAGGCAGTTGTCTTACGCACGTGTCATACTCCAATATTCTTTGATACATGCGCAATGCCAACTGAATTGGATTATGTATATATTGGATTCGTATGATGTCGTGTTTTCGTGTTCGGATGACGTTTAAGACTAAGTGAAGACAATTCTTGTACCCTGTGCAGGCACAATTGCGACATTTTGTTGTTTCTTCTTGGCCTCCCAGGATGGATGAAGCGGTTTCTCTTCCTTACGGTTACCTGCCATGAGGGATGCGGATGCGTTGTATCTGTTCTTGTCCGGTATTCGAGTATTCTGCTTGTGACCGGAGAACGGCGCGCCATCGGAATCGCGATTACTATTCTTGTGCTGTCGCTGATCTTTGCGCACAACCACAATACCGGAAGGGGCATCGGGACGGTTAGAAGTTTTCTGCTTCATCACATGATTGGCATGTCTTCCAAATTTCTTCTCCCATATTCTGAAGAAGAATTATGTTATAATTGTTCCAAAATCAAGCCGGAAACTTACGCCCTGCGTGCCCGCTGACCACGTCTATTCTTCTTGGCTGTGTCAATTGCTTTCTCCTCACTGTCGCTAAAATCGGTGTCCGAATCTCCCCGAATAAAACCCACCGAAAGGGAAGGTAGAAAAGTAGATTGTGTTGCCTTTGATTTCCCTCGATTTGCTCGTTCGTGAGGGACAGGGAGGTCATCGCCATTATCGGAGGTGGAGTTGTATTCCTCGTCGGGCCCTTCATCAACCCCCGAATCTCCCTGGACAAAATGATCGCCGTCGCTAACTGTGCCTGACTCCCAGCCATCATCTTCAAGATTTGCTCTTGGTTCATCTTCAGAAGGAGAATCCACCGGAGAGACCTTAGGCAAACCCTCATTCTGTTGTGTCTTCTGTTTTTTCTTTCGAGGCGGTGATACTTCGGCGCCATCGACGTCTGCGTGGTAGACCCGCTCCGTAGGGTGCAGTAAGCGCCGGAGTCCCTCGATTATACGAGAAACATCAACCGCTAGGATCTTGGAACTAAGTAACCTGCTTTGGACTATGCCTGCTGCGGATCCAGGTACAGTGGATGTGATTATGCTGGAAGACAATGACTTGGACATCGCAGATTGCAGGCTGGGATCCTGTGAAAGGAATTTGTCTTTCTTGATTTTCGTTGACAGAGCTGAGTCGGCGATAGGCCCGGAGTCGAGTTGCTGGCAGACTATTTGATAAGGACGTATATTGGATGCATCATATGTATTCACCTTGAGAGCCATATGCTGTGCTTCGATATCTTTGACTACGTTATCGTCGCCTTTGCGCCTGGAAGACAAACTGTCAGAAAAAAAAACTGCTAAAATGATGAAACCAATCAAACACCTTGCATCTTTCATTTTCTTCAAGATCTTCTGCATCTCAAAAGTTTTTGCTTTCTTCGCGGCCTTCCTGACCTCCCGTGCGTCATGATACTTGATGAACAACCAAGGGTTAAGATCAGGTAATACAAATTGGAAAACGAGACGTGCCAGTTTCTTCTCTAACTTGGTCCCGATGTTCTAGTGTGCAAATGAGTAAACCATTGCGTGAAATCTCATTGTAATGCGCACCGTCTCGCCAGTTTGATATTCTCTCTTTCTCTTCGTCGTTCTTACTGGCGCCTCAGCAGGTGACATCAATATTTGTTATGTCTCCACTAAGCTAGGGTTCGTATGATGGGATTGAGAGGTTGGTGGACAATATAATAGGTTCATGTATCACTGTAAAAGTGCTCCATGGCGCTTAGCGCACATTGAAGCCGCTGACGTAAACAGACTACTACTTCGTCAGATCAGGTTTTCGCGCATCAGCACTTGTTGACTCTGCAGTTCACTTCGTCAATGACACAGTGGTCATGGATGATGACTCACAAGAAACCCGATTATTCGCAGCTTTCGAGCGCCATGACGAGTTCGTAGCAGCTCAAAACACCCTGCTGGCGGCCGATTTGTTCGTAGAGCCCAGTCGCGAAGAGGAAGATGTGGAACTTCATTGCAGTCGAAAATTAATCGTGATTGTAAGTGATCCATTATATCCAGGGTTGATGCACCTTAATGTGGTCAAGAAAGTTTGGAGAATACCAAGAGCAATCGTATCTATTGGACCCGTACCTTGAAAGCCTCGTGTCTCCCGTCGCGGAATGCCTTAGAAGATATGCAATGGCATGCGTTAATGCACGAGGTGCTCAGTCTTCTCGTAGCCGTGTGGAACGCCTCGCAGATCTTCTTCATAACTATATCAAGTTCCGCGGGTATAAGACAATAAGTCGGTGGTACTTTCTGATATATCCCCCTTATATTCATTCCAAGCAGCTAGATTCTTCCCTCATGAAGTTTCCGATCTCTCGATCGCCTTGGATTTCATCCGGCTGCCGTCAGGGCCAGTACAAGACCCCAGTCAATGGGGGCTGCGATATGCCGTGCTGCTTTGGCTATCTCTCATTTGTCGGATCCCTTTCGACTTGCAGAAATTCGATGATACCACTCGATCCGGTGAAACAGCAAATGCGATCGAGCTCGTTGGAAAGGACCGCCTTAACATGGCTGGTTTAGAGCGCGAAGGAGCGGCTACCCTTTTGGCACGCTTCTATGCACGGTGAGCTCAATGCACGCGGATGGCATCCATTTATTGAACTTCTTTAAGAAAGGACACCAAGCAGCAATTCTCCTCTTTCGTCGAGTGGTCAATAACAATTTTTCGCTCTTCGGATATCATCTTGGTAAGATGGCTCGGTGCTTTCCGAAATGCGACTCACTTCAAGTAGTCTATAGGAGTATTACAAGTCCTTTGTGAATTGATGAAATCTGGTTCATCTGAACAACTCCAAGCGTTTACGCAACAGTTCTTGGAAATTACAGATACCTTAGAGCAAAGTACCCCCTTGGCCAGCAACACATTGGTTCGAAAATATCGCACGAAATTGCTATCGCGCGTTGCGTTGCGTTTGATGCCTCCGAATATATTTAGATCCAAGTTAACGTGTAATGTCGACTCACATCTCAACGTGGTCGATGATTTGATCTGTAATTTCACAGTCCGTAGTCTGGATGGTGATATCAAGAATGAGGCTGTCAATGGGAACGTAGATGATGACGATGACGATATTGATGTTCCTGAAGAAATTGACACAATCTTAGAGTCTCTATTCAAGAGCCTGCAGGACAAGGTATTTGTTTGTATGTCACGTGCAAACATCAATTACACAAACGTATAGGACACAGTGGTACGATGGTCAGCAGCCAAAGGCATTGCTCGCCTTTCAGAACGCCTTCCGTCGGATTTCTCCTCTCAGGTATTAGAGACGATTCTTGGTCTTTTCTCAATCCATTCTGTAGCAGGTGCAAGTGTTTATGACACTCCTGCCATCGCTGAGGCTACCTGGCATGGCGCATCTCTCGCGTCAGCAGAGATGGCACGCAGAGGTCTAGTTCAAACTGCTGCACTAGGAGGCCTCTTGGGCTGGCTCTCGAAAGTGAGAAAAGCCAGATATGAATCAACTATTTTCACGTGATGATGATGTACATTAGGCTCTCTACTTCGACATACGTAAGGGGGCCCATTCCATTGGATCAAATGTACGGGATGCTGCGGCCTATGTGATCTGGGCTTTAGCGAGGGCACAAGATCCGGAATCCTTCTCTCCCTATGCTCGTGAACTCGCGCAGTGGCTCGTTTCTGTGGCGTTGTTCGACAGGGAAATTCACATTCGAAGAGCGGCTAGTGCCGCCTTCCAAGAACATGTTGGCAGAATGGTACACCTTGATGTGCTTGTCTCAGGTAAATTACGTGGAAAGTTCATGCAATGTGTTTCAGGCGCTGTTCCCACATGGTATCGACGTCCTTAGAAAAACAGACTTCTATGCAGTCAGCGTGCGGCGGAATGCGTTCATTGTCGCGGCTCCACAAGTCGCTGAGTAAGTCGCCCTTTCACAACGAAGAGCCGTCAATTCAATGAACGTTACTAGGCACCTGGAGTACAGATCATATCTGATCGATCACATCATTTCGATCACTTTGCGTCACTGGGATGTTGCGATGAGGGAGTTGGGTGCTCAGGCCTTGCGCCGGATATGCGAGCTCGACTTGAAGATACTAGGGCTGGAGTGTGCTTCGAAGATGGTAAGGAGACTGACTATTCAACGAAGGATATCTCTCATTTTGCTTTAGGCGGGATTTTTAGACTCCGTTGATGTATCTGATGTGCATGGAGCACTTGCAGCATTGACAGGTATCTCTGAAGCGTACCGAGCTCAGGAGAGCGAAGAAAATGCAAGCAACCGGCAAAAGGTGCAGATGAAGTTCTCAACGCGTCTTTCTTGTTGATTGTCCATCAGATATTTGCCTTCATTGCAATTGTTTCCAAAGATGTTGTTATGTCTCCACGAAACGGTCTAGTACTTGCGGCGGCGTGTGATCTCATTGCAAGCAGCCTGACACTACAGGAGGTTGAGCTTCAGGAAAAATCATCCGTGCCCCATTGGAAAAGGATCATAGACCAGGGACTGCGGCACAGAAGCTCTTCCGTCCAACAAGCCGCCGCCGCCGCCATAGCCACAACAAGTTCCTTGATAGATTGCTCGCCAGATGTGCACAGATAAGATTAATTAATGCTACATTTTTAAGACATTAACTGACATGCCCCCTTTAGCACATTAATCAAGGACTTTCGCCGTGGCCCTCAGTCCTTGCAGCAAAGTCTTGGCTATACTCTAGGTGTACTCAATTATAATGCGCATCCGCATGGTTTCTCTGAGGTAGTCAAGTGCTTGTTGGATAGTGTCGATTCCAACGTAAGATTTTTCCCTGGTTCAGGGCTTTATTCCGATTGAAGCGGTGATCGCAGTCCTCCGAAAGAATGTCGAGCATTGAAGCACGTCGAAATTGCTTCCAAGCGTTACCCAAGATCATCACGAATGTACTGCCTCGCCTCACCGAATGTTCGTGTTTTTATTTTATGTTCGGCGAATGTAAATGAAACATCTTTCCTCAGATCTAATCGCAGAAAGTATGTATGGAGTCCTTGATGCCCTTGACAGCGGACTAGATGATTACACGATGGATGAGCGTGGCGACGTTGGCTCGTGGGTACGAATGGCGTGCATTCAAGGTCTAGCATCAATTTTCGAAGATCTGTTTCGCGTTTCAGGAAACATACCTGAATTCGCGAATTACTTGCCTGCGCAGAGGTATCACAGTGTGATAGCCAGAATCCTTCGTCAGGGCGTCGAAAGACTGGACAATGTACGTCAAACCGCGGGACACTGTTTGTTGCGATTGTTTCGCATCCCTCTCCCGACCGTTCCTCATCAAGAGGAATGGCGTATCAAAGGCTCAGAACTCATTATGAAGCTGTTTCTGACGTGAGTCGCTAACGATTTGTTGCTCGCACCTATCTCATCCAGAATAGTGACGCCTCGGACACTATCACCAGCTGGAGTGTTGGGGAATGGTTATTTCCTAAAGCCGTAGAACTGCTTCGCGTACAAGAGTACAGACAACCCCTACTGACAGGTCTTATACATAGTGTAGGAGCTAGAACTGGAAGCACGGTCCGTCTCCTTTGCACTTTTGTGTCGCATCTCTGATGACGTCACTAGCACCGCCCAGCATCTTCGAGTCTGGTTTCCTTTGCGCAGGGCCTTCCGTTGTTACCCGGCGATTCTGGCTATAGTCTGTCTGAGCTGTGTGACGACCTCATCGAGTGCGCACAAGGGAGAACGACATCGAACGCGGTGGTGGTTCCTATCTTGCAAACGTTCAATATGCTTTTGGAGGCAGACGTATTGTCTCGCCTGTCTAGCGTTGACAACGGTCCATCAAAGTCGCTTTCGTTTTCCTCTCTCGGTCGAATCGAACTAACGAAGCTCTCAGACTAGAGAGATTATTGAACATTGCAACGAGAAATGTACAGCGATTGAAGAATGTACAGCGAGTGCAAGAGTCCATGAAAATGTGGGTTTATTAATCACACGAGAGCACTGCAACTGAGCAATATGTAGCGTCGTAAACCTCTTGGTCGTTTCCTCGGTTTCAAAATCATCCTCGGAGAAAATCATCGACTTCCTTTCTCACCCTTATCCAAAGGTCATATTTTTACATCACAGGTAGATGATACTGACCGTGGCTTAGATCCGGACCAGTACGGCTGAGTACCTCTACACGTTTATACAAAGCAGGGACCTCGGCTTGGAGGCAGATGAAGCAGTCGACGAATTGCTTCTCGAAACAGAATGGTATGTTTTTGAAATCTTTCGTCCTTCAAATAGCTGACTTTATCACAGGTCTTCGGAAAGCATGGAAGTGAAGGTGGCAGCCACTCGCGTCTCGGAGCTCCTCTCTTGCACAATTACCGAGTGATTAAAACGTTGTTCAGTGTATGGCCTATACGCAGGACCAAGCGCATGTAGATCATATCGTATGAATACCCTTACTTAGCTGAAATGTACTTTTTATGAGGGGGCGTGTTGTGATCTTAATGTGGGATGCGTGGGAAAGTGTCGGTTTGCAGTGGTCTGCTACTTACTCTGGATCCGAAAGTACAATCTACTGCGCCCGCCAACGCCAAGCCTCACCTGTGCATCATGGCTGCAGACCCTCGCATGAGTGACGGAGAGCTAGCCGCAATCAATGCAGCTGCAGTGACGCGGGAATATCGCGTCCAACCACACCTTGGTGCGTCAAAAGCATAAGCATTGCAAGACGCCGAGTAGTTATTGACAAGCCCTCAAGACTACCGCACCGTTTCTGCGATCAATGGGCGAGTGTTGTTGCCATAGCCAATGAGTGATCTGACCGTGTTCCTACAGCCCGCTTGTGGTGCTTGACAATGTCAAGGTGCGCGGCGTTTTGATATTAGTTTTGATTTTGTTCTGGTCTTACATTACCTTTGGTTGGGTTGTGCTGACCTACATACTTGCTTTTTTTTGCGCAGTTTCCTTCATACAATGAGATCGTACAGCTAACCTTACCCGATGGATCAAAGCGAGGCGGCCAGGTTTTGGAAGTTCAAGGAAAGAAGGCGATTGTTCAGGTGTTTGAAGGCACATCAGGGGTGGACGTCAAAGCGACGCATGTCGAATTCACAGGAAGCAGTATGAAGTTACCTGTGGCCGAGGACATGCTTGGCCGTATTTTCAACGGTTCTGGAAATCCCATTGATCAGGGTCCAAAAGTGTTTGCTGAGGATTACCTGGACATTAATGGTGCGTGGGTCTTGTGAAAACTTGGCCGGCTCTTGGTTGAACAGTGGAGCAGGATATCCAATCAATCCTTACTCGCGCATCTATCCTGAGGAAATGATCCAGACCGGGATTTCGACGATTGATACGATGAATTCAATCGCTCGTGGACAAAAGATTCCTATATTCTCTGCTGCCGGTTTACCGCACAATGAGGTACATATGAAGTCTACTAATAATTAAAAAAAGCCCTCAAGGGAGCTAACCGAAATGCGCAGATCGCAGCCCAGATCGTACGTCAAGCCGGTCTGGTGAAACGTCCCACCAAAGACGTCCATGATGGACATGAAGACAATTTCTCTGTCGTGTTCGCAGCAATGGGTGTCAACATGGAAACCGCACGGTTCTTCAAAGAAGACTTTGAGTCAAACGGTAGTCTCGATCGCGTGACGTTGTTCCTTAATCTTGCCAACGACCCCACCATCGAGCGTATTATTACGCCTCGTCTTGCGCTCACTACGGCAGAATACTATGCATACCAGCTGGAGAAACACGTGTTGGTCATCTTGACTGACATGTCGTCTTATGCGGATGCCTTGCGTGAGGTGCGTTCTTCGTTTCTGTCGAGACTTTCTGGAAAGAGGCTTACCGTTCGCGGTGCGGTTCATGTGCAGGTTTCTGCGGCTCGGGAAGAGGTGCCTGGGCGTCGTGGCTACCCCGGTTACATGTACACAGACTTGTCGACAATTTACGAACGGGCTGGGCGAGTGGAAGGCCGCAATGGTTCTATTACTCAAATTCCCATTCTAACAATGCCGAACGATGGTGACGTCATACTGACTTTTTCTTTCAATGTTCAAGCGCTGATCCGATGTCAGACATCACACATCCTATTCCCGATTTGACTGGGTATATCACGGAGGGGCAGATTTTTGTGGACCGGCAACTGCACAACAGACAGATATACCCACCCATCAATGTGTTACCATCTTTATCACGCCTTATGAAGAGCGCGATTGGCGAGAAGCTTACGAGGAAGGATCATGGTGACGTTTCAAACCAATTGGTGGGTGCCTTCATATTAGCCGAAGTGACGATCTGACTTCCTTTTGAATTGGTGTAGTATGCGAAATACGCGATCGGTCGCGATGCAGCTGCGATGAAGGCTGTTGTTGGCGAGGAGGCACTGTCGGCTGAGGATAAGCTTGCACTGGAATTCTTGGACAAGTTTGAGCGTCAATTTGTTGGACAAGGTGGGTGAATTTGCCAAGGGGCGTGGTGAATTTTTCTGAAGGCTATACAGGACCCTACGAATCTCGTACTATCTTTGATTCGCTCGACTTGGCTTGGTCGCTGCTTCGGATTTTCCCGAAAGAACAGCTTAACCGTATAAATCCGAAGATTATCGCCGAGTTTTACGGGAGGAAAGCCACGAAGAAGGCTAGTGAGGAAGAGGAGGAGGAGAGATTAATTGATATGTAGCGATGACTGCTAGTGATGTGAATCTCCATGCGCTCCGAACTAGAAACAAAGTCAAGTTGTGATTGGAACGAGGCATGAAATATATCCGTGGTGTGCGGAATTATCAACGTTGATAGCACGAGTTTTTTCCGGGTTCGATCATGGAGTGAGCTAGCGTGTACTTGGAAATATCTTGGTTGTGGTTGATAATTTAAGAGATACATGTGTAGCCTAGGATCTCCCTTCAAACTAGACAGCGTGGTATACAGCTGGCCAAGCTTCGCGGTGTACGTCAGGTAAGTAGCATATGGCAGTTACATGTGTTCGCCCTGAGTTGCCTTTATAACGAAACCCATCATTTTTCACTAGTCGACTCCCTTTTTATCTTGAACCACCAGCATGAGCGATTTCGCCGGTCATCAACTCAACTGTAGAAAACGAAAACTCAAGAACGACAACGAGGATGAACAGATATCAGATTCAAAATCCAATGCAAACGACGATACTGGTACTTCTAGTATCATGATACTCGACCCAACTTATGCTCCTCGTCAACCACCACCTTCAATATCGACAGACCAAGCTGCACGAGCTGTATGGCCATCAGAACCCAATTCTCCCATCCCGACACTCACAGAGACGAGGGCTAACAAGCGCCCAAGAGTCGATACCCACAATCTACAATCTTTTAAATCTCATAGGCGTTCAGCTATTAAGACTCCCTCATCACCTCTTACTCCCTGGCGAACTTCTTTCAGAAAAACGGAATCACGCCCTAATCATCTAGACCCTCACTGTACTGCTATCGATTGTTCTCCTCTACCCGTACACCCTCCAGTCGACTTATCATCTCCTCATATCCCCGCAATGCACCCCCTCATCAACAGACAGACACTCAAAGAACTTGATCTTGACTCTATCCTCCGTAATCCCCAACTTCGTCAGTTTTTATTATCAATTTAACTTATCATATATCTAATATATTCAACAGGACATGATCTTCTCTTTGATGCTGGTCTCCAGTTTCGTCCTACATCTGGTCGACGTAAACGCGATCTATCCGATAAATATTGGTCCGCTATTGCACAAGAACTCCAAACAGGCTGCACCTGCGTTTCCTTTGATCTTCAATGGAAACCCCACGACCTCCTCTGCGTTTGCGCCCAAGGCCCTATACCACAAGTACCCAGCCTCACCTACTGCTCCCCTCTCCGAGCACTCACACTCCGCATGCCCTCCCGCATCCGTCACCTTCTCACAGAATTTCTTGAAGTATTACTCTTTGTCATACAACCCCTTACAAGCATATGCGGCACCTACGCCAATCCTGCAACTCTCCAGACGCAAATCGAGCAACACGCAGCTCAGGCCGCTCATCTCAGATCACTATTTGATCCGGAGCTTATTCAGCAAGAGCTTCACCACCAACTCTTCGATCCATCAGGACTTTTCATCGTCATTGGCCAGACTCTTAAAAGCCACTGTGCCCCCATGCGCGATCGTCTCGTGGACGCTATGGTTGAAGCAGCCAAAGCTTGCGCCCCAGGCTGTGGTGGCAGTAAAGCGGACGCGGTCAAGGCGGTTCGCATGTGCCTCGATATATTGGAACTCATGAAACTGGCAAGTCTCTCCCAAACATCTTTCTTCCCTGTCCTGAAGGCCTTCTGCTTTAGGATATTGCGAACCATCAATTACAAACCCTCCGCCCATTCCTCATAGAAACCGCGGGTCAATACGAGCTCAAGGCGTTCAAAGGCCGAAAGGGGGCAGGTGCCTCACTTGACCTCACCCGGAAATGGATACGAACGGCATACCACCACCTCATGTCCTCGTCCCACCCAATCCCACTCACACTTCCCCATCCGTCCCACCCTTCCAACACCATAACTCTAAATTATCGCCAACTCCCACAAACACAACAAATATACCTGAGCGTGCTCAGAGCACTCACGGACCTCGTTTTTGAGCCACCTTGTGGCCCATCCCCCACGCCCGTTCCGCATTCTCACTCTCTCCAACGCGAACGCGTGTCGAAATCGAGCATACCATATCTCCCTTTATACCCCGAAACCACGTATTTGGACGGTGCACGTCTCTTGGTGTTATCTGGCGAAGCAGCGGACGCTACTGCTATGTACATGTTCCTTCTTTTGTTTCGGCAGCTGGCGTTTAGCGATCCTGACTCCAATGCTTGTGGCGATCCGAGTTCCAGGGTGGTTGTGACAGATGCCCAACTTGCTTCGCTTAAAAAGGAAATCCGAGATATCTCTTCGGGGCATCTTGGACATTGTTTTGCGCAGGTGAAGGGAGATAGTGATAGTGAGAGATGGGCAAAGGTTAGAGAGGATATTGTTTTGCAGATCGCCATGCGCGCGAAAGAGGCTCGTTCCCCTTCTACACTTTTGTCGAGTTCTCCACGGCCACGGAACCCAGAATCAGCATCAGAACCAGGGTCGGATTCTCAACCTCAATCGAGGGTCCTCGCTTCCGCACCAGACGAACGCATGCTCAAGCTAGCCGAACGCTGGTCCGACACGAACATGCGTCCCAACTCGCCGCTGAGCACGCTGCTGCGCAAGAGGATCCGCGATGTTGTATTTAATCAAGTCGTGGCGCTCACTTTTCCTTCTGCTTCTTCACGCCATTCTGGCACGAGCACGAGCACGACGAGTCTAGGCAAGTCATCAAACTTTACATCCCTCGTCCCTCCTTCTGCGTTATCCTCGGGCATGGAGCCTCTCGCAGATGAGATTCGCTTACTCTCTGAACGACTCTCGAGGTTGGCACATATCCATCTGGGGGTGTATCTTCCATTGTATGAACAGGAGGAGTTTTCCACGTCTGTTTTTTCTGATTTAGAATCCTGTAGCTAGTCTGTTGTACATTATACATACATACACCACCACCATCATTGTTCGGTTCCCACCCATCATCCTCCGGTTTCTTTCTTTTTTTCATTCTTGACGAGCATTTGGGTTCAAAAAACCTACGTACATGATTGATACCTCTGACGAAATTGACGAAAGGACGAGGACGACCGCTGTGGCATTACCTTACCAATTAGCAGTGGATAATACCCCCATCCATCCCCCATTGTATCCCATCATTCGAGGATCTAATGGATCGAATCAATGACAATGACAATGATATGTGCCTTTTGATTAGATTAGTACGATAGATTTAGATTCAGAATTTCCTGCGTTTCTTCGAGGGCTGGGTTCTTTCTTCGTCTAGAGTAGATCGTGTGCGCTTCTGTCCACTTCCACTTCCGATGTTGATGTTGTTAGAACCAGTGCTGATGCTGGCGTCGTTGGGGTTCGAGTGGGTGCGACCTGGAGCCGGAAACGGACGCGATCTCTTCTCCTTCTGACTCTGTTTCTTCTGCTTCTTTTCTATCGCTTTCTTTACTGCACGCTTTCCTCCACTTGATGCGATGGCGTCGTATCGAGCTTTCATCAGCAGTTCTTTTTTCTCGGCTGGATGCAAGGTGATTTGTTCAGCATCAGTCGGCGAAGGCGAAGACGAAAACAAAGAAAGGAAATGAAAGAAGCTTACCTGACTTCATCCACCACCCCGCCTTCCCCTTCTTCCTCTTTTCCCTCTCCTCCCTCCCAACCCTATCCAGCGCCTCCATTTCCACTTTCTCCCTCTTATCCCTATTGACACTACTCTCAGCCCTCTTCACCGCAAGCTCCAGTCTTCCAACTTCCCGCTCTCGTGCTGCACGCAGTTCTTTTGGGGAGTTTAAGAGCAGCTTTCGCGCGAGGCTAAGGTTAGAGCGGAGGGTGCTGAGCTCAGAGGTATGGAGCGTGGAGAGGAATGTATAATGAGATTTGAACTTTTGGGGGTCATAGGTGCCTGTTATGTGCAGGAAACGGGGGTCTCGGGGTATGGGTGCTTTGGATTCGACGACTGTTCGTCGACGGGTGACAGGGCGTTTGGAGGTTATTTCGGTAGGGCTGTGCGGGATGAGATGAGTGTGTGGGTGATGGGACGGTGCTTACGCATGCTTGCTAGATCTTTTGGCGAGGTCTTTACGCGGTTTTGAGTGTTTATCTAGGCGTTCTTTGTCTTTGTCTTTGTCTTTGTCTGTACTTGATCGTGGGCGTTCGTCATCGGTTGGATATGCATCTTCTTCTGATGGCGCGTCAGACTCGGACTCCGATTCGGAATCGCTTAGAGCACGGGATTGGGAGAGGGCGCGTTGGGCTTTGCGCAGCATTCCTAGAGGCAGAGAAGACAAATCTAGAGACAGAAATTAAAATATAAGTAGGATTAGTCAATTGCACATCGACGAGTGCAGGTACTTGTAGATATAAAATGAAACTCGTACGCACCATCCTCGAGAGACCGCTTTGGAGTAATGAGCGCAATCAGTATGTCTGCACAACACGAAAGCAAAATGAGAGCGAACCAGATCTCGGGAGGGTTTCCCGGGAATAGCATTAGTGTCCTCGTCGTCTATTTCCTCTTCTGAGAGTCCCTCGCTATTTTCATCTACCACGTCCGTCCATTGTACCACCCGAGGCGCATCTACGTCGTCATCATCCTCGTTTCCCTGAGCATCACCGGCACTCTCGTCAGAAACGCTCTCCGAGCTGCCATCTAACTCAGGTCCCGCTTCAGACTCAGAGACTGGATGATGGTGCTGGTGCTCGTCCTCGTCTTCTGTGAGTCCATCATGATGAACGAACTTTTGTTGCGTGCGCCGTAAGGCTGATTTTAGTGGTTTGGTGCGGTATTGGAGGTTCGTCGGTGATCGATTCTTGTGAGGCATGTCTAGAGTTATCCTTGCAGCTGTGGCTGGGGGGAAGTCGGGACTCGGGAGTCGGACGTTGCAGGTAGTGCACAGCCACACTCAATCCTTGAACTTGTTTGAAGAGCTTAGTGGAACCTATGGTATGGTACTCCACTGAGTGCCGCGAATGTTTTCTGCAACGATATCATATCGACAAATATCTCATCTCCTGATAGGAAAAGAATGTGAATTCATCGACAGCAGTCTTTAACCAAGTGGATGGCTCGGTCGGACTCCGATACCATTTGCTCTATCTTGCAGTACTAGCTCTTCCACCTGGATTCAACATATGGATGATGTAGGTCGTGCATTTCAGATCTTTGGGACGACTCGGCCATTCAAAGGCGGTACGTTACCTGCATGAGTTGTATTCTGAATTTCAATCGATTCGCTGATTTCTCCATCAAGTTGATCTGATGTGCAAAAACATGCGGTGTATGGCATTGGATTTATGCAATATCAAGAGACCGCGATACATTTTAAGTCTTTGTATTGTTTGAGGCTTGGTTGTCGACATCACAGCAACTAAACGAGACTAACTATATGTCACGATAGCTCTGGCATGCTGGTGTGATGATCTTTGAATATTTTCAAATCATTGTGTGAGCCTTGAAATGCTCAGTGCTTCAACAATGTTGACTTGGACGCATTCAAATGTAGCACGTAGATGACTTTTCTGGTATTTCAAACTTCACTGATGTATGTGCTCAATGTTTCATTTGGTTTCCGAGCACTCATTACCGAGGGCACGGACAGTCTCACGAGGAGTCTCAACATAGTTTTTGTGAACTTTGTATCACTACTTCACTCGATACGGGCCCCGGGAGTGGCCAACGTCGAACGTTAAGCGCTCCGGGAGGGGTGACCGGTGATAGAGCGCCCTCGCCCCTATTCATCAATACACACTGGGTATGAATTCAAATGGTTAACATCTCGGACAAGACGCAACAGGCTACAACCCATTCCATAGCCCCATGCTACTACTGACAGCATCGTTACAGCTTTTTGCCGACCACGTGTACTACGTGATGTGGATGACTAGACGGCCAGAATATTGATCCGTCGTGTGTTCACAGTGGAGTTTATGTAAGTTGCTTATTAAAGAAAAGTGAGCTGATGCCATCACTAGTCGGAGATTTGGTCGACAGTCCCTTTACTAGTGAACCTAATCACATAACATTCAGTCTTACTCGGACTCAGCGTACTAGTAAAGGATTGCGTGGGCATCACGACCCTGCTTGCCCCTATTTTTTTCCCTACACTGTGGCAGGATTTCACCTCGTTGCCCTGTCACTATCTAGAAACCGCATGCTGCTTACGCTTCCGGTTTGTTGATATCTGAGGCCAGTCCTGAATTGTGATGGACACGCTTATGAACTACTCACGATCATATCTGGAATGACGGCAAGAAAGTAATTGCATGTGCCAATATACCACCCACCCTGGGATTCAAGGGTTCGGGTGCAGGGACAGAACCGTGGCTTTGTAGTAAATATTAGCTGTTTTCATTGGTGATGTGCATGGTCACTGACGTTTTATTTCAAGCACCTTTGTACCAACGAGGCGAAAGCGATGCACCAAGACTCGGTTCCTTTGGTGTTTTTCACATGAGGAATTTTAGTGTAGCGGTAACCGCCTGTCTCCGTCGTGAGATCCCTCGAAGTCAGGGAAATGATGTATATTTCGTCTGTTACGGTCACAGGGCGCGGAAAACCCAACTCGACGCCTTGTTAGAGCAATCACTTGTCTCGCACTAGAAATCTACAATGTCTGAGGCTTTGAGGAAGCATTAGATTGCAGACCTTTCCAACATATACTTACATTAAACTCGCGATGGTTGGGGTGTTGAAGCACGCATGGATAAGGACAAGGCAGTCGGCGGTGGTAAGTACAACTGGCTGAACAATAAAAACAACACATGGGTGTACGCCCCTTCCTGTGGGAACCATCCCAAGCCCTAGGGGTATGCTAAATCTGGGAATTTCTGTGGTACCAACAGCGGATGAACATGTATTGCTGGACATCCTAGGCACCGTACACATACGACTTTTAGATCTAAAAAAATCATTTTGTCTTTTTCTCAGAGCTGGTACTACTATTGCATATGTCACTGCAAAACCAATCTGCCTCGGGAGCATCAAGCAAACCAACACATTCAAAATGAAACTATCGAAAACGGAACCAGCCGCGGTAATAGAATCACGTTAAGAAACAAGACAAGTACTTGCAGCTATCGAAGCTGCATTGGACCATGTCTCAAGCTTCCTGCCTTTGACTCCAGAAAATTTCATCTTGTGATCAGGAGCTGTTTTGGCACCCAGGGTCAGGTAAACAAGGACCTCTCGCCCCCCCTCTCATGTTCTGTGTTTCCAGAGCGGGTACTACCCCCAAGTTGCATGGGCGACCACCCACCTATCACCTTCGGCGGTCTATCGATCATTCTGTAACTGGTTACTGCATATAATAGCTCGAGGATAACTTCATTACCGCGAGTTCTTCCTGGAGCAATCATTTCCTCAAGTTGAAATCGACGTTAAACTCGAACCCCAGGCTTGCGTACAAGAACTGGAAGTATGCGAGTGGCACATTATGATCATGTGACAAGGCACGTGCAACAAGAACGCGTCTGATTTGCGTATGAGAGTCTGAAACTAAGCTTCCGAAGAGTGGTGGTACACTGGTGCTCCTTTGTACACTTTCCCGACTGAATTGGCATCAAACTGGTTGGTCATTATACTCATTTCAACAGATTGGTTTGAGCATCGAGAATCACACTAGTACTTGAGTCAGTCAGTATTCACACGTCAAGTGGAAGATTTAGAGTCCTATACAGCAGAAGCTGCAGAATCATGCCGATAGCATTTGTATAACAGAGAACTAAACATCTGGTGCCAATATCAGTTTGAGTAGAAATGCGCGTACGGTCATCACACTGTGCAGGTTCAACTCAAATATAGCAATACAGGATATATCAACCGTATAAGTTCAACAAAGGATTACTCTGGTAGCGAAAAGAGGTGCCAATAAAGGATCCTCAGCATCCTGTGTGCTCTCCATTGCCGAAACCGATTGAAGAATAACTAGTTGCATGTGCCACTCGTCTTGAGATTCGAGGGCTTGAACGGTATGCGGCAGGTCATGGATGCGACAAGACTGCGGCTATGCAACAAACATATTAGTTGCTTTCACTGGCGATGTGCGTAGTCACTGACGTTTTTTTAAGAACCTTTGTACCAACGAGGTGGGCCTTTCTTCTGCAGCACCTCCTTCAAAGCCTTGTATTTTTCCTCCGATGGCACGGTGGTTGGTAACCTTTCTGAGAGAGTACTGTTCGAGGCAAATGCACCAAAACCCGGTACCTTTGGCGGTTTTCACATGTCGCAATTTGGCACAGCGGTAAGCGCCTGTCTCCGTCATGAGATCCCTCGAAATCAGGAGAATCATATCCGATTTTTCTTCTGCGGTCACGGGGCGGGGATAACCCAAATCAACGCCTCGCTGGTACATCCACTCATCTCGCACTAGATATCCGCAATATTTGACCATGACTACGATGCCTGGGCCTGAGGCTTTGAAGAAGCGTGAGATTGCAATTGCAAAGATGGTTCTAGCATGACTGTATTTACTTGCCTTGGATTCGCGATGATTAAAACTGAGCAGCAAGGGGTGCTGAAAGCTGAACCAAGTCAACCTTTTTTAGTTACTAAGCCCCTGGCGAATAAGTTACGCCCTCAGTGACTGGGACTGCATCAGGAAATTGTCCGTTAGACGAAATACCGCTAGGAAATATTTATTCATAATTTAGCATAATCATAAAAATTAGATGATGAATTCTTTTACTGCCTTTTTATTAGTGAGTAATCAAACTGGATTTGCCGATTATTATGAGAACTTGGAACAAACTTGCTGCAAGATTCCTCATGCAAAGTTCAAGTTCACCTGTATTGACGTGGATGACTGACCCGTCGTGAAGTTTGTGATTACGTGATCGAGTCATCGCTGACAGTGACGCCTACTTGTTGTTTATTTCACTTTACCAACCACCAGAATTTTGAATCAAAGTCGCTGCCTCGTTCATTGGACCCAGTTTGAAGTTTCCGCTGCCGCTAAATGAAACCGCTCGGCATTTTATCTGCAACCTCTACCAAACCTCGGGCTGACGCTAGATTATGACATACGGCGGGCAGACAAACCAATTTAACATCGTGGACAACTGCTGGCAGACCCGTCCCCAGACTTTGACACGGAGTCTGTGACTTGTCTGTATAGACTTCACGCAGACTGGCAAAATCCCCCACTTTCTGCAAATCTCTTGCTAATGCAAGTGTTTCGGCATACACAACGGATATATCGGGATCGTTGGTAGTAAGTTTTGCAATACCTGTGAATATTTGAACCCTCGACAAGAGTCGACATCAACCTCACAAATCATGTGATTTGCTCTGACTGGTCTCATAGAT